TTTAGGCTCCCAATCATTGCTCTATTTTACTTGTAGGTTGCCTAGCTTCTACTGCAAGGCATTGCATTAATGCTAAGTCAAAGAAAAAAATCGATTTTTTCTTAAACGTCATGTTTTGGGGTATCGAACTTGGAACCACCAAGAGGTCTACTAAATTAACTTTCTTGGCTCCCTTTGATGGTTAATTATGTACAGTGGGACTTTATTTAAAAATCGGAATGTATAAGCCCATGATTTGCCGCGACGTATGCAAGCGGTAAAATTTTTTGGAAAAATTGACAGTTTTTTGTCTTTCCAAAAATTTTACATCGACAGTTGTTACACACTAAGATGTAAAATCGTTCCAACCACTACACCATTAGATAACAGCAGTAATTCTCTATAGAATGGTATTTGTTTTGTTTAAATCCGTCCACGTTGAGCAGAGTTACACAAAGAACAAAAAAATTGACAGTTTTTTGGCAGCTACTGTAGCTAGGCAAACTTACAGTTCAACAGGTCTTCAATGAGTGTCATTTCCAACAAATCTGCAGTCTCCAGTCGAAAGTTTACAATGGAAAATCTGAAATCAAGCTTTTGCTGGGGAATTTCTCCAAGTGCTGCACTTTTTATTCGATTTTTTGTAGGCTCAGACCGCTCCCCGCGTTTCGCTAACTCTCTCCGCCGCAAAGATTGTTGAATTTCTCGGCTGTCCCTGCAAAGCGCGAGCTAAAATTTTCCGAGATTAATATGTATATGGGTTACGTCCGAAGTGTGTGCAAAATTTAGAGAAAACCTGAACGTCGCACCCGAGGTCAGGGGTGGTCAGTGGGCCGGCACTAGACTTGGCTCTCGGGCCGGCCCGGGCCGAAAATCGCGGCCCGGCCCGCGGGCCGGAAGAGGTCGGCCCGGCCCGTTTCAATTTTTCTTCGGCCCGGGCCGGCCCGAAAATTGAGAACAAGTAAAAAACCTTAATTCGCTATTAGATGTGACATATTTTTCTTTACTATAACAACTAACAGTACATTTTTAAAGCAAAAAATTACTTGCCAATGCTTTGCCTTTTAAAAATTAATCAAAAAATTCCCGAGATCCGTTTTCAGACTATTAAAAATTGCCCCAAGATCAATTTTATAGATTCAGCAAAGGTGGAACCACGTTTATCAAGATTTTCAACTTCCAGATGATAGTGTTGCTTCACACGACTTCTTAATTGTGTTTTTAAGGATGTCAGGTACGTTTATTTTGAGTTTTTGTTCAAAAAATTACTACAAACACTAATATAGATTAGTACCTAATATTATAGATTTTACTAGTATTATCTAATTACTTTTTATTAGCCATTTTTGAGTACTTCTGTGCTTTATTTTTATAAAATTATGCTTACTGTGAGACAAATATAAACCCCATTCTTGGCTTTGCGTTTTAATTTTATTGGCAACCCAACTTTTCGCTTTGAAATTCAGAATTTTAATTTTGCCGGGCCGGCCCGGGCCGAAAGTTGCGGCCCGGCCCGCGGGCCGGAACAGGTCGCCCGGCCCGGCCCGTTTCAATTTTGCTTTGGCCCGGCCCGGATCGGCCGGGCTCAAAAATGGAAATTTGACAAACGGGCCGGGCCCGTCACGGGCCGGGCCGGGCCGCGAGCCTGGGGTTTTTTCCGGCCCGGCCCGTCTAAATTACAATGCCAAACCGTTGGCATTCATTGTTTTCGCGCCGGGAAAATTAATTGATGTTGTTATGGTTGCTGTTTCACAAGTTCTAAAACGTGTACAAGTCTATAGTTCCATTATAAAACCAGAAAACTATTACATTGATCCTTTACTAGCTAGATCAACGCCTCTTTTGCCCTAGTTTAAATCCCAAGCTTGGGCGCAGTTCGCAGAACCCTCTATAAACGGGCCTGCACGGGCCGGGCCGTGCCAGGCCCGTCACGGGCTGGGACGGGCCTGGAAAAAGACTTACCGGCCGGGCGGGTCGGTAATTAGACGGGCCGGGCCACGGGCCGAAAATCAGGAAAATAGGGTCCGCTGACCACCCCTGCCCGAGGTACTTCCCTCGTACGGCAAATGTGAGGTTCCTAGCCGGCGCACGGCAACCCAGGGAGTCTCCCTCCTCGTTTCGGCACTTCGCACACCCAGTATCGTTCAAATTCACACGAAATGTCACAACAGAATTTTTCGTCTTATTTTTCGGTGGAAAAAATATTTTCTCGAAATTCTTTTATTGCTTTTGTCAGTTGTGACACTTCGTTTGGACGAAACTTAAAAGTGGGCGGGAGACATTTTTGTTCTATTTCGGTTTGCCGTGCGGCGCTTCGGAAAAATAACCGTGAGAGTGTGCAAAACGCGGAGAGGGGTCAGAGAAAAACACTTTTTGGCCATATCTTTGTGAGTTTTATGCGAAAAAATTGATTTTTTGTAGAAACATCACCCTCTAGGGTATAAATAAGCACAAAACAATTCATACCTAAATTTGCAAAAAAGCTCAAATTTTCGCCAACTTTCGATCTAAAAATCTCCGTCGTTTCCGCAAAGCATATCTAAAAATCTCGCATATGCTTTGAAAGGACGCTTTTCCTTTCAAATACCCTAAATTTCCCAAAAATCGCAGCATTTGGAGCAATTCGAATTTCTAATTTTCCTACCGTATTCTCCGAAATCACTAGCAAAGATGAGATAGGCGCAATTAAACTGTTTAATTTTGTAACCAAAAGGGAGAGTCGCATAATATTGATTTTTATATGACGTGTGCTAATCCTGTTCCGCGTACGAAGTCTACTCTGCTTCCTTCAGAATGATAAGGTTCTTTAACTTCGACTTTAACGCACTAGCCTTTCCATACAGTATGCAGACTTTTTTCGCGGCGCGCAGTGCATTTTTGTCGCTGCGCAAAGTGCAGTTTTTATCGCTGCGCACAGTGCATTTTTTGCCGCGATGCACAGTGCATTTTTGTCGCGGCGCACAGTTCATTTTTCGTCGCGGCGCACAGTGCATTTTTGTCGCTGCGCACAGTGCATTTCTTGTCGCAACGCACAGTGCATTTTTGTCGCTGCGCACAGTGCATTTCTTGTCGCAACGCACAGTGCATTTTTGTCGCGGCGCACAGTGCATTTTTTGCCGCGATGCACAGTGCATTTTTGTCGCTGCGCAAAGTGCAGTTTTTATCGCTGCGCACAGTGCATTTTTTGCCGCGATGCACAGTGCATTTTTGTCGCGGCGCACAGTTCATTTTTCGTCGCGGCGCACAGTGCATTTTTGTCGCTGCGCACAGTGCATTTCTTGTCGCAACGCACAGTGCATTTTTGTCGCGGCGCACAGTGCATTTTTTGCCGCGATGCACAGTGCATTTTTGTCGCTGCGCAAAGTGCAGTTTTTATCGCTGCGCACAGTGCATTTATGTCGCGGCGCGCAGTGCATTTTTTGTCGCAGCGCACAGTGCATATTTTGTCGCGGCGCACAGTGCATTTGTCGCCGCGCAGAGTGCATTTTTTGTCGCTGCGCACAGTGCATTTTTACTGCGGCGCACGGTGCGTCCCGACGATTTTCGAATTGCACCGTGCAAAATATGAAATCCACAGTGCGAAAAGGGTTGCGACATAAATGTCGCGAAATGTCTACGCACTTTATGGAAAGACTAGTGTAACAAACGGCAAAAGCCTTTAAAAAATGGATGACAAATTTTTGGGCTACAAACCAGACCTCGCTACCGTTGACTACAATCTAGATTCGATTCGAAAACAAGTCAGAGAAATCACGTTTTCAGCGGCCCCAACGAAAATTCAAGCCCAAAACCAGAGGAGTTCAAGAATTTTGATATTTTTTCGCTTCAAAATACACAAACACTGTCTTCGGCCCTCGCCCAAAAAGCATGGTATTACGAAAGGGTTCGGTATCTAGGCGGCAGGAAGCCCCGTGAGCGCTCGAGTTTCTAGTCTGAGGAGCGAAAACAAATTGGTCGGCTTTAAGAGAACTATGAGAGCAAAAATTCCCCGATTTTTGGGTGGTTACGGTAATGAAGGAAGCAGAGATACATATTTGTGAAAGGTTGCATCTAATTTTGTTGGCTTAGGTACGAAACGAAGGTCAAGCGAGGGTGGGGAGGAGGGAGAAGGCTACACAATGAAGCCTTTCTTTTGTGCATATCCGTCTGTCGGGAAAATAATGAGCATTCCGTAGCATCGAAAATCGCATCGCCCACCGAGAAAATGAATTGTGTCGCGGCAAAATCAAATTTATTTTCACTTCAGCGACGCGGTTGCCGCTGTGACACTGCCCTCATTATTTTCCCGACAGAATATTATGAATTTTCATAAAGTGCGTGGACATTTTGTCGCGGCTCGCACCGTGCAAAAAAGAACCTTAATTTTGCACTGTGCGTCTCACCTTTTTTTGGTTTTTGCACTGTGCATCGTAATATCGCTGCGACAAAACGAATTTTTTAACTCTGTCGCTGTGTGGAATTTGCACAGTGCAAAAATCATTTTTGAGGACTGCACTGTGCGAAAAGAAAAAATGCACTGTGCATTTGCGACATGCGTGGGAAAAAGTTCAAAATGCACTGTGCGTCGGCGACAAGCATGGGAAAAGGCTCAAAATGCACTGTGCGTTTGCGACAAGCGTGGGAAAAAGTTCAAAATGCACTGTGCGACTTTTGGTTTTGCACTGTGCATTTGAAACATCGCTGCGACGCAAGCTTTTTTCAACTTTGTCGCTGCGGCGGCGCCCGGAATTTGCACAGTGCAAAAATCATTTTTGAGGACTGCAATGTGCGAAAAGAAAAAAATGCACTGTGCGTAGGCGACAAGCGTGGGAAAAGGTTCAAAATGCACTGTGCAAAAAAAAGAGAAAAAATGTCCATGCACTTTATGAAAAAAATAAAAAAAAATCAGCCTCAATTCGCCGCAAAAACCACTAAACCTTGATTTACATACATTTATTCGACCGAATATTTCTTTTCTTATATCTCTTTCACAGTGAATATATCGCAGTAAGTGAAGCCGGGGGGTTTGATTCAAAGCTCGGTTATTGCTCCTTGCTGGGGGATAAGTCCAGGTCGGCGAGGATTGAGGTTCGTTTCTTGGACATGGAGATTTGTCCCAGGAGTTCGGCGAGCTGTTTCTGAAAGTCGTCGTCTTCTTGTCGGCTGGTTTGTTGGCGCTGAAAAATGCGATTTTTTGGAGGAAAAAATCGGAAATTTCAAAAAAAAAAAAAAAAAAATTTTTAATTTTTTCGAAATTTATTTTTTTTTTAAGTAGCCCATCAAACTCTAAATAACCCACACATTAATCCCCGAAAATTTTATTTCTCTCTTTCCACCAATAACCGAGATATTTCGCGGTCTTTTTTCGAGAGAGCACGCAAAATGAGGAGAGTGGGTCAGACAAAAAAAACTTTTTCAGCTATATCTCCTCCAATTTTACTGGGAAAAAATTAATTTTTTGTGGAAATATTCTACTCCTCAACTGGAACATACAGAAATTTTTTGGATCGTAAAATCAAAAAAAAAAATTTTTTTTTTTTTAATTTTTTGACTATAACGCTCAATAATTCCACAAAAATCGATGTAAAAATCTCTCATCTACCTTAAAAAACCTTATTTTAAATTTACGGCAAGTTTCCTTGAAATTTAAATTGGCAAATTACATTACACTTGTCGATACCAAGTACAACATATAAAAATTACAAAATCCGTATTTCACCCTACCTCATGGAAGGATTGGCGTCGTTTCTCTCGCTCTTGCTTCTGTTGATTCAAAGTTTCGACCAACTTGGCGTTGTGGGATCTGAGGCGCTCTTCGACCTTATCCATGTACTCATTCAAATGGTCCAATTGGGAGTCCAAGCGGCGGATTTCTGAAGAAAAACTATTTTTATCATGACTTCGAATGCTTGAAAATACATAAAAGAAACAAAAATAGGCAAAAATCAAAATTTTAAGTTCGAAAATCATCAAAAATTGTCATGGATAATATAATTTTTTTTCGAAAAAGACAAAATTAATGTGGATTCGGCTTTTTCAGAACGTTTATTACCCATATTTATCGTTTTGAGACCATAAACTTCTTTTAAACTTTATTTTAGGACAAAAATTTCGAAAAATCATCAAAAACCTCATGGATAATATAAAAAAACTGCTCAAAAAAGGCGATTTAAATATTTCTTCGGGGGTGTTCTACTGTTTTCTTGAAACTACATACATTTTCCTCTCCTATGCTCTCCAAAACTCTCAGAAATTCAATAAAAAACAAGCCTAAAATTTCGTATTTTACCCAAAATTTCTCCTTTTAATACCTAAAATTTTCAAAAACCCAAAAAATCGCAAAATCTCCTCTTCTTACCATCCGCATCGTCTTCATCGACTAATCCCGAGTTAATCGTGCCCATCGCTCGCTCCAGCGCGGCATGCGCCGAGCTCAGATTGTCGATCTGAGGCTCGGCGATGGGCTTCGGGGGCTTTTTATTTCTCAACGCAACCACCGGCGCAGCTGCTTGATTGGCCTCGGAGTTCGTCGAGGTGTTGTCCTGTTCTTCTGTGGAGTTCTGAGCCGGGAGACTTGGACTTTGGGCTACCATTTTTAACCGGGGAGCTCGAGAGGTCTGAAATGGGGAAAAATCAGATAAATTTTGAAAATTTTCTCATTTTTTCCGAGAAAAAATCGCGGAAAATTTTTGGCGATGACATAAAAATTAGGGAAATGGCATTTAAAAGCAAGAAGAAGACCAAAAAAATTATTCAAATCTCATGGATAATATGATTTTTTTTCATTTTTCTCAATTTTTCCGAGAAAAAATCGATCAAAATTTTTGGAAATGTCATAAAAATGGGATAAATTGCATTTAATAGCAGGAAAACGACCAAAAATTATATTAAAATCTCATGGATAATATAATTTTTTTCATTTTTCTCATTTTTTCCGGAAAAAAAATCGATCAAAATTTTTGGAAATGTCATAAAAATGGGATAAATTGCATTTAATAGCAGGAAAACGACCAAAAATTATATTAAAATCTCATGGATAATATAATTTTTTTCATTTTTCTCATTTTTTCCGGAAAAAAAATCGATCAAAATTTTTGGAAATGTCATAAAAATGGGATAAATTGCATTTAATAGCAGGAAAACGACCAAAAATTATATTAAAATCTCATGGATAATATAATTTTTTTTTTCATTTTTCTCAATTTTCCCGAGAAAAAAATCGATCAATATTTTCGGCAATGACATAAAAAAGGGATAAATCGCATTTAAAAGCGAGAAGACGACCAAAAAATTTATTAAAATCTCATAGATAATATAAAATTTTTTCAGTTTTCTCAATTTTTTCCGAGAAAAAATCGATCAAAATTTTCGGAAATGTCATAAAAAGAACAGTCATATTAGAAATTGCACTCTTAAGCCATCAAAATATATAAAAATGACTGTACCAAACCTAAAGTAATATAAATTTTTTTTTAATTCTCAAATTTTTCCACCAAAACATCACTCAATCCTTTCGGAGATGACATAAAAATCTAATAATTCATATTTTAAAAGCCTCAGAACGAAAGAAGAATCATCTCCCAATCTCACGGATAACATAAATTAATATCGAAAAATCGGAATGCAGTATGAAAAAGCCGAATGTTATTGCTGTAATTACTCAAGTTCGAGCAAAAACTCCGTCGAAAGAGCATTTATCATGCCCATTGTTGCGACCTTGATTAGATTAGACATCAAGAAAAAATTCGAAAAAGAAAAAAAAATTGGTTGTAAAAAATCAATTTTTTGTTTCAAAAATGACGTCACTAGACCATAAAATAAATTTTAAAATTATTTCTAGGTTCTGTGTTTCAGCTTGAGTCCAATTACTCATAAATTTGCTAATCAAAACTTGACGAAAAAGACGGCTGAATTAAGGGGATTAAAATTTAAAAAACTTTTTTTGATTACCTAATGACTGATACAGATGAGTCAAGCAGGCTTGTAAATCAACAAAAAGGAATTTACCACAAAAATTGATCGTATTCTTATGGTATTGTTGAAAAACAAAGTTGTAAACCAAACTTTAATAAAAAAGTTTTTAGTCATCATGGATAATATAAAAATGGTTCAAAAATCCAAAACAAACACGGGATTTTGCGTAAAATTCAGTTTACACCCTTATTAGGACTAGAAAATCGTCCTACATATACCCAATCTCACTTTCGAGATGTCTAGAACACAACGCCAAGATTTTGAAAAATGGCGGGAAATTTGAAAAATGATAACTATAGTGACGTAAAATTCAATTCAAAAGCTTTCCTAGACTTTCAAATCAATGTGTATTTATCATTTCAGTTGTTTCCATTAACTTAGAACCATCTGAAACACAATGCCAAAATATTGAAAAAATGGCGGGGATTTTGAAAAATTATTATTATCATGACGTAAATTTAAATTCATAAGCTTGTCTAGACTTTCAAATCAATGTGTATTTATTATTTCAGTTGTTTCCATTACCTAGAACCATCTGAAACACAATGCCAAACAATTGAAAAAATTGCGCGAAATTTAAATTTCAAATGTGTTTCTATATTCTGAAGGCTAAGATAGATTACAAAATATCCTCTAGACTCTACAAATACAATTTTTAATTCAAATAACAAGCCTTTCAATCAAAAAACCCTATATGCTCTCATGGATAACATCGATAATAAAAAAAAAATTATTAAATTGAAGTGAATTATTGGGTTAAACCAGTCCGAAAAATATCATTTTGATATTCAACAAATTGCATTTTAGCGTTTTTTTTGATAGTTTTTGACCATTTTTACCTACTATAATATAAAATTTTGCTGATTTTTTGATTTCAAGTCTAAAATAACACTTTTTATTATAACAAATGGAACATAGAGCTCATAATAAATTATTTTTCTTATTCAAACCCCTTCTAACTTTCTTCAAAAGCACTTTTTTCTTTCTTTTTATTACGTTTACACTCAGAACAATCGAAAAAACAACGCAAGTCCAAACCAATTTATAAGTCGGCATTCGACAACAAATCAACTCAACTATTCAAACTTTTTTTTAACTTTTACTATAAGAAAGTAGCTCTTATAATAAAAAATATTACTCAAGAAATCGTAAAAAAAAGGTTGGTCCACTTGACTTGGGACTATTGTTTGGGCGGGTGGAATCAAAGAGAAATTGCGGGCAAAACGTTTTATCAACACATTCTTCAGATTTTACTTTTCGATTGTTCTGAGTCGTAAACGTAATAAAAAGAGAGAAAAAAGTGCTTTTGAGGAAAGTTAGAAGGGGTTTGAATAAGAAAAAAAGTTTATTTTGAGCTCTATGTTCCATTTGTTATAATAAAAAGTGTTATTTTAGACTTGAAATCAAAAAATCAGCAAAATTTTATATTGTAGTAGGTAAAAATGGTAAAAAAACTATCAAAAAAAGGCTAAAATGCAATTTGGTGAATATCAAAATGATATTTTTATGCCATAAAAAGCATTTTGGAATTGTTTAACTCACAAATTCACTTTAATTTCACAACCTTTTAGCCCGATTTTATCAAAATTTAAAAAATTTTTAAAACTTTTTTTCCAATAAACCTCTAAATCGTAGTATAAACAGCCCATAATACTCTAAAAAACTAATAAAATTTTTGCAACACATCAAACTCTAAAATTTCAAAAATTCAGCAAAAATTTATATTGTAGTAGATATAAATGTCTCAAACGGCCTAAAAATCGTCTCTTTTCTATCCCAACCCTTCAAAACAACCTCAAAACACCCCCATTTACTGCATTAAATACAACAGTCATCTCTATAAAACGTTTCTGACGTCAAACGAAACAAAACATCACCCTTATGTTACATTAACCTTGCCGGGTGGTCGAAAACTCGTCACAACTTGAGCAAAAAGCGAAACAGATCTATAAACGACCCTAACGCCCCAAGAAAGAGTGATGACTAGGCTCAAATCGGCGCCAAAGTAAACAAAAAACAGAGCTATAACCTTTTCCGCACCTTATCCATGCTTTACTCCCCACTTTCCCGAATATCCTCCGGTCTCACGTGCGCGGAGACAAGAGAGAATTTACTATACAAAAACTTGCGCGCTTCTCGTTTTATTTGCCCGTCTCCGAGGGATCAATTCGCATATAAATAAAAAAAATACGCAAGGGGAAAATGAGGAGCGATCCGACGGGTGAGACCAGTCCAATTTAAACGGATTATGCAAATAAAAAAGAGGAAAGTGGAGGTCAGGGTTGGACAGTAGGCAGAATACGATTGCATTCTGCCTTTGAACACAAAAATTTTGAATTTGAATGTGATTTTAGTTCAAAAAAATTGATGAAAAATCATCAAAAATTATTGAAAAATTACTGATTTTGGTAGAGATTATGCTTTCTTAATGCGTACAATTAGAGAATAAGGTCTAATTTTGTATGGGAACCCAAAATTTTTTGACTGTAATATCTTTTTAGATCAAAAAATCCCGAAAAGTCATCGAAAAATTATTGAAAATCGCTTGTTTTCCCGGTTCTAAACTGGCTGCAAAAACGATTTTTGGTTCTAGAGATAAAAGCACCGTCAAAAAAAGAATACGGAGAGCTTTTTCAATCGAATGACACTCCTATTTCTGAGGTTTCTCAAAGGATTTTTGTGGGTGGTATTGGAATATTATGATCATTAAACTACTATGCTAAAAATTTTGATGACACACGGCCGAAATTTGAAACAGAATTTTCTACGATCAATGTCAGATTTTTAGCGCGCCTTTTGTGGCTACGATCTGGATTTTTGGATCGAAAGTCGCCGAGAATCCGATATTTTTTGCGATTTTCAATTTGAAAAATTTAGAGTCAACTGGAAGCGGTGAGTGTGATACAGTCCACACAAAAAGTTAAATTTACCTCCGAAAACCCATAGAGATAGACCAAAAACATTTTTTTTCTCTGCTTGTCTCTCCTCATTTCCCATAGTCTCTCGTCGGCAAAAACGTTCAACCATTTCTGTAGACGTGACACTATGGAGAATGAAAAAAGACGGTCAGTGGAAAAAATGTTTTCGGCCGTATCTCTATAGTTTTACAGAGGTAAATTTTACTTTTTGTCGACGTACTGTACTCACCGCTTCGAGTTGGCTCTAACTTTTTCAAATTGAAAATCGAAAAAAACTGTGGGATTCTCGACGATTTTCGATCCAAAAAGCCAGATCTTGGCCACAAAAGGCGCGCTAAAAACCTGACATAGACCGTAGAAAATTGTTTCAAATTTTTGCCATATGTCATCAAAATTTTAGCATAGTATTTTGAGCACAAGGTTAATGATCATAATATTCCAATACCACCCACAAAAGTCCTTTTAAAAACCTCTGAAACGGAAGTATTATTTGATTGCAAAAAACCCTCCATATTCTTTTTTTCAACGGTGTTTTATCTACAAAACCAAAAACCATTTCTGCAGACAGCTCAGAACCGGGAAAACAAGCGATTTTCAATCATTTTCGATGACTTTTCGGGATTTTTTTGATCTAAAATAGTAATACAGTCAAAAAATTGGTTTCCCATATAAAATTAGACCTTATTCTATAACTTTACGCCCTATACAAACATAATATCCATCAAAATCAGCAAGAAAATCAAATTTTTTCCTGATTTTCCATAATTTTTCCCTCAAAAACCATCAAAATCCTATCCAATTCCACCAAATCGACCCGAAAATCAAAAAACTTTTCCCTTCGAACGTCCGTATTTTGCATAATCGTTTGATTTTTACTCTCCAACCCACAAATTCCGCATATTTCCTCCCTATTTTTTGCAATACATACCTAACGGATTATACATCAAAAGCAGACGCAATCTGCTTCGAGATGAAAACAGTCCGGCGGAAGGAAGAAAAAGTTACTCATCTCGTTTGATAAAGCCTTATCATCGTCCAATTAGGACCGCTGCAGCGTGCATTCGGCGAGAAAAGAGTGTTTTTTAGGAAAACAGAGTAAGTTATATAAACTTTTGTTGTAAAATGGAGTTCAAAGAGGCAAAAAGTAACTGGTAAAGTGACTTTGAAAGGGAGTGAAAATTGGTTTAATAGGAAAAATAAAAAAAATCGAAATTTTGAGGAAAAAAGTAAAGTAAACCAAATTACAGTAATCAAATCACCTTGAAACGTTATAAAAAACGTATTTTAAAAACTATCATACGTCGATAGGTATATCAAATGGAACGTTGTCAATTCGGGAAGTTGACAATTGGGGAAAAAGACCATTTCCAATGAAAGTTGGAAAGGTAAGGTTGGGAGGTTTTACGGAAATCAAAAAATGCATATTGATTTAGGTGCTTTTGATGTTTTGAGGAGGAAAAATGATTTGGAAAGGCTCATTTGGGGATAAAACTTTGTAAGATAGGTAAACTACGGCTAATTTGATTAGTTGCATAAAAAAGAATGACTTTTAGACGAAAAGTTGGATAAAATTTGAAGTTTGATATTATTTTAGGCTTACAATGGCGGAAAATTTGAATTTTTGATGATTTCTTGGGATCGAACATCATTTTCTGTGTAATTTAATATCGAGGAGCGACGATTGGGGAAAAGACAATTGGGGAAACTGAAAAGTATTATTTTTCTTCGATGTAAGTGTCGAAATTATGATCATCGATGGCGCTGGTCTCGAAAATGACATTCATTTTTTTGATCGTTACTTTTTGCCTTAAGTAGTACTGTGAAGTAGTAATTTTTTGATTTTTTTCACAAATATTAGGGGCTTTCGATGGTGCTGGTTTCAAATCAGAAAAAATGAATAAGATTTTCAGAATCAGCACTATCGAAAACTTCAAAATCGAGTATTTGTGAAAAAAATTCAAAAAATTACTACTTTACAGGATTACTTATAAAAAAAAGTAACGAACAAAAAAATTAATGTCATTTTTGAAATCAGCGCCATCGACGATCCTAATTTCGACACTCACATGGAAGAAAAATAATACTTTTCAATTTCCCCAAGTGTCTTTTTCCCAATCGTCCTTACCCGATAAAATTACACAGAAAATGATTTTCAATTCCAAAAAATCGTCAAAAATCCAAATTTTCCGCCATTTTAAGCCTAAAATAATATCAAACTTCAAATTTTAACCAACATCTCGTCTAAAAATCAATCTTTTTTATGCAGCTGCTGAGATTAGCCGTATTTTACCTATCTTTCAAATTTTTATCCTCAAATAAGCCTTTCCAAATCTTTTTTTTCCCCTCAAAACATCAAAAACACCTAAATCAATATCCATTTTTTGATTTCTGTAAAACTTCCCAACCTTACCTTTCCAACTTTCATTGGAAAGAGTATACTTTTCTCTGTCGAAACTCGTTCCCTCATCGTTTTTTACGGCTCTAAATGGACGGGTTTCATTCGGCTGATTCATTTTCGGTATTACAAGATAATTAGGGCGTCTTGGGATAGATGAGCTTGTAAAATGGGGGAAATTAAGATGGCATTGTAATTTACGAGCCTTTGCTCGTATAAATCAATCAGTCAATAATGGAAAAACACAAAAAATGGGGGAAAATCTCCGAAAATCATCAAAAAATGCCAAAAAAATTGCGGAAACTCGATAAAAACTCGTATTTTAGATATTCAAAATGGAGAATCAACCATCAAATCACATTGCAAATTCTCCATGGCATCTATTTCACTCAATTTTATTTTAAATAAACTCTGAAAACTCAACAAAATATATAAGGATTCAAAAAATATCCGTTTTCTCACAATTTTCGAAAAAAATCTTGAATAAAACTATGTTTTGACAAAAATACAAGTCAATATACTTTACAGAGCTCTCTAATCTCCTCTGCTCTTCCAAATAAGTGCAAAATTTCAGCTGATTCTCTATTCCGGCGGGGACAAACATCGGTTGACCGTCTCCATGAGACTAGTATTCTCCAGAGCTGCGGCGACTCGTTCCTTATCAGCTAATTGTCGATTGATCGCGTGTTCTGTGTTGTGGGTACCTTCAGTAATTTTGACGTCAATTTTTACATTCTTGGCCAGGGATCTTTGCAACTTTATGACCAACATTAGACCAATGAGTGCTGCTAATGAACAATGTGGAATTGTGGGGGTAAAACGAATCCGAACCACCGGCATGGATGGTCGAGAATGGTCTACCTAGAAATTGCTTTTATTAAAAATCCATTTCTCAACCAGCCAAAGCAAAAGGTTTCCAAAAATCGTCAATTTCCGATATTATCCATGACAAATGTAGTCCCTTACTTCGATCAGCTCTTCCTGGACCACATTCAGCTGTTCGAGGGTGTATGGATGCTCTGGGTCTGTGATATCCCTTATATAATCGAATACTTCACGGGCATCCAGTAATTCTTCCTCATCGTCGTCCAAGGAGCCAATTGATCGGACCTCCCGGGGTTTAACGGCATGGATAACTGGCGCGATATTATCGAGACGTTCTTTGCCGGACATCTTCAACTTTTTCTACAATATCAAACACAATAGTCTCTGCTACATTTACATTATACTTGATACCAAATTTTACTTCGATTCAAAAAGTTACAGTACTTTTTTGGAGATCAACCAAAATTCTTCAAAGCCCTTTACAACTTTACTTTTAATCAATCAAGTGTTAAAACGAGTAAATAGTAAGAGAAACGGAGAAAAATATGATTATTAATGGGTGTTCAGTACTCTCTTCTCAAGTAGGCATCAACATCGTAGTACGAAGTGACTACCACTCGGTTGGCGAATTTTCTTCCAGTTAGGGCGGCTTGGGCTCTCTGACATTCCCCAGTGTCCGAGAAATGGACAAAAACCTTTCCAACGCCTCGCACTTCGACTCCAGGGACTGGTCGGGGGATTTCCACTGAATTCACTGTTCCATACTTCGAACATTCGCTCTTGATGTCCTCCAGAATATCTGAAACAGACAAATTAACGTCAATTCTTCTTTAATCCATCATTTTTGAACGAAATGATGCCTAAAAACCAAAAAACAAACAAAAAAATCATATTATCCTACCTTCGTATTCATCGTCTTCTCTGAGATCCTCTTCCGTTACCATATTCAACAAGCACAAGACTTCAGTGGCCGATCCGGCTTGAGTTAGATCAATTCCAGCGGCATTTGTGTTGAAGGCTCCGTTTTCTTTTTTGCTGGCACAGGCAAGTTGAACAAGAAGCTTGGACTCCCCAAGTTGCATTCCATTCAATCCAGCAATAGCCTGAAAACATTATTTATTAATCTCACCTTGATATTATTGCATTTTAAGTAAAAATCTACTTCAATTTTGAGGTCTTCCAAAATAATCAATTTTTTTTGTCAAAAATTTCTCGAAAAGTCGATTTTACTATTGCGTAAACGACTCCAGAGGACTTTATCTATTTTTCATAAAGTTGATACACTCTTTTCTTCAATTTCCAATCAAAAACAGCAAATCTTCACGGATTTTTGACCAAAACCTCAAATTTTTCTTCCAAAAGTACCTAAACTCCAACAAAATCAATATAAAAATTCTACCTGATCAGTAAGTGTTGTATCCAAGTATTCGCAAAACGCATAGCCCTTCGACAATCCGGTATTTTGATCAATGACCAAGTTGAACGCCTTTAATTGACCAAAAGAGGACAATAATTCCTTGACCTGTTCGGCTGTCAAATAATTGGGAAGTCCGCTGATGAAGATCTTGTGCGGGGAATCAACCACAATATTCGAAACCGGCATTCTTCCCATCGCATCGAGGTTGGTGCTAATGGGCTGGTAGTCGCGTGGCCGACGGATCTTGAGCTGTTGGCCCATGAAAGTGATGCCATCGAAGGCCATTCCGGCGGTGGTCTCATCGATCGAACGGAACTCGATGAAAGCAAAATTCTTGTCCAGATTTATCTGACAGGCCAAAACGGGATTCCCGGGAGCTTGAGCCAACCCACAAAGATGCATTTGCTGGTTGAAGAAGTCCAACATGGCATCTTCATTACAACCGAACGGAATGTTCCCCACGTACAACCGACGACTTTGACAGGTCACGGAAGGTCCCACCACGGGCACCGAGGACTGCAGAGTGGCTCTGGGGATTTGTCCCGAAGCCTGGAGCTCCTTATATTCTCGAGGCTGCATGTGCTCATAGCCAAGTGGAGGGATGTCCCAGTACTTGTACTTTTTAATCCCATACTGGCGTTTGAAGTCTCGGTCGCCTCCACGTTCTCGACTTCTGGAGCGACGACGTTCACGGCTGAATTAGACAAATTATTATATTGCAATATATTGTACTAGGTGAGTCGATCAAAAAGTAATAAAATATTGATGGTTAGAGAGAAATTCGACTTAGAAAAGCGAGTAGAACTCAGATGGAACCTAAATAACAAATAAAAATGCGAAAAACTTACGATCCACCTCTTCTTTCGCGACTGCGACTTCTGGACCTTCGGCCACCTCCTCCGCCGCCTCTTCGTCTGTCCCCACGGTCTCGCTCATCGAATCTTCTCTCACCGAAATCCGGCTTCTGGTCCTCCATCTTTGGAAATACGTCGGCCATGGTTAACTATAATTCGATATATTGCACTTCAAAAAATTGCCCACGCCTTAGTCAAGTATAATATAAAGTCAAAGAAACTAATTAAAATGGCATGGAAAACATAATAAGAAGACGAGAAAAATGCACTGACGAGTACATTACTCGATAAGAAAGATAATAAACAGAGATCTCTCAATTGAACAAATTCAAATGCCAAGTGAAACATAAAGACTGTAAAAAATGAAAGAATGTGATTAATTATGACAGAAAAATCCTTTTGACACTCATCGTGCAGACAATCTGCACCTCCAAGAGATCTCTGATTCTGTAAACGCGCGAAATTTCTTTCCTCTTGTCAAGTCTTTCTCTATCGAAAGTTGAGCGAAACACTTGACGCAAATCTCTTTTTGTGTCTTCCAACGAAAACCCTGAAATTTCAGGAAGAGTAAAAATGATGGTCCGACTAATTCTAAAATTTTTGATGTCTGCTTGCGATTTTACTCCGTTTTGCTCGTATTTTACATTGTTTTAGGTGGGAAATTTAAAAATTCAACGTCATGTATTATGTGTAATATAATTTTTATTATTTTGCAGCCAAAAATAGTATTACTTGATGTATTTTTGTAGATCCTTTCGTGAGATGTATAGTTTTGGATGCTTTTTTTCGATTTGCAATGATAGCATTTAGTTTAGGGGTTACAGTGCCAAAAAACATGTCGTTGAGCCGATTTGCCCCAGCTCTTCGTGCTCCCTCCAACCGGACTTTGGTCGTTGTCCCACAGCGTTTCTCCAGCCATGCTGCTGCCGGTAAGCTCACTTGACCGAATTTCTGGGCCTTTTTTTGACTCAAATTAATTTATATTATTTTAGCCCCAGCTGTGACCAAGGATGATGCTCCTGGCTTCTTCCAGAAGATCAGCTACCGCTTCAAAGGTAAGATTTTGATTTTTTTTGCTGTGTTTAGTCTTTAGGCTTCTTGTACATCCAATTTGGCTCGTGATCAGTTGATTTTTGTTCAGTTTTTTCTGATCTGATATCATGGTGAAGAAAAAATTCAATATAAACTATTTTAGGCATCCCATTGCCCGGAGAGACCGTTAGACCGAAGTGTATGTTCGATGATATTGGCAAAAAATACGTTGGAGAGCCACTGCCGTCTTTGGCCAACTACAAAGAGGGGCCTGAACGTGATCTGGTAAGCTCATCAAAAAATTTAAGACAACATAAATTTTGTTGATGCTTTTGGGCGAATATATGTCAAACATCAAGAAGCAAGCTGCGAAGACGCTTGTAGATAGTTTTTATACAGATTTAACTCATTTTTGCGCTAAATATTGACGTATTTCAGAAGAACTACCCCTACCCAGAAAAACAATTGTATCCACCAAAGACCCGTCTGCTCATGATCCCCGACTCATGGTGCACTCCCTTCCATAAGGTTACCGGAACTTCGGGTAAGCGTTTCGACAAGTTTTGGCGTCATTTTCTTTACTTTTTATCAATTTTTGATAATGTAAACACTACTTTTTGATGCCATATAAAATATTATTTTTTCAGGTCCCTACCTTTTCTTCGGAGGTATTGCCTCCTTCTACATCAACAAAGAGTTGTTCGTCTTCGAAGAACAGGCTCTTCTTTTGTCCGGATGGATCTGTTTATACATCATTGCCAACAACACTTTCGGCTACAAATTGGATAAATATTTGGCCGGAGAATTGAAGAATTATTGGGGAGGATTCAAGCAGATCATCGCTGATGACTTGAAGGACGCTGTGGAATTCCGCAAGGTAAGATTTTTATTTTATTTTTTGCGTTTAGATCAATTTTTGTCATGGATAATATCGGAAGTTGGAATTTTGATGTTGGAGATGAATTTGGAGACAAATTAAGTCTGTTTGAAGCTTAATTCGTCTTCCAAGACCGGATATGGGAGATGCATATTGAAATTCGTCTAATTTTAGACCTCCGCCGCGGAAGCCGCCTCCTTCGAAGCCGTGAAGAGCGATTTCCCCACGATTTTCAAGGAGAACCTGGCCCTCCAACTGGAAGCCACCTACCGCCAGAACGTGGAGACCGTTGCCACCGAATTGAAGCGTCGTATCGATTACCTGAAGGACGTCGAAGAGACCAAACAACGATTCGAACGCGACATCTTTGTGAGCTCCATCGTCAGCGGCGTCCAGAACGCCATCGACTCCAACGAAGGCAACATCAAGGGCAAATACCTGGACGACTGCATCGCCCAGATCAAGAACTTGAAGGTCTAATTAGCTAATTAGAGACCAATTTTCAAAAATTCTCGTTTCGAATGTTGGAATAGGAATAACAGAGTAAAGTGTCAATTATAAAGTTGTTTTTTACTTGTTCTTTGAAGGAATTTTGTCTTGAAACAAATAGTATTTGAAGTGTAAAGAGTAATTTGTATTTTAATTGCTATGTTAGACAGTGATTTTGATTTTGCAACAAGAAAATGAGATTTTTCGAAAATTTTTGGTCTAAAATCATGGATAACATAAAAATTTCCCCTCAAACAGCTCTAGGATTAATGTTTATTCTCAATTCATGTTATGTGTGGCATTCATCACTGATAATCGCTTTGATCGCATCTGAAGGATTCGGCGGTGCATGGGATTCCACCAAAAAGTTCGCTAGACATGAGACCTAAAACAATATCCATTTTTCAGTAAAAATTATGAGGGTAATTGCTGATAGTGGCTGTAGTAAGTCTCTAGAGAGCATCTAGTTTCGATTAGACGCATTTACCGGAGGATTCAGGTCGATTCTGAGCAAAATAATTGGTCCTGTTGCTGGAATAGGTAGTGTAATATCCGTTGCTGGTCTGTTGATGATGAGGGAATCCGAGGTAAACCGAGTCTGACTGAAAGAACAAGAAGTTAGAAGTGATTTTCACAATGAATGAAGGGTCTTAGAATTGAGAAATTTGAGATTTTTGAAGTACAATATAATTCGTACCTTTTGCTTTGCTTCCATTCCCAAAAAGTCTCCACCAGGCGCCGCGCCGTACACCGACGACTTGAACGAGGACTGTGAGAGAGTGGAGGAGAGATTGCGCAACTGAAAAGTGGCATCTTCATATTCCAAACGGGCCCTTTCCGCCTTCTCGATCAGCGCATCCCTCTTGGCAATCAGTTCGTTGTAGTTGTTACAGTACTGAAAATGTCGTAAAATATTTAATGTTACATTACGAGCAGTCTAGGGATTTTTTGGAAGCTATTATTGGCATTTTTATAATCAAAAATTACATTGATGTCAAGTATAATATACGAAAAGTGAGAATTTCGGATCTTTCTCAAATTTTGCAAACAGACCTTACGTGGGTCAGAGATGGATCCCTGAAAATTCTGGCTTGCAAATTGCTCTTGCAGCGGAGATATTCAACGGTGTTTAGAGAGCACGCAAAATGAGGAGAGTCGGTCAGACAAAATATGTTTTTGGGGTATATCTTAGCGAATTTGGCTTGGAAAAATATGATTTTTTGTGAAAAAATTTTACTAATCATCAGTAATCTACAACCAGTTTTTTGGGAACTGAAATTGAAAAAAAAGTTTTGTAATTTTTGGGATTTTTTGATCTAAAAATCTTGAAAATCTTGTTTTTTTCGTCTAAAAATGTATAATGCACAAGGTAAAAATCTCGCATAGAGCTTAGAAAGGCCTAGTCTAAATTTCCACCAAGTTTTGCAACGTTGACGAGTCAAAAATTTGGGTTACCCTGTAATTTCAAAATTTGAAAAATCTCACCTGTGGAGGCGGGGCCACTCCCATGCCCGCATTCACGATGTGACTGTCGCTGTGATGGTGGAAGTAGGAGGAGGACACGGCCGAACGATGGGTTTTCGAGGCGTTGGAAATGAGACTGGGATGCGGGTTGTTGTGATACGCATTCCCATGGTAAAGATGCTTCGGAAAGGCGTAGCTGGAGTCCGCGGATTGCTGATTCTGCAAATTCGGAGTGTATTCTAGGCCGAGGATTTTGTTTTGGGGACATTTGAAGTAGATATTTGAAGATTTTTTTGGAAGAAAAATCGAAATTTCGGTGAAAAAGTCGATTTTGATGACTATAATTGTATTTTTTGAGATTTTACCGCTATATTTCTCGCGAATATGACCAAAAACCGAAATTTACTGGCTTCCTAAGTCATATACTATCCAAAAATCAACCAGAAATTTTTCATATTTTTCCATAATTTTGCCTAAAATTACCAAAAAATCACGTTTACCTGTCCGAAAAGGCCATTGTTGGGTTTGGCCGAGGAATGTGCCTGATTGTACATGTCCGTCGGCTTGCTGGGCATTGAATGGCGTTTGTAGTATTTCTTTCTGTCGTTTTCCGACCGCTTCTTTGACGACCAAAAGTCGAAAAAAGTTCCGAATGGAAATGAAAATTTGAACGGATTTTTCGTGAATTTTCTCGTGAAATTTGAATAATTTTGTTTGAAGGAAAAATTTATTTTGGGAATCTGTCGGAAGCGCCGGGAAATGTTTGGGAGCCAAATTGCGCCCCTGAGGGTTTTTCTATTTTTTTTTTATTTTTGAAATTGAACAAAAATTAAAATTAATTTTTAATTAAAATTTATTAACAAAAAAATTAAAAAAAAAAAACGAGTTGCTTGTTCAAAATGAGTACCAGTCTGTTAGTAAAGTCGCTGGAGTGATTTTTGGCGTTTGCACTGTGCAGAAAAAGTCAACTTTTTTTCTCACAGTCCATGCCACCGAAGTCACTCCAGCGACTTTGCGATCGGGCTAGTACGAAAATAGATTGATTAACCGTATAAAATGAGGGTTTTTTGAGTGGAAAATACAATGATTTGCTGAGTGATACAGTGGGGGACCTGATCCAGCGGCAGAAAACGTACCATTTTGCATCCAGGAAGTATCAAAAATATGGCAAAATACCTCCAACTCCAAGTGAAAAAACTGATTTCAAAAGCGCGCCCGCTCTTTTTGTGAGGAAAAAGGGCGCGCCTTTCAAAACGAAGTTTTTTCACTTGTCGAGGGAAGCATTTTGCCATATTTTTGATGCTTCCCGGATACAAAATGGTACGTTTTTTTGCCATTGGATCAGGTCCCCCACTGTAAAAGGAATGAAGGAAAGCTTGGAAGGGCCACGGTCCGTAATGGGCAGGTATATTGATGCCTCAGTGGGCTGATTTTTTATGGACCGTCGCGCAGAAACATCGGTTGTCATGAGGATTTAGATGGGAATTACTCGAGTCGCGATGCTCAGATTTCAGTGATTTTTTATAAATGTGAAAAAATTGATTTTTTACCGTACTTTGCAAAAATTTTGTTTTTTAGCGCCGCACTTCGAGAATTCCCTCTAGTAGACAGAATTTACCATGATTTAGATTATCAGAGTGAAAATGGAAGGCTGGAATCAAAATATTGATATTGAATTAGGCTTGATTACTCTTGATTAAAAACTATTCCAACTGTTCAAACTTTGAATGTCATCCGCGTCTTCTTCGAGGTCTTCTGGCGCGTTGTTGGTGATTTTCACGGCATCCGTGAGGGGTGGAGCTACTAGCAATCGACATGGAACTTGCTTAGTTGGTGGAGATGACTCTGAGGCCACTTTTTCATCTTGAGATTTGGATTGTCGGGCTTCTTTTGGTTCCTTATTCTTTTCTGAAGGTTCCTTTTGCGAAAAAGAATGTACTCCTTGACCCGCGATTACAAGTTTTTGATCAAAGTCGTCGTCAATCTCCGAGTCATCTTCTTCCATGCTTAAGAAGCTAATTTCCTCGTCCAGGTCGGCAATATTATTGTTTTCGATTGGATTTTCAGTCGCTACATCTTCAACTTTCTCCTCGGTTCCGCTGGGTTCTTCGATTTTTTCCCCAAGTTTGGCCATCATCAGCTCCTTGGTGGCTTTCTTGGCCTTTTTCCTGGCTTTCCGTTCTCTGTGAGGAATTGATTTTCTCTTCTTCCTCGCTCTCATCTCTTCCTTCCTTTGTTCTCTTTTCAGTCGCTTTCTCTCTTCCTCTTCCTTGATTTTTCGTTCGATCTTGAATTTGTCTTGTCGTTCGCGTTCGATTTCGAATGGTAGAGGCTCGAGCTTGAAAACTGTGGGAGTGAAGTGGTCGTGTACAACGTCTTCGATAGTCTGGAATGAGGTTTCTAGTTACGTAAGGCAAATTTAAAACAAGAGACTCAAAATTTAATGCTTGATGCTGTCTGTGCCACGTATCAATTGTAGAAAATTTAAGCTTTCGCTTTTCTATCAGAAAAAAATGAAAAAGAGCTGGCCTTCTTACCTTGACAATAAAAATGTACTGATTCGCATCAATGAGATCTGTATGTTTCACCAAACGCCGTTCGCAGAAGAACTTTTGGGGCTGAAAATAGAGATCTAATATGAAATTTGAGGTTTCAAATTATCTTATAATCCAAGCCGATTTTTTCTCCAATCCAGTTTTGTCCCCACGACGTCTCTGTTTCCATAGTTCAATGGGGGGAACGTCTTGGGGACAAATCCGGTATGGCGACAAAACCGTCCAACTCCAAGAGGGCATCTTGTGAAAATTGCGATTGCTTACATTGTACTTCAATTCGTAGGCCGCAAACTCAAAGTACTGGCTCTTCTTGTCCAGAATGTCCAAAGTTCTGCCGTAGAGTTCGTTTACTCGCGAATCTATGGGCATCACGACGTCCAGACGGTCCAATAATTGCGGGCTTTTTTCCGGCAAAGCGGTTTTCCACAGGGTTACTTTGACCTGAAAAATTTTAAAATATTTTTCGTGGATTATGTCATTCTTCTACAGCTAGTTTGGAGCTGACTCAGAAACGATTAGCTGCAAAAACTACCTAAAAGAAAATATTTACCTCTTCGAGCAGATCGATGCGAATGGCATAAGATTCAACAAATACATCCGCAGCTTCGGCGTGGCTCTCAAGATGGACGCTGTAGAGTTGGTGCTCGATGCCGGCGTGCTTCAAGACTTGCGGTATGGCCGAAGTAATGGTGCCGTCATGTCCGACAGTGACATAGCAATTACCTGCTGCGCGCTTGCTGATATCGTATTTAACGAGGAACTGAAATCGGAAAATATTTGCTCACGGTGGTATCAGGGTAACTACGCTGTTTCAAAAGTGCGTAGATCTAACTGAGAAGGCGAGATTGGTTGTTACTCCACTTACATTCCTCTGTAGGGTAATTGACATAATGTAGGTGTATCCATCTTCCACCGGCTTTACTCCCGCTTCTTCCGGCACCAAGCTGACCTTCTTTTTCTCTCGATTAGTCACTATCAGGGTGAACGAGTACGTTTGGTAGGTGATTCCAGCGCGCTTTAGGATCTTCCCAATAACGACTTCTAACGTCTCGTCGAATTCACAAATAAGTTCGGCAATTCCGGACAAAAACTTTTTCACCTCATACTTGACCATGATCTGAAAAAATAATTATTTTAATTATTCAAATTAAAAAAATAAAGGAATCTTTAAAAGTAAAAAATGATAATGAAATAAAAAATCAGCTTACTTTTTTGTAATTGGAATACCTCAGAGCCATGATGGAAAGTCTAAAAAATTTTAAAATTAAATCAAAATATCTCAAAAGTAATTAGATATTGTAGGTTGCAAAAAACAACTCAAATAATGGGAAAACGTTTCACAAACTGCTTCCCAGTTTATTTACAACGTAATTTACAGTATGTGAGGTATGAAAAATTGGTAAAAAGCAAAGAAAATGCAACAAAAAGGTAATCAGTCGATTAAACGATCTGTTTTCGCGTTAAAACTAAATCAGAAATGCGCTTTATTTACAAAAAACGGGGGATATGGCACTGAATGTTGAGGTATGAGGGAGATCAATTGTCTTCGGCGCTTGAATAAGTGCTGCTGCATCCAGCGTCAATAAAATTTCTATCGATGACGTCAAAGTCTTCATCGCCCGAAGACTCATCGTCTTTTGCTGTGGCAGTTTCTTTTTCTTCCTCCTTTTCTTTGTTTTCTTTCTTGTTTTCTTCTTTTTCTTCCTTCTTTTCTTCCTTTCTTTCTCCTTTTTGTTCCTTTTTTTCCTTCTTCTCATTTTCCAATTGTTTTCTGAGGACTTCTACTTGCTTTTCTTTCTCGAATAGTTCATCCTCCTTCTTTCCCAAACGGTTTTTGAGATTTGCATTCTCATCTGAAACCATTTCCAAGCATTTTTCATATACAAGTTCCATCTTGTCTCTGCGTTCCTCGGCTTCCTTCAGTTTCTGCTCCAGCTCAAAAAGCTTCGCCTCGGCCATTTCGCAACGCAACTTTTCCTTCGTTCTATACACACTCTTATGTTGCCAGTTATCGCACTCTTGCTGTTTTTGTTGAACTTGCCGCCGCAGCTCCTCATTTTCTCGGATGAGGGCCGCCTTTGCAGCCTCACATTGCTCCAGTGTTTGAAGGGTGTGCTGACGTGCTTGATGTTCCAAAAGAAGCGCATTATAGTCGGCTTCCAACTTTTTGTATTCCTCTGATTCCTTTGGGTGAACTGGTCGATTGAACGACAGTGCAGCCTTTTCCAGTTGCGCTGTAATGCCAGCGAGCCTGTCAACGACTTGGCCATCGTTTACTTTCGCAGCTTCGGAGGATTTTTCCATTTTTCCTGCGATTTTTTTCAAATAACGATCGATCTTCGTATCGAACTGATCGTAGAATTGATTCTGCAGCCTTTGAACGGTGTTGCGGAAAGTCGGAATCTGACGTCGTTGTCGCGGACAGTAGGGAAGTGCAATCGGGCCCGAAACGATTCGATATCTGTTGGCGGCGTAGACCTGGGAACAGATGTTAACTTCTTCGAGGCTCTCGCTGTGCCAGTCCATTTGAGGGGCGTCCTGAAAGAAGATAGTATCGTGAAAGGGCCGTAGATATGTTCAAATTAAATCTGAGCGTCAAACTTGAAAGCCCTTCCCTGTTGAACTGAATAAACCTACAATTCGATAAATCCGAGTCTGTCCTACAGCCGGAGTGCCCTTGTTCTTCAAAATGTTGATTGCAATGGGGTATAGGAGGTCTCCATCGAACGCTTCGTGCGTCACTACTTCGCTGACTCCATTGTGGACAAATTCGAAGGAAATCTGAAAAAATCGGTGGTATGTAAGGTAAGAAATATACTTTTTTTATGTAAAAAAAAGTTGAATCATAAAAAAAATATTTTGCTTACCATATGAGTTTGAGTCAGACGGACGACATATCTGTAGCCCTCATAAATAATATCAGTTCCATCAACGGGTTCAACGAGTCCATTCGGCAGCTTCTGTCGCATATAATTGACTTTGAAGGTCTCTGGATGCTTGTTCTCTTTCAATTTTCTCTTCAAAACTTTCAAGAGGTTGTCGGTCTGCCCGCACTTTACAGTACCTGCCCAAAAGAGGTAGGGCTTTTCGAACTGATATTCGAGGCGGATCTAAAAGCAGAAGAGATTGATTTTTAACACCAAAATTCTATCAGTGGATTTTTTTTGTTGTGGTACTTTTTAGTACTCAAAAATTCCCCCCTAAACATAAAAAAATAAAACCAACCTCATCAGCGGTCAACTTGACGAAAATCTCGTCGTGTTGTGGAGTCAACACCTTGTCGGGAGAGATGGCCTCTCCCTTGAAGGTGCATTCCATAACGGTAAAATTTTCGGGGTCATCGAAATGCCACAGGTAGTTGTCGACCACGCTCAAAATATGCTCTTCGACTCCGAAATTGTTCTTCTCCAGCTCCACAATCTCTCCAACGCCAGTGTCCAAAAAGATCTTGACCATAATGAAAACGTGAGGTATACGTTAAGGGTTGATATTCTGAAAGTAAATGTTTGAAAATTAAGCAAAAAAAAATAAAAATACGCTGAAAAAGAAGAAATACAAATAAAAGGAAATGTAAAAATAGTCAGTCGAACAAACGATCTGTTTAGGAGGCAAATGACAGAAAAAAATCTTTTTTTTATTCGGTAAATGTCTGACAAGGGAATGGTCCCAACGATCCGTGGGATCCGCAAATAAAACCTAGATATTCTGAAAGAGCAGGTAAAATTTAGTAGGAATCCGTTTTTTCTACTTGCCGAATAAGTCTGTGCGACGAGAAATATCGTCGAAAAGATCCGACCAAAAAATCGAAAGAGAGAAAAGAAGAACCGAAAGGCCTTGGAAGGCGTCACCAAATAGTCTAGTGGAAAAAGTTCCACGCACAAATCTTTTGGGGGAGGGAGGCCTTGGAGGTTCGAGTCCACCCGGAGCCGGACATCTCCGGATTTGAACCCTACGTGTTCATTATTGTATTCTACAGTTATACAAAAAAAAATTTTTTTTGTTTAACCTGTTTTACAAGGTTTTTTGCATCCGAAGGCGTGGCAATCACTGGTCATTACCTCTTTTTATGATGCCGCCAGGTCCGAAGTTCCAAAGAAGACAAATTTATGCAAATTTATACCTTCCGGGCAGAATTTGACAAAAATAATTTGGGCATTTGTTAAACACATGTCCACGGCCATTTTAAACGAAAAAACTCAAAATAGATTTTTTCGTAAATATTCACGGGGTCTACTACACGCTGATGCAAGGACCCAAAAATTCTCTTTTCAACTTTTCTTGCAAAATTTTATGAAAAGGTGAGATTTTGGCAACATCCTTTATGGCAAACCGAAAAAGATCTGCAAGATCCTATACAACCTTCCAGAATCGAGTAGAAGTGTCTTGACCACTATGTCGACATCGGGCTTATCAAAGATATTGCCGAAATGTCAACTTTTCTTAAAATTTTGCAACAAACCTTGTAAAACAGGTTAAACAAAAAAAAAAATTTTTTTGTATAACTGTAGAACAGTAATGAACACGTAGGGTTCAAATCCGGAGATGTCCGGCTCCGGGTGGACTCGAACCTCCAAGGCCTCCCTCCCCCAAAAGATTTGTGCGTGGAACTTTTTCCACTAGACTATTTGGTGACGCCTTCCAAGGCCTTTCGGTTCTTCTTTTCTCTCTTTCGATTTTTTGGTCGGATCTTTTCGACGATATTTCTCGTCGCACAGACTTATTCGGCAAGTAGAAAAAACGGATTCCTACTAAATTTTACCTGCTCTTTCAGAATATCTAGGTTTCATTTGTGGATCCCACGGATCGTTGGGACCATTCCCTTGTGAGTATGTACAGTGGAATAGAGGTAGTGGGAGGGCTGGTTATCTATCATTCTTCTGCGCTAGAGTAGGTGCTGCGGCAGTCTGAATCGATGAAATTTTTATCGACAATTTCATAGTCTTCCGGGTCAGAAGATTCATCTTTTTCTTCCTTATTTTCATTTTGTTCTTCATTTTCTTCCTTCTGTTCTTCCTTCTCTTCTTCTTTTTCTTCCTCGGCAAGTTCATTCACCTCATCTTCAAGTTCTCTTTGGATGGCCTTCTCCTTCTCCGCCTCTAAACGTCTTTCCAACCTCTTGTTCTCGTCCACAACCTCCGTATACTTTGCCCGCAGATTTGCCAGCTGCAAGTTGAGATCCAATTCCGCCATGTGATGAGCGCTGACCTCGTCCTTCAAGGCTCTGATTTCCTCGAGTAGACGGGATTTTTGGACTGCGAAATCTTCGGTGACCACTTCAGGGAAGCAGAAATCTACTGTGGGTTTTGTGGAGTCGGCTTCATCGGATTCTTCGCTCTTCTGGGCTGCGACTTCCTCCCTTTTCTCTTTCTTTTCTTCGTTTTGCAGAGCATTCTCTTCCTTCTCCTTCAACTTCTTTGTCAGCTCCGCGATCAGTTCATTCAGCTGGACCTTTTCGTCAATAAGAGAGCCAATTTTCTTCCTGTTCTCTTCCAGCTCACTCTTCAAGTGCTCCAATTTCCCCTCGACGGTTTGGATGTAGTTCTGCTGAGTTTTGTTCATCTCTTTCAGCTGCTCCAACTCCTCCAAGGCTTGCTTTGTTGCCAGTTTTTCTTTATCCTCCTTAGATTTCATGTCGGCCATGTGGGCAATTTTTCGCTGCTCATATTCAACAAGTCGCTCATAATAGTCATCATGTCTTAAGACCTCATCCAGCTGAGCTTCTAGTGTCTTGTATTCGGCCGACTCTTTGGGATCCACCATCTTCTCAATCATCGATTTGATGCAGAAGAGTTGAGCCGAAATCTCATCCATTTTATCATCGCCCTCATCATTAGTTTTCGTCCGTTTTTCGACGAAATCAGCCAGTTGTAGGTTGAGCTGGGAGCGCAGTTTCTCATTGCTTTCTTTGACAATCTCCGCAACTGTCGCAGCGTTCAGTTCTTCGACTGGCGGAAGATGGTTAGTTGCGCTGGCGACAAAAAAGACGCGATAGGTTTGAGGATCCAGATGCATCGCTTCATTTGAGACCTTTTTTAGGACCTCCTCGCCATCAATGTGGTCCTGAAAGAAAAAATTATAAAAAAAAAATTTTTAATTTTTCTTATTTTTTTCATTTAGTTTATCAGTCTGTCGGGAAAATAATATGGATTTTATGCGCCTTGGAATTGCCTATGATCGATTTGTCTTCTATTTGCTTTGTTTTATCAAGCATCATAGGCAAATCTAAGCCGCGGCAAATCCACGTTATTTTCCCAATATTTTTGTAAGTGAATAAAATCGACTTACAACTCTGTAGATGTAGATGTGCTGCTTGCATGTTCCAAACAATTGCAAATTCTCAAAAGCTTCAGTGGCAATATCGGATACCAATTTGTAAACGGGCGCATTCACACACAAGTATCCCTGTCTTTCTCCACCTCCATAAACAAGCTCGAAATGGATCTGAAAAAACAGTTTTTGATGAAACATGGAGGAAATCGAAAATTGTCAAAAATGCGATTTTTTTTGCGAATTTTGGAAGAAAAAATTACATGCTTATTTCAACTGGGGAACGTGATGTTTCCACATAAAATCAAAATTTTCCGTCCGAAACCGACAAAGGTATAGCCAAAAAAAGAGTTTTTTCTCTGACCGCTCTCCACATTTTGCGTACTCTCTCGAAACATCGTTGAATATCTCGGCTAGGCCTGCAAAGCGTGAGCTAAAATTTTCAGGAATTGACATGTGGACTATCCCTGACTAGTGTGCAAAATTTAAAGAATTTTTTATCGCTGGAAATTTTAAAAAAAAAATTTTTTGAAATTCGAAAAAAATATTTAAAAAAACTCACCGGAGCAACGGCTTCGAGCTCCACGCGGTAGGTTCGAAGGTGCCAAATTGCCTCCGAAAGCGCAAACGTATTTTCGCGTCCTAGCGTGAACTGCAAATGCTTGAGGACATTGTACTTGCCAGTGTAGCCGTCCTCCTTCAGCTTCCTTTCAATCACCTCGCCCAGACTGTCGGTCTGCCCACATTCCACTATTCCTTCCCAGGAATACTCGGCGTTTGTGAAACTGTATTTCAGATGGATCTGGAAAGATTTTCAAGATGAAAAATTGCTTGAAGTTTTGGAAATTTTTTTGGTTTTAGAGGGGAAGTAAGAACCTTACATTTGAAAGAAACTTGGGGCAAATTTAAAATAATCCTTTTTCAAAGCATATCCGAGATTTTTAGCTCGCAATTTATTGAAACGACCGAGATTTTTTAGCTCGAAAGTTGGCAAAAATTTGAAATTTTTTTTTGCGAATTTTGACATCAAAAGTTTCATGCCTATTTCTACAGCAGAGTATAATGGCTCCACAAAAAATCAAATTTTTCTACCCGAAACGGACAAAGATACAGCCAAAAAAGTTTTTTTTTCTCTCCCACTCTCCGCAGTTTGCGTACTCTCTCCGAATCGTTGAATATCTCGGCTGCTCTCGCAAAGCGCGAGCTAAAACTTTCAGAAATTGATATATGAGAAAAGACGGTCAGAGAAAAAAGTTTTGTAAGCAGAAAAGGCAATGTTTACTCAACGGCAGAAAAGATGATTTGTCGCCGAAAATGAGTCTTGGTTAGAAAACGATGGCTTTTTTATGTGAAAATACGACTTTCCAGCTTAGGAAACCAGTTTTTTTGGCGTAAAACAAAGTCGTACAAAGAAAAAGATGATTTTTCGAGAGACAATCTTAATTTGTTAACCGAAAATACGATTTTTTGATGGGAAATCTCATAAATTGTAACATATTTTCTACAAAAAAAGTTTTTTTTCTCTGACCGTCTCTCCTCATATATCAATTGCTGAAAGTTTTAGCTCGCGCTTTGCAAGCACAGCGGAGATACTCAGCGATTTTCCGAGAGAGTACTCGAAACGTGGAGAGTGGTCAGAGAAAAAACATTTTTTTCGCTGTATCTTTATCAGTTTTGAGCGGAAAAATTTGATTTTTTGCGGAAATATTACACTCTAGGGTAGGAATAGGCCTGAAACTTTTCATGGCATAATTCGCAAAAAAAATTTTCATAATTTCTTGGACATTTTCGCATAAAAAAAATATTTTTGGGCAGAAAATCATCTTTTTTGTTGAGTATGAGAAAACCATCCAAATTGGCCCAAATTTAACAAAAAAAATCTTCGAAGTTAAGAACCCACCTCATCAGTATGCAGCTTGACATGAATCCCCTCTTGATAAGTCTCCGTCAACACAGTGTCGGCGGGAATATCGAAGCCCTGGAATTTCGAACTGACAATGTTGAAGTTGGACGGGTCATCGAACTGGGACAGGTAACGGTCGACAACGCTGCAAATGGTCTGCTTCTCAAACCCGTCGAGGGTTCCAACGAGAGGGACAATCTTGCCAATACCGGTGTCTAGCAGGATTTTGTAAGTAAACATGGTTTAACGGTGGAAATTTTATGAAAAGTTAAAGGTGAAAATCTGAAAATAAAATGATTAGAAGCAAAGGAAAATTCTGTAAAACAAATCTCGCATACAAAAAATAATTTCAATAGCGAAGAATTTCAGAGGCGATAAGAGTTAGTTTTGGGTTAAAATTAACCTCCGTACAACGCACTTTAATATAACATTTTTTTTTCTTTTGTTGGATATATATTTATCATTCGTTGTACGGAGGCTTTAACATGAAAAAATTGAAGAGGGGAATGTCTAATGCGGCAAAGGAGATAATTGAATAGACACAGTTGCTGTTTTATTATAAGTTCGACTGTATTATCCCGTCATCATCAAGGCTTGCTTCATGTATAAAATTCCCTTCAAACTCAATAAAAAACAGTCACCCTAAAGCTGGGCGCAACTCAGAAAAATTTCTAAAAATAAAATCTTTTTTTTTGAAAGTGGGCCAGAACACAAAAGCTTTACCGTAAGCTTTACTGTAAGGTAAGAAGAATAAATAGTTATAAAAAGTATAAACAAATAAAAAAGAGTCTCAAAAATAAAAAAAAAATAAAAAAAAACGAATAATAATGTTATAACCGCATACAGGACATAGAAGGCCTTACAACTGACTCTATATCCCAATGAAAGATTAATATAAATAACGCAGAGAAATGGCACAGATACAACAATTTTCTGCTCTAAATTTCTGACATCTTTTTTACGTAATCTTGAAATAACGCGCGTTCTGCGAAAGCGACATACGAAAGGTCACAAGAAATGCGGAGAGTGGTCAGAGAGAAAAAACTTCTTTTGGCCATATCTTTGCTAGTTTTAAGCGGAAAACATTGATTTTCTATGGTAGAGATAGGTACGAAACTTTTATTGACAAAGAATTTTGTACAGCTAAAAATTCCGCATATATCTTGCAGAAAATTACTCTAAATTTGTGCCAAGTTCCATCAAAATCTAAGCGTCGCATTTTCGATACTTTCCGTGCCAAATAAAAAACCCCATATTACGAATCGAAAATAACCTCTTATCGAACCTTCCTTATTTCCAAATTAGGCAGAGAGTGATAAGCGGACCCAGCTGTTTAATATGTAAAAAAAGAGATTTTTTTGGAAAAAAATATAGTCAAAGTCGGAAAGAACAAAACAAAATCTATTTTTCATAATGTAACTAAAAAATTGGGAAATTGAAATCTAAGGTTAATGTAGGCAAAACTGTCACAGTGAATTGGAAATCAGGATGGCACGGAGAGGGGAAATAAAGTAAAAACGAGGGAACATCAGCCAGTTTAAAAAAGGGCTAAAAATAGCAAAAAGGAATGATGAAAATTTGGAAAAATAATCCAAAAAAATGCGATGGTTATACAGAGCACTGTGGGTCGGGTCAAGTTTTTTTTTTAAAAAAAAATATTTTTTTTTTTCAAAGTCTTCCCCCCTAATGTAATTTTTTCCTCGAACTTCAGTCAGTTATATCGGAGATAAATCATGGGAAATCTGGCCAGTTCTTGTTGATTATTTCAAGATTAAGTTCTACTCTATTTTTAGAAACCAAATTTGATGGAATTACATCGTGAATTTAACTCAAATTTTGGCATTCCTTGGGAGTAGTTATTTTATGCCTAAATGATCAATTCCGAGAGAGTTTATAGTCGGATTTAAAATATGGCCTCCATTTCACCTTCGGACGTATATCCTCTTTCTAATAAAGGTAAGTATCTGTTAACCTGGTTGTACATTTTTTAGTTATCAATGATTTTGTATATTATTCTAGGTTATTCAGAAAATTTTGTGCGGGATTTGGCTGGTTTTCCTCAAATGACCTCCAAAATATTAATTTTACTCTCCTAAACGCGTTTTCCATGACCAGAAGTCTTCACAGATATGATCCAGATGTTATACGTTACAGGGATCATGTATAACATCCGCCTAAAAAAAACGCTAGATTGGTCTCAAACACATTTTTTCTTCGCTTGATGGTCCTTGAAAGTATTTTCCTTCATTTTTATGAACATTTCGCATAGTTTGGGAGTTGAATTTCATCTCTACCTAAAATCTGCGTCAAGTTTGGACATGAAGAAAAAGCCTAAGAGAGAAGGAGAAACCTGTCCAATTGCGTTTTTATAGGCACTAGAGACCAATATTAAGCTAAATAATCTAATCCAGTCCGAATATTCGGCAAATCTCAACTAAACTCTTCAAAAGTACCTAGTATAATAAACAAAATCTCTAACAACTAAAAAACGTACAACCAGATTGACAGTTACTTACCTTTATTGGACGGATGGCGTACGGACGAAGGTGAAATGGAGGCGATATTCCAAATCCGACTACAAACTGTCTCACAATTGATCATTTAGGTATAGAACAACTACTCCCAAAAAACGGTAAAAATTGAGCGGAAATCACAACGTAACTCGATAAAATTTGATTTTTAAAAATAGAATAGAACTTGTTCTTGAAACAATCAGCAAGAACTGGCCAGATTTCCCTTGATTAATCTCCGATATAATTGCCTGAAGTTCGGGGAAAAAATTGTATCAGGGGCGAAGACTTGACCACCCCCATGAGAAAAACATGACCCGACCTGTGACATTTTTCACAGTGCATGTCGCAAAAATCACTACAACTTTGCGAATGAGCCATGAAACTCTTATATATACATACATATATAACAACGATTTTTTTTTCATTTTTTTATACACCAAATAAAAAAATTTTTCCATTTAATCGATATTTTTTGAGCGATATTCCAATTTTTTCATCCCAAAAATCCAAAAAAACAGATGAAAATTCAAATTTTTTTCAGCCAAAAGATCTTCATTTTTTGCCTAAAACTGATGCTAAGGACCATAAAAAATTTCGAAAAAATCTCTCAAAATTCTCCTCTAAATTTTCCTAATCTCAAATATTTCGCCATTAAACGACTAATTATTGACGAAAAATTGAATAAAACCACAACAATAACTGTTTTCAAAACATTAAAAATATCAAACAAACGGTTTTACTGACTCATAAAAGAAATATTATTTTAGTGAAACTAGCAAACCGCGTATTTTACCACGCAAAAAAATTTGAAAATAAAAATAAATTTTATTTTTCCTTTTTACATTACCCTGCAAATGACCGTAAACTCGCGCAAATACAGCGTTATTGCCCCGGGAAAATCGCCGTCTTCCAGTTTAATAAACAACCCGAGGTAAATCAATACACCTTTTTTGCGGAAAAAAGAAAAAAATTAAAACCGCAAAAGATCCGAAAATTGTTTTACAATATTTTTCAGATACTAAACTTTCGAAAAGTTGCAAAAAATTGCCAATAAACAGAGAGATTTGAATAAAACAATTGGCTTTTTCCGAAAAGAGCCATCCTCCTTTCGCTTTTCTCCTCACGTGCTCGAAACGCTCTCTCTTCTGCGCTCAGCTGATTCGCTCAGAGCGCCCTCAACGGGTCGCTTTTTTTGTTGCAAGGGCCGACCTTTCTCTCTCTCCCCCAAAAATAAAAGCAAGGCCCATAAACCCGAAAAAGACGAGGAATTCGGTGGGTTTCGATGAGGGTTGTAAACGCTGTAGGAAGTTGCGGAAGAATAGGAAAAGTGCAGTAGAATCGCTGCACAACACACTGTCGTAAAACGAAATTGTCTAGGCACTTTTGAAAAAGTGCGTAGACTTTTATTTTTTCTCCTTCGCACAGTGCATTTTTTGTCGCGGCGCACAGTGCATTTCTTGTCGCAACGCACAGTGCATTTTTGTCGCAACGCACAGTGCATTTTTTGTCGAAAGGCACAGTGCGTTTTTGTCGCGGCGCACAGTGCATTTTTGTCGCAACGCACAGTGAATTTTGCCTTTTTTGCACGGTGCGAGCTTTTCGAACATTTTGCACTGTGCATTTTTAACCATCGCGCAAAATCGCTTCAGCAACGTCGTAGCGGTTCAGTTGAAGATGGCTTTTGTCGTGCGATATTTCGGTTGCACAGTGCAAAATGTCAAATGCACGGTGCAAAATTTCAAATGCACGCTGCGGCCTCGCGACGGGAAGTCTTCGCAGTTTTGGAAAAGCAAAGTGCGGAAAATCAGGAGAAATCCCCCATCGGCTCTGAATATTTGCAGCGGTACTGCTCGCACTCAAAGGTTCGGTCAATCTATCAGTCTGTCGTGAAAATAGTGAGCGCACTGTCGCTGCGCCGATTGCGTCGCAGTGAAAATCGATTTGTCGCGACACAATTAATTTTCTCGGCGGTGATGCGATTTCCGATGCCACAGAGCGCTCATTATTTTCCCGACAAACTGATAAAGTCTGTGCTACAAAGCCCTTCCAAAATTCCTGCATTCCTCCAAATTTCGATCACTCTTCCTAAACCAACGATACTAACCTCAACGTGACATACCATCGGCCACAAACATCTTCATTCATCATAAAATTAATCCATCACTACACAAAAACTTGTATCTTCAACAAATCACAAGATATCGACCTTTAAACTGAGGCCAACTGCACCTGAACCGAAACCCGAGAACGAATGCGCATCGAGTCGTTTGCATTCGAGGGACCTCCCTTTCTTCTGCAATGACCCTCCACTTGTACGCCGTCCATTTGCGCACGGGGTCAGGTCAACGAAGAATGCCAAGAAATGAGCAGAAAGAGCCTCGCGTTCTTTTGATATCAGAGATCATCTGACGACACTTACGGTAATAAAAGGCATAAAGACACAGAAATTTTTTCTTGATATACTGATAGTCATCTTTGCACATTGCCCTAGGCTTAGTTATTGGTATTTTCATAAAGTGCAAGGACATTTCTCTTTCGCACAGTGCATTATAAACGTTTTCCCACGCTTGTCGCGAATGCACAGTGCATTTTTTAAAAGGCTTTTGCGCACCGTGCAAACCTCAAAAAATGCCGTCTGCACTGTTCAAATGTTTGAGCACAAAGAGGATTCTTTTGTGCACGCGACAAATGTCCATGCACTTTATGAAAATGCTAATAAAGTTTTGTGAGACTGGAGGAATATTCCGAAATCGATCAGAACGACTTCCAAGTCTCCAAGAGGTCATCATGATGCTTGAGTTCCATTTTTTGTATGTCAATAAACATTTTTTCTGTTTGTCTCAAGATGATGTTACTTCAATCTTGTTATAAAGAGCTCATATTTGAAAATCTTTGAAGACAATGGACTATGGCAAATACAGCGGGGGACCTGATTCAGTGGCAAAAAACGTACCATTTTGCATTCGGCAATTATAAAAAATGTGGCAAAGTGCTTCCCTGTCCAAGTGAAAAAACTTCGTTTTGAAGGGCCTTCACAAAAAGAGCGGGCGCGCTTTTGAAATCGGAGTTTTTTCACTTGGAAAGGGAGGTATTTTGCCACATTTTTTGATACTTCCGGGATGCAAAATGATTCGTTTTTTGCCACTGGATCAGGTACCCTACTGTATCATTTGAAAAAAGCATTAAAAATTGGCCCACCTCCTGTGAAGCAGGACTTGTGTTCGACACTCTGCAAAACTTTTGCATTTTGTCACTTTTATGCCACAAAACCATGGTATTTTGACATTTTTGAATATCTTTTACTAATTTTTGTACCTTTGTAGATAAAATCTATGTTTTCGAGAGTTTTTGGTCTTTTTTGGAACATCCATAAATTTGATGATGACGAGATAAGAAATTTTCGATTTTGAGATTTTTGCTCGTAAATGACCACTACCATCATATAAACGTGTTTCCAAATCATTTTGCTCCAATTTTCCGGCTAACCTAGTTTCATTTACAATTTTTCTAACAGTAATAAATAATATAACTCATGACCGAGGATCCTTCTTTCGCAACTGGGTTTTTGGCAGAAAGCGAACGCTTTTTGGCGGCAGAGAAAAATTAAAGGCGTCCCGAAGCAAAGCATCGCATAATAATATAAAAATATACAGAATAAACTATGTCTGTATTGATCGAAGAACGCGGCGATTTTCTGCCATTATTAAGAATACCTGCCTAAAAATGGTTCCTTTATAAGATTCATTTATTTAAAATTAGCGGCTAATCTACTCGTTGCAACATGGTCAAGATCTTCATCGACACTGGAAAGGGAAAGATCGAAGAGCGGGAGAAGACTGATTTCAGCAAAAAAGAAACCATTGGAGATGTGGTGCACACCTACAATCTGCATGGCCATCCCAACGGAGTCGAAATCCTGGAATGCAAATATCGCGGGAATCATATTCCGCTTGATTTCGAACTGAAGCCAGAACACAGCGAGATTCGTGTTCGACTCAAGAGACCCCTGGTAAGCCAATTTTTAGTTGAAATTTATACAGTAGGGGACCTGATCCAGTGGCAAAAAACGTACCATTTTGCTTCCGGGTAGTATCAAAAATGTGGCAAAACACCTCCCTCTCCAAGTAAAAACACTCCGATTTCAAAAGCGCGCCCGCTCTTTTTGTGAGGGAAAGGACGCGCTCTTCAAAAAGGAGGTGTTTTAGCTGGAAAGGGAGGCATTTTGCCACATTTTTGAGACTTCCCGGATGCAAAATGATACGTTTTTTACCATTGGATCAGGTCCCTCACTTTACATTTTATGATGACGGTTACTTTCTGAAAATGTCGGCCTACCCTTTGCGGTCGAATTTTCAACGATCTGCCGAAATAAATTCAGCAAAGTAGCTGGATTTATTTCGGCGAAAAATTTTTAGGGTCCTTCGATGCCTGAGGATTTAATGCACTGTGAGAAAACAAAAATTACCTCGCATCGTGCGATTTGTTGCTTTTTGCACCGTGCAATCGGCTTCTTTGGGGTGTCACTGGCATCCTGACTTTTCTGACATAGTGCAAAAAAACTGTAGGGACTTTACGAACGGACTAGTAGACGGTATTTCCGCAAAAAATCAATATTTTCCGCACAAAACTAGTAAAGATACGGGCAAAAGGTGCTTTTCTCCACTTGATCGCAACGTTTAATTATTTTTTTTATTGCAGATTACCTTTGAATTCACTCATAATGAAACGAAAAAAGTCGTACAACGCTTCGCTTATGAGGACGCTCAAGTTTACAGACTAGCCTACCAAATCCTGGAAGATAGAAAAATTTCCACTTCAGGATTTGACGTCCACATCTTTATTGTAAGTAAATTACAATTTAGACTTTATTCAAGACTTACTAAGTAATTAACATTTGTGATTTCAGGCGGACACCGAAGAGAAACTCAAAAAAATTCCGACGTTTTCGACGGTGTCCTTCGGCCAGACCTACAAAGTCTTTTTGACTCCCGCGTATTATCCAACTAGCATTCCCGACAACGATAAAAAGTTCGTAGAGGCTTTACGAAAACTGTTCCCTGAGATAGAGGCAAGACAATTTGGTCAAACAATCCGTCCGAGCGTGCCCTCGAGAACCACAAATACTGCCGATGAAGGTCTTAAGCAGAGCTCGAAGGAGTTGTCTGAAGATTCGAGGAAGGAAAAAGAAAGAACTGAGGCATTGCTAACAGCGCCGGCGAAACCAATCAGGCACTCGATGGACAAGAGGTTGGAGGTCGAAAAATCATCTACCGCTGAAATAAGCCCTGCGGCAGTGGATTCAAAAACCCCAACCAGCTGCTCTGAAGTCACTGAGAAACGCCGCAAGGAACTGCCGAACACCGTGGATCAAAAACTCGCTGAGTTTATGGAAAAACTCACTGTAAAAATGAGCGACGACAATTCAAGACAAGTGGAAGCGGTCAAGTCGATGATTGGTCAGATTTTTAGACCAGAAGAAACCGAAGAGTACAAGAAATTGAAGCGTGGCTGCAAAAAGCTACTGAAGGAACTTCAGACCTCCCAAGAAGTCATGAAGAAACATGTAGATAAATATAACGAAGTGAAAACTAAACTCGAGCAAGAAAGGAAATTGGTCGCCGAATTGCAACAAGACTTGAAGCTCTCCAAATCTCAATGCGAACTGAATCTGCGCAAGATGCAAGGCTACAAAAAACGGATGGACGAGGAGATTGAGCGAAACGTGGAAGTAAACTTGCGTTTTCAGAACATGACCGCTGCATTAGACCGTCTAATAATTCAAGTTAATACGATTTTTAATGGCAAGGAATCGGAGGAGAAGCTCGAGGAGTCATCTACATGCGAAAGTTTTGAGGTCCTTAATCAAGATCAATTCCAAATCTCCTTCGATTCTCCTCATGGCTGATAAATTTTTATTTTTTTTCGTTTTTTGAAAATCTCGTTTCTTCTTGAAGAATAAAATGTGCTCTGACCATAAATCTATGAGTAATATCGAAATAGTTGTGCCTTGTGCGAATAATCAAAGTAGATTCTTCTGTTCAAGATCGCAATAGTCAAGGAAGAAACGCCTTGTTTCCCTGCTAAACCCTCATCATTTCGCGTGCTATCTCGCCAAGAAGAAGAAGATTGAATATCTCGGCTGTCACTAGAAACTGGACGGCAAAACTTTCAGGAAATGAATTATGGCTAGTCTTCAACAGGTATGAGAAATTTTAGGAAAATCTGAATGTTCCATTTGAAAAGCAATTCTTCAGATCTTACAAGTGAAGTCTTTCAGATGTGACACTCAGGTTTTCTTAAAATTTTGCATAACCGTTCTAGACCAGCCGTAAATCATTTCCTGAAAGTTTTGCCTCCCACTTTACAGTAGAAGCAGAGAAATTCAGCGGTCTTCTTTTCGAGACACCATGCAAAATGAGGAGAGTTAGGCATGGAAAAGCGAGTTTTCCCCATAAATTTTTGTCCCAGGATGAGAAAATCTTGTTCACTTGTAGAAACATCTTGCGACAGGTTAGTAATCGATCGTGAAATTTGTAAACCGAAAATCGCAAAAAAATTGTCAATTTTTGAGCATGTAATGTTTCGAAAACTCTCCTCGGTTTCTAGAAAATAAAGGCTAAGAGATTCGAATATGTATCACAAAATGGGGTTTTCAAACCTAGCCAGCTTCTATCCAAGTCTGTTTGCCGCACCTGAAAGCCGCCCCTTGCCAGATTTTATTAAAAATTGACCTTGTACTTGATGAACAACATCTCAAAGGACAAAAAAGACGATTTCGAGAATTGTGCAAACGACTTCACTAAAATGATCAATAGTCTAAACCCCATTTTACCTCATTAGACAATAAAGGTTCAATAATTTCACAAAAAAACTTAATTTCAAAATTTTGCAATGAATATTGGACTGAAATTGAAAAATCCTCGGATAACCTAAAACACCAAAGCCTATCAATACTTCACTGTCAATTTCGAAGCTCTAAACTGCTAAAAATGCAGTAAATTGTTTGCCAACACAGGGGATTCGGATTTACTTATAAAAACTTTTATTTACTTATAGCTCCCAAAAATTGCCCATTTGCTCTGTGAGTAAAGGGCGAGGTGTGGCCGTTAGGTCCTCAATGTAATCCAGAGACTCCTATTTACACTCAATAATGTAAAATGTTTTGACTTGACACTTTTCGTAAAGTAGACTACGTACCACATTTGCTCCAAATTGGTACACTTTGGACCGAGTTAGAAGGGGGGTCAAAACTTTTGGCGGGGAGTATATATGAAAAGTGAATACTCGATCTCGTTCGCCCCTCAGAAGCAAAGAGTTCCAAGATCCAATTTGGAAATTTAAAAAAACGCCCGCTAGCCAGCACGTAAGTGAATAATAGCAGCTATTTAATTCAAGGTGGTCCTTGACCAGTTTTTTACACTCTTTCAATTGGTAGATGTTTCAAGAAAAACCCAGGAGACGAGGTTTTGCCGAGTCCTTGTTAGAGATGTCGCGACCAACGCGCCTCCTCGTTTCTGCGAGGTCGGCGTTGTTGGTTGCGCAACGAACCTCGGTATAAAAGGGCTCGCGATCCGTATTCAGAGAGAGAGAGAGAGTTTGGAATGGGAGTGAGCATGGCTGCCTCATTTCGAGGACAATGAAGACACCATGAGATATTTGGGGTGGTCCTATAAGCTGTAGAGGATGCGGAGAACCGGGTCGTGGAAGACGGTGAGGTACCGGTTTCCTCATTGGGGCGAGGGTCAATCCATCGTACCCCCACAAGAATTGGGTGATTACAGAGATTTCTCGAATAAAAAAAGGATTTTTTTCTTTGATTTGCCTCCTAAACAGATCGTTTGCTCGACTGACTATTTTTACAATTCCTTTTGTTCATTTTTATTGGTTTTTGGCGTATTTTTACTTATTTATTGATCAATTTCTAACATTCATTTTCAGAATATCAAACCCCAACGTATACCTCACGTCTCCATCATGGTCAAGATCTTTTTCGAGACTGGCAGTGGAGAGGTTGTAGAGCTGGAGAAGAACAATTTTGAAGTCGAAGAGAGTATTTGGAGTGTGGTCGGCAACTACCTGCGGGATTTCGATGACCTCAAAGGTTTTAGCGTTCCGCGATGCACCTTCAAGGGAAAGGGCATCTCTCCCCACACGGTGTTGACTCCTCAACACGACGAAATTTTTGCCAAGCTGAGGACTTATGAGGTTGGTTTTATGCTTTTTATGTTTAGGAGGAAATTTCTGAGTGCTAAAAAGCAAAAAAATTATCACAACAAAAATTTTTGATATTTGTCCCAAAATTTTATCACTTGGTGTACTCCCCCTGTTAGAATTTTTGTGTTAAAAATCAATCTCCTCTGCTTTTAGATCCGCCTCGACTATAAGTTCGAAAAAACTGGTCTTGGTTGGGTAGGTACTGTAAAGTGCCAGGAAACTGACAACATCCTGAAAGTTTTGAAGAGAAAATTGAAGGAGAATAAGCATCCAGAGATCTTCAAAGTCAAGTATGTGCAACAGACGCTGCCGAATGGATTCGTTGAACGCATTCATGGAACTATTTATGCTGGCTCCACATACGTCGTCCGTCTGACACAAACTAATATGGTAAGCAAAAAAATCTTTTATGATTCAACTTTTTTACATAAAAAATTACGTTTCTCATATTTACGCATCACCGATTTCAGTTTTGATAAAATTTTGACGAAAGTTTGAGTAACATTTTTTAAGAGATTTTTGAGGTGTCACGCACGGCGATTTTACAAGGAAAGTACTTTTATGGGGGCTCCTACTTTTTGACGGGACATATCTCAAAAAATCAGAAAAAATGTGCTGATCAAGGATATATAAATCTTAGCTGCCCATTTTAGGTTTTTAGAGGTGAAAACTCAATCGGAAGTTAACTTAAAGTTCTATATGAACCCCTTTTCGCTTAATTTTTCACGGGTCTACAATTTTTATTTTGGCTTAAAATGATGTTTATTGAGTTTCTAAGACGTAAAAAATCAGTCTTGGCCAAAAATTTATTTTTCCGACCTTCAACTTCAAAAAAAGTTGATTCAGCCCGAAAGAGAAATCGAACCCTTGCGGCGTTCCCGCTCTTGATTCCCAAACTACGGCGCTAGCCACTCGGCCACACCGCTCTCTTCCGAAGGAGGCCGACTGCGCTTTTTATCGTTTCGAATGCCTGCGCCTTTTGTAGGGAAATTAAGGCAGTTTTTGGGCATTTTCACCCCTAAAAACCTAAAATGGGCAGCTAAAATTTATATATCCTTGATCAGCACATTTTTTCTGATTTTTTGAGTTATGTCTCGTCAAAAAGTAGGAGCCCCCATAAAAGTACTTTCCTTGTTAGGTCGAAAGTTGGCGAATAATCTGGGGTTTCCCCCGCCTGAAAAGCTGAGATTTTTAGTGATTGATACATGAAATTGATATATCATGCGTGTTAAATTCGAAGGAAATCTGAACATCGGACTTTGAACAAGCTACTTTTTCAAGGGAATTAGTCCTTAGTAATGACTTGTTTTAGCCGCACCGAGTCTCCGAAGCCATCGAGGCCGGCTTGCATCAGATCTCCGATCGCTTGGACGCGAGACCTTCGGCTTTCGTGGAAATCCTCACGGAAAGAATGGATGACAACACTTTAAGCCGAGTTGAAACCGTCAAGTCGAGGGTTTCCCAACTCCTCAGTCCCAAAGACACTCCAGAGTACACGAAGTTGAACGTCGATTACAACGACCTTTCCAAAAAACTTGCCTCGGCTCAGGAGGACCTCGAGAAGGAAACTAATCGATTGAAGGAGGTGATCCGACAGTGTCAAGCTGAATGCAGAGAGAAGGACGAAATTACCGTCAAACTTCGAGATGAATTGAACAACTCTCGCACCGAATGCAGCGAGAACTTGCAGATGGTGCAGGGATACAAGAAACGGTTCGACGAGGAGATTGAGAAGAATTTCAAGTCCGAAAACCAAATTGAGGCGCTGAAGAAGGAGTTGGCTGCGAAGGAGGTGAACTTGTAGGGGAGATGACAGGAACGAACTGGTTAGAGTGATTTACTGTTTTAATAAACAACATGTTATATCAGAACGCCAATGTTTATTCAATTTGGGGTCCCATCAAGGGGGGGGGCAGTCATTTGGGGAGTTCGATCTTGGCATTCCGAAGAAGGAGTTGGCTGCATCGGATGCCAGTGAAGAGGGAGAAGGTGAGAATTCGACCGAGTACGTCGAACCCTCGGAGGAGAATCAAGTTGGACAGAAAAGTGTCTACGAGGTCATTTTCGGGCAATCAGAACTGCATGACGTTTGACGCAGATTTAAAATAGAATTTTCTACTCAGAAATCCATGAGATTTTTTTAACGGATATTGTAAAAAATTGGCATTTTTTGCAATTTTTTTGGTTTGGAAATGTCAGGCAGAATGACTATTGCGGCGTGTAATGATTCTACAAATAATCAGCTTCTTCCGTGCAGGGTCGAAATAGTTACTGACAAAAAGAATTTATTTCGAACGCCTGTCCTCATTTCGCGTGCTCTCGCAAAGAAGGTTTATTATCTTGGTAGCGGCTGGGAAATGAATTTGCGGAAAATATGAATGCCCTACTTAATAATCCGGAAGTCTTCCCTTCAGATATCGGACGGGAATTCTTCCAGTGAGGGAATTCAGAGTGCAAATCTTTGTATACGAGGTCTTAACCAGTCGCAGACCAATCCTTGAAAGTTTTATCCCGCGGTTCTCAGCAGCTACCAAGATAATAAACTTTCTTTGCGAGAGAACACGCGAAATGGGGAGAGACGTTCTAAAGAATTTATTTTTGTCAGTAACTTTTTTGGCTTTGCACTGAAGAAGCTGATTATTTGTAGAATCATTACACGCTGCATAGTCATTTAGCCTGACATTTCTAAACCAAAAAATCGCGAAAAAGGTCAATATTCTACAATATCCGTTCAAAAAAATCTCTGGGATCTCTGACAAGGGAATGGTTTGAACTGTCCGTGAGCTTTCAACATGAGACCCACAAATTCTGAAAGAGCGTAAAAAATTTAGTAAGAATCCGTTTTCCTTTTTTGCCGAATGGTCTTGGGACGGTCGATTTTTATCGACCGGTTTTAATATTTTTATGTTACAGTAATCTTAGAAACTTGGTTTTCAAAAAACTGAATGCTCAATCACCAAAAACGTATATATCCAGAATTTCGGGTCATTACCTCTTTTTATGACGCCGCGAGACATAAAATTCCAAAAAGGACAAATTAATGCAAATTTATGCCTTCCGGGCAGAATTTGGGAAAAATATTTTGGGCGTTTGTTAAACACATGTCTACAGTCATTTTAGACCAAAAGATTCAAAATCGACTTTTTTGTAAATATTCACGCGGTCACAGCTGACGCAGGGAGCCAAAAATAATCTTTTCAACTTTTCTTGCAAAATTTTGAGAAAAGGCGAAAATTTGGCAACATTCTTTTCTGGAAGCCCGAAAAAATTTGCAATATCGTGGAAAACCTCCTGGAATGGTCCAAAAACATCTTTAACATACCAGAAGATTGACAAATGGCATCATCGAAAACTCAAAAATGTTGCCAAATTGTCAACTTTTCTTGAAATTTTGCAAAAAAATCTGTAAAACATTTGAATAAATAAAAAAAATTCTTTACGTAGCTATTGAATACAGTAACTGATATGTACGACCAAGCCGAGGATATCCGCTTCGGCTGGACTCGAACCTCCAAGACCTCCCTCTGCCAAAAGATTTGTGCGTGGAACTTTTTCCACGAGACTATTTGGTGACGCTTTCCTGGGCATTTCGGTTTATCTTTTCTCTCTTTCAATTCCTTTAGTCGGATCTTTCTGTCGATATTTCTCGTCTCTCAAGACCATTCGGCAAAAATGGAAAACGGATTCCTACTAAACTTTGTACGGTCTTTCAGAATTTGGGGGTCTCATGTTGAAAGCTCACGGACAGTTCAAACCATTCCCTTGTGAGGAATGCCAGGAGTTTCGCAAATGTCATTGAAAATGCTATTCCAAATGTGCGTGGATTCTTATGCAATTCTGTTTGCTCCGCGTCAGTAACTTGCTTTGTTGCAGGGGGAAGATGCACGAGAAAGGCAGGATGAAGAGCGTCATAAAGAAGAAGGTTCTGAGCAAAATTTTGAGGGAAAAAAGGAAGAAAACGGAGAAGAGACTCAAGAGGAAAATGAAGAAGAGGAGGCAAGTGAGGAAGTTAGCTACGAAAACACGGCCAAGGAAGACTTCGAAGTGGTGGAGCCGACTTCTTGTTGACTCTAATCAGTGTCCAAATTAATCTAAAGGTAATATTAACCATAATCATATTTGTTTTCCAGTTGTTATTTTCACAGTTAACCGTTATTTCAATTTTTTGAATAAAAACCCACAGAAATATGAGGACCGGAAAATAATTTTGTTTATTCAATGTGAAAGTTTTTTCGCCGATTATGCAATGTGGGGCAGGATCAATTCAAATTCATACGATTTCGAATGGCAAAGCATCGGAAGAGAAGCTCGAGGAGTCATCTGCAGGCGAAAGTTTTGAGGTCCTTAATCAAAATCAATTTCAAATCTCCGACGATTCTCCTCATGGTTGATAAATTTTTATTTTTTTTCGTTTTTTGAAAATCTCGTTTCTTCTTGAAGAATAAAACGCGTTTTGGCTATAAATATATGAGTAATATCGAAATAGTTGTGCGAATAATCAAAGTAGATTCTTCTGTTCAAGATCGAAATAGTTAAGGAAGAAACGCCTTGTTTCCCTGCTAAACCCTCATCATTTCGCGTGCTATCTCGCCAAGAAGAAGATTGAATATCGCGGCTGCTACTGTAAAATGAGTGGCAAAACTTTCAGGAAATGATTTATGGCTAGTCTTCAACAGGTATGAGAAATTTTAGAAAAATCTGAATGTTCCATTTGAAAAGCAATTCTTCAGATCTTACAAGTGAAGTCTTTCAGATGTGACACTCAGGTTTTCTTAAAATTTTGCATAACCGTTCTAGACCAGCCGTAAATCATTTCCTGAAAGTTTTGCCTCCCACTTTACAGTAGAAGCAGAGAAATTCAGCGGTCTTCTTTTCGAGACACCATGCAAAATGAGGAGAGTTAGGCATGGAAAAGCGAGTTTTCCCCATAAATTTTTGTCCCAGGATGAGAAAATCTTGTTCACTTGTAGAAACATCTTGCGACAGGTTAGTAATCGATCGTGAAATTTGTAAACCGAAAATCGCAAAAAAATTGTCAATTTTTGAGCATGTAATGTTTCGAAAACTCTCCTCGGTTTCTAGAAAATAAAGGCTAAGAGATTCGAATATGTATCACAAAATGGGGTTTTCAAACCTAGCCAGCTTCTATCCAAGTCTGTTTGCCGCACCTGAAAGCCGCCCCTTGCCAGATTTTATTAAAAATTGACCTTGTACTTGATGAACAACATCTCAAAGGACAAAAAAGACGATTTCGAGAATTGTGCAAACGACTTCACTAAAATGATCAATAGTCTAAACCCCATTTTACCTCATTAGACAATAAAGGTTCAATAATTTCACAAAAAAACTTAATTTCAAAATTTTGCAATGAATATTGGACTGAAATTGAAAAATCCTCGGATAACCTAAAACACCAAAGCCTATCAATACTTCACTGTCAATTTCGAAGCTCTAAACTGCTAAAAATGCAGTAAATTGTTTGCCAACACAGGGGATTCGGATTTACTTATAAAAACTCTTATTTACTTATAGCTCCCAAAAATTGCCCATTTGCTCTGTGAGTAAAGGGCGAGGTGTGGCCGTTAGGTCCTCAATGTAATCCAGAGACTCCTATTTACACTCAATAATGTAAAATGTTTTGACTTGACACTTTTTGTAAAGTAGACTACGTATCAAATTTGCTCCAAATTGGTACATTTTGGACCGAGTTAGAAGGGGGGTCAAAACTTTTGGCGGGGAGTATATATGAAAAGTGAATACTCGATCTCGTTCGCCCCTCAGAAGCAAAGAGTGACAAGATCCAATTTGGAAATTTAAAAAAACGCCCGCTAGCCAGCACGTAAGTGAATAATAGCAGCTATTTAATTCAAGGTGGTCCTTGACCAGTTTTTTACACTCTTTCAATTGGTACATGTTTGAAGAAAAACCCAGGAGACGAGGTTTTGCCGAGCCCTTGTTAGAGATGTCGCGACCAACGCGCCTCCTCGTTTCTGCGAGGTCGGCGTTGTTGGTTGCGCAACGAACCTCGGTATAAAAGGGCTCGCGATCCGTGTTCAGAGAGAGTTTGGAATGGGAGTGAGCATGGCTGTCTCATTTCGAAGACAATAATGGCACCATGAGATATTTGGGGTTGTCCTATAAGCTGTAGAGGATGCGGAGAACCGGGTCGTGGAAGACGGTGAGGTACCGGTTTCCTCATTGGGGCGAGGGTCAATCCATCGTACCCCCACAAGAATTGGGTGATTACAGAGATTTCTCGAATAAAAAAAGGATTTTTTTCTTTGATTTGCCTCCTAAACAGATCGTTTGTTCGACTGACTATTTTTACAATTCCTTTTGTTCATTTTTCTTGGTTTTTGGCGTATTTTTACAGGGTGCGGCAATTTTTCGGCCGGATTTGAATTGGCTATAACTTTTTTAGTTTTTATCCGAATGTTAAAATTCTTTTTTTACCTGAATCCTCAGACAACCCCATTTTGTTTAATACCAAATATGTTACATATACAGGGACCTAGTTCATAGTTATTGGCCTTTCGGTCGTTTTCTCTGCTTTTTCGGCGTGTGTGAAAATCGCCATAAAAAATGACTTTTTTTTACGCATTTTGTCGTAAAAAGTTTCATGCATGTTCATGCCATGGAGAATACCGTTTCCACAAAAAATCAGCTATTTCCGCACAAAATTAGCGAGGATATAGCCAAAAAGTTTTTCTGTGTGACCACTCATGTGCCCTCCTGACCGCAAAGAATCGTTGAATATCTTCGTCGCCCCTGAAAGGTGCGGGCTGAAACTTTCATGAATTGATGTGTGGCCTATGTCCGGCCCATGTGCAAAATTTAAAGAAAATCTGAGAGTCGTACTAGGGGTAATTCCATTGTCAGCTATGAAAATTAGAGCTTTTTCTTTGTCTCGAATTTTTACTGTAGTCTAATGAACGGGTATAACATATATGGTAGTAAACAAAATGGGGTTGTCTATGGATTCAGGGAAAAAAAGAATTTTAACATTTGCACAAAAACTAAAAAAGTTATGGCCAATTAAAATGGCCGGCCGAAAAATTGCCGCACCCTGTACTTATATATTTATTGATCAATTTCTAACATTCATTTTCAGAATATCGAACCCCAACGTATACCTCACGTCTCCATCATGGTCAAGATCTTTTTCGAGACTGGCAGTGGAGAGGTTGTAGAGCTGGAGAAGAACAATTTTGAAGTCGAAGAGAGTATTTGGAGTGTGGTCGGCAACTACCTGCGGGATTTCGATGACCTCAAAGGTTTTAGCGTTCCGCGATGCACCTTCAAGGGAAAGGGCATCTCTCCCCACACGGTGTTGACTCCTCAACACGACGAGATTTTTGCCAAGCTGAGGACTTATGAGGTTGGTTTTATGCTTTTTATGTTTAGGAGGAAATTTCTGAGTGCTAAAAAGCAAAAAAATTATCACAACAAAAATTTTTGATATTTGTCCCAAAATTTTATCACTTGGTGTACTCCCCCTGTTAGAACTTTTGTGTTAAAAATAAATCTCCTCTGCTTTTAGATCCGCCTCGACTATAAGTTCGAAAAAACTGGTCTTGGTTGGGTAGGTACTGTAAAGTGCCAGGAAACTGACAACATCCTGAAAGTTTTGAAGAGAAAATTGAAGGAGAATAAGCATCCAGAGACCTTCAAAGTCAAGTATGTGCAACACACGCTGCCGGATGGACTTGATAAACGCATTGATGGAACTATTTATAATGGATCCACATATATCGTCCGTCTGACACAAACTGATATGGTAAGCAAAAAAATCTTTTATGATTAAACTTTTTTACATAAAAAATTACGTTTCTCATATTTACGCAGCACCGACTTCAGTTTTGATAAAATTTTGACGCAAATATATATATATTTTTTTAAGAGATTTGTGAGGTGTCACGAACGGCGATTTTAGGTCGAAAGTTGGCCAATATTCTGGGGTTTCTTCCGCCTGAAAAGCTGAGATTTTCAGTGATTGATACTTGACATTGATGTATCATCTGTGTTAAATTAGAAGGAAGTCTGAACATCGGACTTTGAACAAGCTACTTTTTCAAGGGAATTAGTACTTACAAGGGATCGGCAAATAGTTGCAACCTTTAATCTTAACGAAACATAAATCGTTTGAAAGAGCATTAAAAATAGTGCACAACGCAAAAAAAATTAGCTGCCTAATATATGTTTGGACAAAGTTATGGCCATAACACAGTTTTTAGCCTAATTTCATGCGTCACTTTATAAGCTCTTGGAATCGCAATAGAATAGTGTCCAGTTGGCCGAGTGGTAGTGACTCCACTTCCGGCGCAACAAGTCCTGGTTTCGAATCCGGGCTCTGCGGATTTTTTGCGTTTTGTATCTTATATGCCACAAAACCATGGTATGTTGGTATTTTTTAACAGTTTGTGTCCTTTTGCAGACGAAATTCATTTTTACGGGATTTTTTTGAATTTCTGGCTTTTTTTGAAACGACCACAAATTTGATGGTGATGAGAGTGGGGATACCACTATCATATAATGCAAGGGTGTCATCCCAGTAGCCTGACCTATTATAATTACTGGACGAGAATTGAATTTACTAGGACCTGTAAATATACATTTTTTCGAAAAAATACGAAGAGAAAATTGTAAAATCGGGCAAAAGACTATTGCTGACACAGTGGACCAGCCATTGGTAGGGTAGGACACACGAAATTTTGAATTTTGAGATTTTAGTTTGTGAACGACCACAACAATCATATAAATGTATTTCCAAAGCTTTTTGCTTCAATTTTCTCATTAACCTAGTTTTATTTACAATTTTTTGGAACAAGCAGTAATGTCTAATAACTCATAACCGAGAATTGGTAGAGCCTTAAAACGACCGTGATAGACGTTTTTGAACACTAGAAAATGAAAGGAGGCGATTTCAAGCCGCCAGGATTACTGTAATATAAGAAACCGGCGTTTTGGCCGCATATAACCACTTTCATAAAACGGCCATAACTTTGCCCAAACATAAATTAGGCAGCTAATTTTTTTTGCGTTGTGCACTGCTTTTAATGCTCTTTCAAATGATATATGTTTCGTTAAGATTAAAGGTTGCAACTATTTGCCGATCCCTTGTTAGTTAAAATTTCTTTTAGCCGCATGGAGTCTCCGAAGCCACCGAGGCCGGCTTGCATCAGATCTCCGATCGCTTGGACGCGAAACTTTCGGCTTTCATGGAAATCCTCAAGGAAAGAATGGATGACAACACTTTAAGCCGAGTTGAAACCGTCAAGTCGAGGGTTTCCCAACTCCTCAGTCCCAAAGACACTCCAGAGTACACGAAGTTGAACGTCGATTACAACGACCTTTCCAAAAAACTTGCCTCGGCTCAGGAGGACCTCGAGAAGGAAACTAATCGATTGAAGGAGGTGATCCGACAGTGTCAAGCTGAATGCAGAGAGAAGGACGAAATTACCGTCAAACTTCGAGATGAATTGAACAACTCTCGCACCGAATGCAGCGAGAACTTGCAGATGGTGCAGGGATACAAGAAACTGATCGGCGAGGAGATTGAGAAGAATGTCAAGTCCGAAAACCAAATTGAGGCGCTGAAGAAGGAGTTGGCTGCGAAGGAGGAGGCTCTGAAGAAACATGAAGAACTTGGAAGGGAGATCTATCAAAAAGCTTGTGTTTGCGAGGTAATTTTCGGGCAATCAACTGCATGAAGTTTGACGCAGATATAACATAGTATTTTCAAAGAGATTTCTTAGAAATCCATGAGATTTTTTTAACGGATATTGTAAAAAATTGACATTTTTTGCAATTTTTTTGGTTTGGAAATGTCAGGCAGAATGACTATTGCGGCATGTAATGATTCTACAAATAATCAGCTTCTTCCGTGCAGGGTCGAAATAGTTACTGACAAAAAGAATTTCTTTAGAACGCCTGTCAAAAAAAAAAGAAATTCAAAATTTGAGGACTTTGCCAAGGTTTGAATAGCATCCAAAGCGACCAAGATTGAAACTATATAGTACGAGAGTACACCGAGGGCACTGATTCAGGTATGACATTAAAAATCCAGCAATTCTGTCACCTTTATGGTGAAAACTGAAAAAAACAAAAAATCTCGAAAATTGGTCGTATCTTTCGACCGGTCGGCCTGAGACTCATGGGAATGGGGTTTAAAAGTCTTAGAATTTTATGTAGATTATAATGGAATTAAACTTTGCCCCCATATCTCACGTATCCAATTTTGAAACAAAAAAATTTCGTGATGACCAAATGTTTAGAGGCCTCGTTCTTAGACTTGACAAGCCGCCCAGCCATGATTTTGCCACCGTTGGAATCCCCATATCATAGAGCGTTATTTACAGCAATAAAACGGATGTACAAGTATGCAAATTTTTTATGAAAATTCAAGAATTTTAAATTTTTTGCTAAGTATGCAAATTTTCGCACACATCCAGAAGTCCTAGCAAAAAGGTGTCAATATGAAAGTTGCTTAGAATCAATCATTCTATAATCCTGAAAAGGTCCGGAGTCAAACGGGCAACTAGTCGAGGAGAAACGAAAAATAACTACGGTAGGTATTTCAAGTCTCTACTGTAACATCTTGTTTTTTGTGCACAAGGCAAATCTGAAAGCTCGAGTCTCTCGAAAAACCTGTTTTAATATCCTGGTAGCTGCTGAGAAATGCGGGATAAAACTTTGAGGGATTGGTTTGCGACTGAAGAAGACATCGTATACAAAAATTTGCGAAAATATAAATGCCCTACTGAATAATCTGAAAGACTTTCCTTCAGATATCGGAAGGGAATTCTTCCAGTTAGGGAATTCAGAGTGCAAATTTTTGTATACGAGGTCTTAACCAGTCGCAAACCAATCCTTGAAAGTTTTATCTCGCGGTTCTCAGCAGCTACCAAGATAATAAACTTTCTTTGCGAGAGAACACGCGAAATGGGGAGAGACGTTCTAAAGAATTTATTTTTGTCAGTAACTTTTTTGGCTTTGCACTGAAGAAGCTGATTATTTGTAGAATCATTACACGCTGCATAGTCATTTAGCCTGACATTTCTAAACCAAAAAATGTCAATACTCTACAATATCCGTTCAAAAAAATCTCTGGGATCTCTGAGGAATGGAAGCCGGGAGTTTCGCAAATGTCATTGAAAATGCTATTCCAAATGTGCGTGGATTCTTATGCAATCCTGTTTGCCCCGCGTCAATAACTTTTTTTGTTGCAGAAGGAAGATGCAACAGAAAATCAGGATGAAGAGCGTCATAAAGAAGAAGATTCTGTGCAAAATGTAGAGGAACAGGCAAGTGAGGAAGTTAACGACGAAAACACGGCCAAGGAAGACTTCGAAGTGGTGGAGCTGACTTCTTGTTGACTCTAATCAGTGTCCAAATTAATCTAAAGGTAATATTAACCATAATCAATCTCATATTTGTTTTCCAGTTGCTATTTTAATTGTTATTTTCACAATTAACCGTTATTTTAATTTTGTTGAATAAAAACCTTCAGTGAGGCATGGAATACTACTATTAGCTTTTCCATAATGTGCGTAGACTTTTTTCGTGGCGCACGGTGCATTATGCTTCTTCTTTTTAACTGTGCAAAAGGTTAAATTTTGTTTGATCAAATAGTTCATTTTATTCGGGTATACGATGACAATAATATTTAGTTCTCATCCATAACAGTCTGTCTGGAAAATAATGTGGAGTTGTCGCGCTTTGGAAAAGCCTATGATTGCCTTGGGGCGGATGGGATTTGATGCGCGACTGCGACAAGGGCGAGAAATTTTCCGCGACAAATCCACATGACCCTCCCGACAGACTGATACAGTGATTCATCTATTTTCCATAGGGCCATGAGTAGACCGGCGGTTGGTAATAGCCTCCGGGATAGTAGCCGCCGTATCCACCATATCCCCCGAAACGGCGCAGAAATTTCATTCGACTCGAGGACCAGGAGTATGAGGCTTTGGCGTCGACAACGGCCATTAGAGTTAGGACCAGGATTAGGGCAAGTAGAATAGATTTGACCATGATTTATAACTGAAAATATGGTTTTTAGATAAGGTGTGTAAAATCGGTAAAAATGGGGCAAATTAGGAATAGAAGTCTATTAAGGGCATTTTAACTTGCGCTAAGAACCTAGAAATTATCCTTTAAACTTATAGTATTGCACATTCAAAATCGGAAAGGTACGATGCGGTAGTATCCGAAAAAATCAAAAATTACTTGTGATCTGTTTTCGACTATTTTGGGGTCCTTTTATAGGGCTTTCGGCGATTTCGTTAGCCGCGATTTCGCTCGGAAACATATCAATCATTTTTGATTAAACATTTGATTTTCTGTGATCTGTAGTTTCAAATTGGAAAGAAATTTAATCTCCTAAACCAGTAAGGTTTTTCGCGAATGATTTTCAAAGGTCGTGCTTTCCAGAAACGACGAGGTTTTTCGGTTGAAAGTTGGAAACATGTGGAATTGTTTTTGCGAATTTTGCCATGAAAAGTTTCGAATCTGTTTCTGCCGTAGAGGGTAACGTTTCCACAAAAAATCAATATTTTCCGCACGAAACTAGCAAAGTTATGGCCAAAAAAGTGTTTTTCTCTGTGCCGGCTCTCCGCTTTTTGCGTACTCTCTCGGCCATAAAGATTGTTGAAAATCTCGGCTTTGGCTGCGAAGCGCAAGCTAAAACTTTCACGTTCCTGTTGTCCTAACGGTAACATGAAAGTTTTTGCCGAGAGAGTGCGCGAAACGTGGAGAGCTGCCAGAGAGAAAAACACTTTTTTGGCCATAACTTTGCTAATTTCGTGCGGAAAAAATTGGTTTTTTGCGGAAACATTACCCTCTATCGTGGAAATAGGCACAAAACTTTTCATGCCAAAATTCACAAGAGGCCGCCTTTTTTCCAACTTTTGACTAAAAAATCTCGGTCGTTTCTGCAAAACGCGTCCTAAGAATCTCGCGTGTATCTTGGGAAAAATTATTTCAAATTTGGCAAAGTTTCATCACGATCTGAGCGTTGTACTTGGGGTACTTTCCTTTTAAGCAAAAAAACTTAATTACTTCGTCTTTAAACTTGTTTTTATTTCTGATAAAGTTCGCACGATCCAGATATCAAAGTTTTTGGTGATCCTTGTGCTTACTGTGTCAGCTTTTTCGGCGAATACGTCATTAAATTGCAAAGTGTTTTTGAGAAAAATGTAGGGTAACAAATATAGATTCTGCTCGGTTGTGAAGGGGAAAGAACGGCTCTAATAAGAAACAACATATGACTTGTGTTTTAACCATACCTTGTCATCAAACTACACTGTTGGACAAAATTTTCACACCAATTTTAAAACTTCTGTAGCTTGTTTGGTTGTCAATAGAAATGTGTCATATTTGACATCAATATGTGTTAGTATGTTATAAATCTTGTGCCATAGAATTATTTCGAAAAGTTTCCTTAATTTGGAAAAAAGCTGAAGAAACCCAAATTTTGAGTTTCTTTGCGACAAAATTATTGTATAACTTCACTTATAAACTTTCCGAAGGGCGCAAGTTTTATAGTACGCTAATGCATATTGGTGCCTAATATGACATATTTCCATTGACTACCAAAAAAGTTACGGCAATTTTAAAAGTGGGGTGCAAAATGCAATATCCGATTACTGTAGGGCAAATAAATGTAAAAAGAGTTCTCTTTTTACATTTTTTTGTATTAGCGAATATGAAAAAGGTGCAAAAAATTTACTTATTTGTTATAGCAACATTTTCGTGGTACACATGTTGAGCTTTGGCTTAAGAATCCGCTGACCTTTCACTCAGCGAGTGAAAATCCGCATTCTTCGGCTACAACTCCACCTTAACACACCGGCCCTCTTTTTCTTGAACTTTTGTTCTCTTCTCATATTGCATAACCATTAGCGCGACTTGGCTTATATTGTTGTCCTTGTAGAGAGGCTCAACACGATGTCTCTGTGAGTTTGCTGCTCCATTATTGGCGTCAAAGGCGCCTTCAATTTCCGTAGCGGCTCTTGAGAGGTTGGAGTAAGAATGAGTCATGTTTTCATTAGCAATCTCGTAGGTTGTTTCTATACTTTCTAGACGACCTAGGTTCTCACCAAGTGGGCCTGAAATGCTCTCTCTCCCTTCGTCATCAGATTTTGCCTCCTTCGGTGTGGTATTTAATGGATCCTTGTTGTCAGTTGAGATGTGGTCAGCGCTTGCTTCGACAAACACTTCCTCGTCGCTTCCATCCGAGTCCGGCTAAAACTGATATCGTAAATGACTGTCATTGGTGTGAAAAGGATCATGCCTATTCTCATATACAGTCAACAACTCGCAAGGGACCACAAAATTTCTCCTTTATGGAAGGGTTTTGTTGCATGCCGGTTTATTTTCGCCTAAAATTGGCCCTTGAGACCTTGAATACGTTTGTTATAGGCACGTTTTGTTGTACGGGAGTTTCTTGCACAGAAATTTCACTGTAATTGTAAAACGACACTTACCTTATCTATACATAATCTGACCTCAATTACGTCATGTTCTGTGGTAAGAATGGTCTCTAACGGCAAGTCATCGCCTTTGAAGGAGCATTGAACTCCTCGGAAATATCGCGGCTCAGAATAGTTGCGTAGATAGTTGTCTAAAACGTCTTGAACAGTCTCTTCCTTGCTGAAGTCGGTCTTCTCCAACTCTACGATCTCTCCAATGCCTGTGTCCAAACGAATTCTTATCATATCTGCCAACAAACTGGGCTGAAGGTAAATGGAAAGCTATTTACCTTTCAGCCGACTTATGTTGCTTATATATTGACAGTTATTGGATGATTCCAAGAAGTGTGAATCATCGAAAACAAAGGAATAACAATGAGTCATGTGAATGACAGTGCTACCGTCATTACAACAAGGGGCGTATGTTTCTGCAGGGCTTCGGCTAACTGGGAGACTACTCCAAGTGCGACGCTCAGATTTTTATAAAACTCGGTACGAAATTAGATTACTTTTGTCTAACAGTAAGGGTCCTTTTCAGAAAAGTTTCAACGAAAGAATTATTATTCTGTCATTGCAAAAATGACAATTGTTGTCATGCCTGGTCGTTTTCTACTTTTTCTTCGTTATAAAAATATTAAAGTTTGCTTTTTCTTTCGTAAGAATTAAAAAAAAACTTTTTTTTTGTAGCTTCTGGGGGATGTTTCACGTACAAAAAGGGAACTAACTTGAGTTAGCGGCATCACGGAAAAAGCGGAGAGAGCAGAGAGAAAGGGGAGTGGTAACTCGAGTGATGTGACTTTTTATCGACTTTGGCCGCACATTTTGGGCCATAACTTTAGAGACAGTGAACCAATTTGCGCCCTTCCAAAAAAATATTAATCCTGGCGGTACACAGAATATATGGATATAAATTTGTAAAATTTCCTCCTAAATTATGCAAATTATATGCAAATTCTTTTTTGCTATCTTAAAGACCGTCTTTTAATAAAATCTTTATATAGACATGTTCCCTACGCTCTCAGCATCAAAGGGTTTTTTGAAGGGTGTAAATTGGTATACTGTATCAGAAGTTATGGCCCGCGCTACAGTGGGCGAGAATTTTTTGGTCATAACTTTTGTCACAGTAAACCAATTTGTAAATTTTTAAGAAAATTTAAAAGCCGGGACCACGCTTCGTATGATGGTATCAAATTTTTTTTCCGTATCCCGCATCTTTTAAGATTTAAAAATACCAAGCGAAAAATCTGCATATAATTTGCAAAATTTAAAAGGAAAGTTTACAAATTTATATCCATGTATTCTGTGTACCGCCAGCATTAATATTTTTTTGGAAGGGCGTGAATTGGTCCACTGTATCAAAAGTTATGGCCTAAAATGTCCGGTCATGTCCATAAAAAGTCGCCCGATTCGCCAATCAAAAAGAAGAGAGGTCACTCAAGTTACTATTCCTTTTTTTTCTGTGCTCTTTTAGCTTTTGCGTGATGCCGCTAACTCAAGTTAGTGCCCTCTTTGTACGTGAAACATCCTCCTGGTACTTTTATAATATGATTTTTGAGTTATTGATATTGACGGGAAAAGGGAATCGAACCCGGGTCCTTCCCAACAAAAGAAAAACGTGCAACCATTCTACTATCGAAGCTCATGAACCCAGTTTTTGGAAGGTCTTTTCGGGTTTTCCGTGAACTTTGACGAGCCATAACTCTGCCCTCAGGGCCCGTAAACACTTTTGGAAGCCAGATTCTTATTGCACTGTCTGAGGCCTTCAACATCCACTAGGTCACCAGTATGGATCGAATCTGCGAAAAAAGTGACTTCCCTGGTGAGTCACTTCTTTTTCCGCAACCTTTTTGTTCATCGATCTACAGCTATGTCATCGCAATGTTTTCGTAGATGCCCGCAACGACTTCTTATGACGCTTTTCCGGAAACTCTCTTGTAAAGAAACTCGAAAAACGCACGATTTTTGGCTGCACTTTCACTTTCGAGTGTTTTCTGGATGAACAATTATTGCCAAGTCGGCCTTGCAATTTCCCCGAAGTACAATAAAACATGTGTTTATTACGAAAATAATTGAGAAATGAGGCGGAGAAGTGAGTTAGAACTCTTCCTTGAACGGGTATTCGGGATGATGAGCGACGCTGAAAAAATGGGTTGATTTGCCGCTGCAAGTCATTTATTGAAAAAATTACGGCTAAAAAGGTTTAAAATCTACTTACAAGTCCATGACATGCAGCCTTGTGTTCACTCCAATATTCATTAATCTTTTCTGGTCATCCTGCGAGATCTCAAAGTCAAACACGTCCAAATTCTCTCGGATTCTCTGTGGATTCAGGCTCTTTGGGATCACCGCAATTCCCCGTTGAATTACGTGACGGAGGAGGATTTGAGCGGGGGTTTTATTGTACTTTTCGGAGAGCTCAAGGGTCAGTGGGTGGTTCAGACAATCGCCTGGAAATAGGACGTAATTCAGGGGGCAGAGACAGATAAAGGAAAAACAATTATAGACGTTCAAAGTTATGGCCAAAGGCTCAGTTTTAGGCCAAAATTAACTTGCATGTAACGAAGCCCACCTATAACAAATTTAATTTTTGTCGCTTCTAATTCATTGTAAAGAGGGAAAAAATAATTTTTTTGTGGAAACAGTAGAAATACATAAGTATGAAATTTATCATGACGAAATGCTTCAAAAAATATCGGATTTTTGCCAACCTTCGACCTAAAAATCTCGGTCATTTCTGCAAAGTGCAAAATGGAATTCTCGCATATGTCGTGCAGAAAAAATCACTCTAATTTTTGTGTCAAGTTTCATAAAAATATGGGCGTCGCTCTTGCGTACTAGCTTGTAAAATAATTTTTGCCATCCAAAAAGAACACATTCGCCGTTCCCAGAAAAAAATTGCGCGTTTTTAAATCCGAGCATTGCATGAAAATTGCAACTTACCCTCAATATAAGTGAAGCCAGTCGCCTTTCTTCCCGGATTTCCCAACGTCGAAAATGACGTCACCGTTACGCCGAGTTTGTTGCAAAACTCGACCAGCTTGAATTGCGGGAAAAGAATGTGAAGCTCAACTTGGAGATTCATCGGTTTCACTTCGGCATTGTCGTAGACATACTGCAGTTGGCGAGCGGAGAAATTCGACACCCCAATTGCTTTGAACACCCCCTCATTGTAATATTTCTCGAGAACTCGCCAAGAATCCACCAGATCCACGTCATCAATCTCCCACTTTCCGTCTGGCCCCTCTTCCGGCGCGGTGTAGTCATCATTGGGCTGAAATTTGACGGTAAATTATTGAATTCCAAGAGCGAAAAAGGATGATTTTGCAAGCACAAATAGTCTGTCGGGAAAATAATGAGAGCAATGTCGCTGCGCCGATAGCGTCGCTGAAGTGAAAAGCAATATGATTTCGCCACGACACAATTCATCTTCTCGAGGTCGATGCGATTTTCGATGCGACAGAGTGCTCATTATTTTCCCGACAGACTGATATAAGTATTTTCATAAAGTGCAACATCGCTGCGACACAAGCAAGTTTCAATTACGTCGCCGCGGCACGTCAAGAAATTTCGGGCATTGCAAAGGTTCTCACAGCGAAAAAAAATTCATAAAATCTGTCATCCAAATCGCACATAACAACAATGTTTAACCTAATTTTTTTTATAGGAGCTCTAGGGAGTACTACTAGTCGTATACAACTGTTTTTTATGCCACTGGCACATTCTGAATGGGTGTCATCGTGACGCATTTTTTGAACACGGTTCGATCTAGGCTAAAAATAGTGCAAATTTCAGGGCCGAATATCAAAAAAACTGTCCCATCAAGCGGGACGAGACCGATGTAGATACTCGAAGAATAGTTTAAGGATTTTTTTGACGTGAAGCCTATACCCCCTTCCAGTTCTCTCTGGCTCGGTATCGTCGATACAAAATTTTATTTAGACGTTGTTTTCTTCGCCTTGGAAGACTGTCAAAATACTATGATTATGGGTATATTTTGATTCTATTAGCTTAAGCAACTCTCGAGCTTTCTGTTGGTATCAATATCTTGTAATTTACTAATAATCTTTATGTCAAAATATTGCAAACCATTTGGACAAAAACGGATTTGCACCGGGCAGAATGCCAAAAAAAATTCTAGGCTTTTTCATTGGGCGCCCGTTTTTCTTTTACTTTTTCTTGACGTGCGCGGCGGCACGGGGAATTTGCACGGTGCAAAAACAGAAAATCCACCGTGCGTTAGCGGCAAGCGTGGGCAAGGATAAAAATGCACTTTACAAAAGCGAAAAAAAGTTCCTTATGAAAATTCTAATATTAGTCTGTCGGGAAAATAGCGAGTACCATGTTGCATCAAAAATCGAGAAAATGAATTGTGTCGCGGCAAATTCAAATTGCTTTTCACTTCAGCGGCACGATAGAGCAGACGTCGTGCATTATTTTCCCGACACCCTGGTAAATTTACCTTCATCGCTGTAGAAAGATGGATCAAAAATAGGTCCACATAATCCAGCTGCAGGTTCTCCAACGACTTTTGGATCGCAATCTCCGCGAACTCCGGCCGATTCATAAACCAAGGAAGCTTGGTGGTGATGAAAAGATCTTCCCGTTTTAGCCTTCCGCTGTCCACAAATTCCTTGACAATCTCTCCAACAACATGCTCGTTCATGTAGTAGTAGGCGGTGTCGATGTGACGATAGCCGGCTTCCAATGCAGTCCGAAGGCCTTTACGGAGGGCTTCTTCATCGTTTGCCTGAAAGACGACATTTTTTTTTATTTTCAAAATACTATTGTCTTGGGGGAAAAATTTCTTCCAAAAGCCAGCGGCGTAGCTAGTAGGGGTGGGGAGGGCGGTATACTCACACTGTTAGCTGCTCCGGAGCCGGCTCTTGGCTCCGGCTCCGAGCCGAGAGCCGGAGCCGGAAATTTTGAGTCCGGCTCCGGCTCCCGAGCCCAGAGTCGGAACCGGAGCCAAAATTTTGGCCGTGGCAATCTCTGCTAATAAGCACTCTCATCGAAAATCGCATCGCCGCCGAGAAAATGAATTACGTCGCAGCGAAATCAAATTGCTTTCCACTTCAGCGACGCGATTGGCGCAACCACATCACGATCATTATTTTCCCGACAAACTAATAAATAGTATACAATGTAGAAGTGGGATGTTGCGCGGAGGTTCATTCGGGCCTAATCTCGACCCTTGTGACCTCTGACATTGTCCGCAATAGACGGGGTTCGTTCTATAGCGCTTCACTTACCAGCCATGTTCCATATCCCAATATGGGCATTTTGACTCCGTTCTTCATCGTGATATATTGTTTATTCTTCGCCGAGCTGCAGCAACCCATCTCGGCCACGAACGCGATTCGTTGAACCTTCCCAGACTTTGGGTTTATATTTATACAGACGTCGGAAAGGAGTAGTTTGTGGTAATAAACAAAAAGTAACCGCTTTTCAAAATACTGAGAGAGCTATGAAATCCACAGGAGAGTTCTAGAAGACTTCCCCTCGACTCCAACGAGTTCGGCGTAGCCTGTAGTGAGTTTACGTTTTTTGCTTTTGAAAAAACAAACTTTCTGCGTAGTTTTTAGTTTGTTGAGGTGGAAAAATTGGACCGCCCAAAGAAGCCGGAAGAAGAGGAAACAGCTTTGTAAATACTATAATGTAATAGTTCATGTGACAGTTTAATTTGTTTTTTTTCAGTCTGTCGGGAAAATAATGAGCACTCTGTCACATCGAAAATCGCATCGGCGCCGAGAAAATGAATTGTGTCGCGGCAAAATCAACTTGCTTTTTGCTTCAACGACACGATCGGGCAGCGACATTGAGCTCATTACTTTCAAAAAATGATGACTAAAACAATCGCAAACGCAACACAAGTCTAATTTAGACAGCACTTGCACTTAGCAGCAGCAGCAGCAGCAATTAACTATACTCCGGGACTAAAGTTTGGAACAGCCTAGATTTTCTTTGCGGCTTGAGATCAGAGTTTCATTTCTTTTCTATTAGAATCGGAATGCATTAAACCCCTGAATGGATGCTTAGTGCACTTGCGGAATATTTTCACTTCACTTCATTTTATTTATTTTTTTCTAGTTATTGCCATCCCAGTTTGCAAACTGGCTATTTGGCCGGGCCTGAGCAGATTTGAAAAAACGCAGGGCCTACCTGACCGCTTTGGGTTGCAAAAATCGGTCTGACCTGTCCGGATTGCCACGTATGGCTCAAACGAGGCAGCTATGTCTACTATGCCCAGGGCCAAGAAAACTGTACTACATGTAAAAACTTTTTATTAAAAGAAATTTATTATTTTAACCGGAGATATTCATATATTTAAATTTGAAAATCTCTACTCATAACGGCTGGGGTCAAAATTGGATTGGGTGTCATAATAATAGCTAGTTGCCGACATGGTATCGGTGTTTTCGAACGTATTATGAGTTTCATGGTTGTTGTCAAATTCATGGCTGCTTGAGCTTCCAAATTCATAAGTAGGCGAGGCGTTGTGACTCAAGGGGGCAGTGTCGTTGGATGAAATACGGGTGGCTGCGACGTCGACAAGATGAGTGATCTCATCCAATGGTAAAGAGTCGTGTAAGTATGGAGCTGGTTGGGCTGGAATAAAGTCATCATTAGCTTAGGAAATATCGAATTGCGATGTTCGTATTTAAAAAAAAAAACCCGGCTTAAGTTCAGAAAATTTCTTTTGATGACCTGTGCGACTCCTTGTTCCTAAAAATTTCTGCAAACAAGCAAAAAACAGTGCAAAAAATGGCTAACAGGGGAAGTACTCCAAGTGCGACGCTCAGATTTTCTTTAAATTTTGCACACACGTCGGGTATGGACTAAATATCAATTTCTGAAAGTTTTAGCTCGCGGTTTGCGGGCGCCGCCGAGATATCGAACGATTTTTGCCGCCAAGAGAGCACGCTAAACGTGGAGAGCGGTGAGAGAGAAAAACGCTTTTTGGCCATAACTTTGGCAGTTTCGTGCGGAAAAATTTAATTTTTTGTAGAAACATTATCCTTTACGGTTGAAATAGGCATGAAACTTTTCGTGCCGAAATTCCGCAAAAAGTCCTAAATTTTGGCCGACTTTCGATCTAAAAATCTCGGTTGTTTCTGCAAAGCGCGAGCTAGGATTCTCGCATATATCGTAGAAAAAATTATTCTAAATTTGTGGCAAGTTTCATAAAAATCTGAGAGTCGCACTTGGAGTACTTCCCCTGTAAAATGAGGCGTTTTTTGGCTCTAAGCTTGCTCAAATTTCCGCAAAAATCTTGAAATTGCAGTACGTTGTAGCCCTTGAAATTCACGATGGACTCCACCATATTTTGTGCCCAAGAAAATGCATTTTTTTGTCATTCAAAGTCGAAATTTCGCTTTTTTCAGTGTCGATTTTCCCAATGATAACGAGCTGATGAACGTTGGTGACAAAACTACTTCGGAAAGGAAATTGGTTGCTTTATATGCAGATTTTTTTACCGATACATCTTCTGGCTAACCGTATACTTATAAAAACGCAATGGTCACTTATTATTTTTTCATTTTTATGGACACGCATCAAAAAGTTCGAAACGCTGTGCATTGGCCAATAATTTTTCCAAAATGTCGATTTGGTCTCTAAAAAGCAAAAAAAAAATTTTTTTTTGAAGAAAAACTTACACTGATCATCTCGATCAACATGATATTCCTCTTCCTTTCTGTTGTCATCAAAATTCTCATCAGTTGCAGCACTTGCAATGATGATTGGAGCTGAGATATACAAATTGCGACCTCTCTTTTTTGATGATCCTGGATTTGAAATTATTGAATTTCCATCACTCAACACTTCAATTGTTGAAAGATGAGGAACTTTTGACTTCGTTTTTGGCCTTTTCCACACATAGATGACATCAAAAATCAGGCAAAGTAGGAAAAGGATGTTCAAAATGAACAAGACTGCGATTAAAATTAAAATTTTGTAAAATTTAGCAAACCATCCGCCAGTTCCGACGTATCTTTCGACAAGGCCAAAATTTTGAATAGCAAAATGAGAAAATAAAAGTCCTAAAAGAGTTAGTCTTGCCAGTAGAAGGAGGAAATACGGGATGTAGAAGAACAATTGTTTTTTGAGATTTCCATACAATATGAAGAGGGTGACAAAAAATAATGCAAGAAATATCGGAAACAGCACATCGTATTCGGAAAAGCACAAAGCAAGAAGTGCTATGAGATAAGTTGTAAATTCCAAGCCGATTACGCCGTACACAACGTCCTGAAAACAATATGATGTTTACTATGGCACAAAAAATAAGGATATTGTACAAAACGGGGCTTGAAAAATCGTTATTTTAATTTACGTCTGCACGGCATATAAACAACAAAAAAATAAAAAAGAATCTTGGGCCATCTTCAAGAAAATTTGGAATTTGAAAAATTGGAAGGCCTTTTTATTTTCTCGCTCTGAAACCTCTGTACAACGAAACGCAGAGGTACGAAAGAAATATCTGTTATCGAAAGGTTTTGTTGCTAAAAGCTCCATTTCCAGAAAGTTCACTCTGGCGACCCCTAAAATTGTTTGTTATCAGTCTGTCGGAAAAATAACGGCGGATCGTCGCAATGTCTCGCCTCGCCGCTGTCGCGCACCAAATCCCAAGCCGCGGCTTGCAGTCGCAAAGCGATGATGGGCGTTTCCGAGGCGCGACGATCCGCCGTTTTTTTTCCCGACAGACCGATATATTTTAACTTACGTGTACATGCAGCAGGTTGCAAAGCCGATACCCTTTCATTCCTCCTCCTGATTTTTCAGACAAAAAAGTTGATCAAGCCACCAATCCTAAGCCATGGCTACAGCACATTGTTCATAAAAACTCAAGGAAATTAGATATATCCGCCGTTTGACCTCTCCAAATTTCTTGCAGGGAGTTTTCTTATCAACGCAATTTTCATTTCAAGCTGCAATTGCCTTGGTTTCGTTATCAGTTTTCTTAAACGTTTCAGCTTCTTCGGGACCTTTGATGAGTAATAAAAATAATCATTTTCGAGTACAGAGCGATAAAAAAAACTGGAGAAAAACATTATTTATTGAAAGTAAAAGTAAATATAACCCTTATTTGAATGTGTCCCGATGGGCTATAAAAAAGAACTCTAAAAAACAAAAATTCTCGGACTTTACAGCTTTTATACAACAATAAGTTCATACAAAATATGTATATACAAAGAAATTAACTACAAGGTTTTTAATAGCCACCGTGGCCAGATGCATGTCCAGCATCAAAACCATGAGCATCCGGGTGACTAAAGCCATAAGAATGGCCCGTATCCGGCTGGTAGCTCGGGTTGTGATGGACATTTGATTCTTGGTATGCCGGAGGCGCAGAGGCATGACCATGCTGGTCGTTTGTTGGGATGGTGTCCATGTTTTCTTTAAAGAATAAAATGTAAAATAAGCATCTTTTGGAGAAGATGAAGAGCTTAGACAACAGCTGAAATCCATAAAATGTTTGCTCATATTTCTTCAGCTGAGATTTTCAACAATCTTTTGAAGGGCCACCGTGATACAAACATCTAGAGAGTATGCGAAATGCGGAGAGTGGCAGGAGAACAACTGCTTTTGGCCGTATTTTAGCCAACAGAAAAAAATAATTTTTTGTGATGATTCTACGGTAAAAATAGGCATGAAACTTTTCACGCCAAAATTCAAAAAAAGAGAGATATCAGTCTGGCCGAAAAAGAATTACCCTCGTCGCAGCTTCGAAATCGCAATCTCGAAACTGAGCGGCACCGAAAGTTTGAGCGATGCATCGCAAAAGTGCGCGCGACTTCGAAAAATCGGAGAATTTGTGGAATTGCACAGTGCGAAACAGCAGAAAAAGGGCATTTGCACTGTGCAAAACCCACTTTTGTCGCTGGCGATGCGTTGTTTTTGCTCTTTCTTTCGGCGATGCCCTCCAAATTTCTCCGCGATGCAAATTGGGGTTTCGAGTGAGTGCGATGGAGGGGGGCGCGGAGGACAATTCTTTTTCGGCCAGACTGATATTCTATCCTACTCTTGGCTATCTTAGCTCGAGCTTTGCAGGGGCAACCGAGATATTCAACAATCTGTGTGGCCAAGAGAGTACGCAAAATGCGGAGAGAAAAAAAATTTTACGGTAGCTTTGCCCTTTTTGTGTGGAGAAAATTTATTGTGGAAACAGTACTCGGCATAGAAAGTTATGGAACTTTTCTATGCCAGAATTCACAAAAAATTTCACATTTTCCCTATAAACTGCAACCCAAAGACTCACTAGCTTCATGGTGATAATGATGTTGCTCAATGTCTCCCCCAAACCCGTAGATCGGATCCACGACGTACGGCACATATGGTTGTGGTGGAAACGACTGCTGCTGATATTGTCGAACGGGCGCCGTCGATCCCGCACTCGGACTAACATGGATTGGCGGCCTCGCCGTCCAATACGGATGGTACATGAAGGCCTGCACTTCCGGAACACCCTTCATCTCTCTCCTCACATAGCGTATGTCGCGGAAAATGCAGTACAAAAAGAAGAGGTAGAGAAAGAAAAAGATGATGATTAGAGCGGAAATAATGTAATATAACGTCTCACTAAACGTGATAAGTTGATTTTCAGTGAAATTTTTCTTAAAATCATTGTGGAAAAAGGTGAAGTACACTATGTAAACAGCGAAGATTCCAATTTGAACAGTCAAAATTAATAAATATGGGATGTAGAAGACAAATTTACCACCTCGATTGCCGGCTATTAGGAAAATGGAGAAAAATGAGGCCACAATGAAGGCCGGCAAAACATAAAAGAAGCCCATAGCGCTACAAAGGAAGATGAAAACTGCATTTAGAACGAAGGAAACGAGGGTGTTCGCAAGAACAAGGTCCTGAAAATAAAAACAAATCAAAAACGAAGAAAAATTAGATCAAACAGAGCCAAATCTCCTGTGCAAAAAACCCCCATTTTGCACCGCGCATTTCACATTTTGCACTGTGCAACCGAAATATCGCGCGACGACCATTTTCGCCGAAGTCGCTGCGACTTTTTTGAAGCGATTTCGCGCGATGAGTGGAAATGCACAGTGCAAAATGCTTGAGAAGGCCGCACTGTGCGGAAAAAGGCAAAATGCACTGTGCGTCGCGACAAAAAATGCACTGTACGTCGCGACAAAAAACGCACTGTGCACAGCGACAAAACAACGCACTGTGCGTTGCGACAAGAAATGCACTGTACGCTGCGACAAAAAATGCACTGTGCACCGCAACAAAAAAATCCACTGTGCGACGCGACAAAAAATGCACTGTGCGCCGCGGCAAAAAGTGCACTGTGCGTCGCGACAAAAAATGCACTGTACGTCGCGACAAAAAATGCACTGTGCGTTGCGACAAGAAATGCACTGTGCGAAGGAGAAAAAATGCACTGTGCGTTGCGACAAGAAATGCACTGTGCGAAGGAGAAAAAATGCACTGTGCGTTGCGACACAAAATGCACTGTGCGACGCGACAAAAAACGCACTGTGCGCTGCGACTAAAAATGCACTGTGCACCGCGACAAAAAATGCACTGTGCGACGCGACAAAAAACGCACTGTGCGCTGCGACAAGAAATGCACTGTGCGAAGGAGAAAAAATGCACTGTGCGTTGCGACAAGAAATGCACTGTGCGAAGGAGAAAAAATGCACTGTGCGTTGCGACAAGAAATGCACTGTGCGAAGGAAAAAAAAATGCACTGTGCGTTGCGACACAAAATGCACTGTGCGACGCGACAAAAAACGCACTGTGCGCTGCGACAAAAAATGCACTGTGCGTTGCGACAAAAAATGCACTGTGCGTTGCGACACAAAATGCACTGTGCGACGCGACAAAAAACGCACTGTGCGCTGCGACAAAAAATGCACTGTGCGACGCGACAAAAAACGCACTGTGCGAAGGAGAAAAAATGCACTGTGCGTTGCGACAAGAAATGCACTGTGCGAAGGAAAAAAAATGCACTGTGCGTTGCGACAAGAAATGCACTGTGCGAAGGAGAAAAAATGCACTGTGCGTTGCGACAAGAAATGCACTGTGCGAAGGAAAAAAAATGCACTGTGCGTTGCGACAAGAAATGCACTGTGCGAAGGAGAAAAAATGCACTGTGCGTTGCGACAAGAAATGCACTGTGCGAAGGAAAAAAAATGCACTGTGCGTTGCGACACAAAATGCACTGTGCGACGCGACAAAAAACGCACTGTGCGAAGGAGAAAAAATGCACTGTGCGTTGCGACAAGAAATGCACTGTGCGAAGGAGAAAAAATGCACTGTGCGTTGCGACACAAAATGCACTGTGCGACGCGACAAAAAACGCACTGTGCGCTGCGACAAAAAATGCACTGTGCGTTGCGACAAAAAATGCACTGTGCGACGCGACAAAAAACGCACTGTGCGCTGCGACAAAAAATGCACTGTGCGACGCGACAAAAAACGCACTGTGCGAAGGAGAAAAAATGCACTGTGCGCCGCGACAAAAAGTGCACTGTGCGCCGCGACAAAAAATGCACTGTGCGCCGCGACAAAAAGTGCACTGTGCGTCGCGACAAAAAATGCACTGTGCGACGCGACAAAAAACGCACTGTGCGCTGCGACAAAAAATGCACTGTGCGAAGGAGAAAAAATGCACTGTGCGCCGCGACAAAAAATGCACTGTGCGACGCGACAAAAAATGCACTGTGCGAAGGAGAAAAAATGCACTGTGCGTTGCGACAAAAAATGCACTGTGCGCCGCCATAAGAATGCACTGTGCGAAGGAGAAAGAATGTCCATGCACTTTATGAAATACCAATATTATGTGTGCGCCCTAGGCTCGCCGCGTGTGCAAAATTTAAAGTAGATCTGAGCACTATGAAAAACACTTACGTGAACATGAACCAGGTCGCAAATCCGGTATTCTCGTGTGTCAACTCGCTGCATTTTCCATCAAACTTTATGAAGTAATTTTAGCCCACAAAAATTAAGTTCAAATATGTTTCTAGCAGCGGAAAATCTTTTTGCTTTATATAAATTTTATTGGAATGACTGGGAAGAGATTTCACAACGTTCCTTATCAGCAAACAGAGAAGGTCGCGGCTCGGTTACGTCACCCAGGTGCGTCTTTTTTAACGCTTCAACATAGACCACAATTTTTATTTCGGTGCTCTTTTTAAATTTGCAGTGCTAAGTAGGATCAAAAAAACAATTTTTTTTTATATTTTTTGGCTACAGCAAGGTGTAGATAAAGAAATTCGTAAATCACATGGGGAAAAATCTGGCTTTAGGTCAGGAGCTGTTTTTCAAATATAATCAAAGGGATAGGCCCAACAATAATTTGGAATTACGTCGAGCGTTCAGTGATTTATGAGAAAATTTCATAGAAGAGCGTATTATTTTGACCATGTGACGTTTGATGGCCAAAAGGGGACGTTATGATGAGTCAGGAAACTATTTAGAGTCCATAGTTGTCATTCAACGCGATGAGTAAAGGTTTTCAATGAAAGCCTTGAATCATCGGCGCGTTGAGACTGGGTATAGTTCAGGAATTTGCAAATTAACAAACGAATGAGGGGGTAAATCTGCCTATTTTTACAAGGGAAGAACACCAAGTGTGACCAAGTGCAAACTTTTCATGGCAAAATTTGCAAAAAAGCGTCACATTTTTGCCAACTTTCGATCTAAAAATCTCGGTAGTTCCTGCCATGCGCGAGCTAGAAATCTTGCATATGTTTAAAAAAAAATTAATCTGAAGCGGCCACCAACGCTTCGCGGCGGCTAGCCGCGGCCGGAAATTTGGTATGCGACTTCGGCGAGACGAGACCTTTGATGCGACAAATCCGCATTATTTTTCCGACAGACTGATATAGTGAGTGATTGCAGCGATCTCAAAAGTAAGTTTTGAGTCATAATGGATCTCCGTATAACAAAACCTTTCTGTAACGAATTGATTTTCCGCTATGTTGCATAAAACATACATTGTTCGTTGCACAGATGTTTGTCATCCTACTCTCCTCCAAAACATAGTGCAAAAGATACGCGCGAGTGCAATTGCCGTCTGCGCGGAGACGGAACAGGTTTTTGTTTCTCGAATTTCGCCTCCGGAGATGATAAAACGGGGGTTTCATCAGGAAGGGTCGTCCGGTTTTTTCGGATCAATCGTCGAGTTTAACGGAAAGATCGGCGAATTTTCGAAAAAAATCTTTAATCAGGAAGCGACGGCTAGCTGTGACTCTATTTTTTTGAGGTCACAAGTTTATACTTAGCTTTTCAGATCGTATTTTAAAAATTGGAATTTCATTTTTTGTCGGTTCAAGATATTTGCTGTAGAAAGGTTTCGTTGTAACCAGGTTTATTTCGGCCTTTATTTACAGGGTGGGGCATCTTTGTGGCCCGATTTTTTTCTTTGTGGCTACAGTTATTGAATTTATTCTTGGAGTTCATTTTTTCGGTCGTTTTTCGGTTGTTTGTTCGGTCTGTAGATATACACTTACTATATATAACATATTTGGTATCGAACAAAATGGGGTTGTCAGAGGATTCAGGGAAAAAAAGAATTTTAAGATTTGGCCAAAAACTAAAGAAGTTATAGCCAATTCAAATCGAGCCACAAAGATGCCCCACCCTGTAAAGAATGTCGCTTATGATCGTTAAAATTGCCGCTAATTTCGGGTCGATGACAGTTCAAGTCAACATAATATTGATCTATACAAGACGTAGAACAGGTGGAGACCCCAATCAAAGGGTTCTAGTAGGCGCCTTCGAGGCATGAAAACCCCTTTGAATGCCAGGCAAAGACTTGTTGGAGACATAGGAAAAGTTTTCACTTTGATGACTTTTTCTAACTTTGCCTATAGCTGATCTTAGTTTTCCTGATCCTGAGTTATTTTTACGTAAAAAACATGCTCCAAAAAACGGAGTTCCATAGGGTTTGCCCAGATACTATAACAGTAATACAAATAACATTCCTTAAAATGGGTGATAAACTATCATACGACCCGATAAATCTCACTATTATATATCTCTTAACTAAACCTCTTCCTAGCCTCCCCCAGGCATAAAAGAACAAATCAATGCGAGCCAAAGTATCATCGAGTCGAGCTGTTGTTGACCGGAAACATTGTCGCCGAATTGCTCGCTAGAAAGGCTTTGTTATAGAGACGTTACATTGATTTTACTGTAATTTCAGGGGTTCTGTCAACAACAACATGACAAATTGTAGACCGCTGTATTGCGTCCTGGCCGTAGCACTTACAATTACCGTAGGTTTTTGATTTCCAAAAAGTAATATTTTTGGGTCAAGTTTCTCCCTCATTTTTTTGATAAAAGGAGATAGAAAATTTCGGTTTAAAAATAATTTTTTGACTATTTACCATGTATATTATATATAATTTCTCTCTCCAAACCCCAATAATTTCAGCTAGCCAGAGCCGACACTTGTCAGAAGCTGGCGATCTGCGCCCTGGACAAGTGTATCCCTCAAGCGACGGGTTATCCGCCAATCTTCCAGACCGTCGACAAAATGCTGCAAACCGTGAATTTTGGCTGTATTTTAGGGCCTATGTGCTACAACGAATGTGCAGCTTGTGATTCGTGCAAATACGCGCAAGATCAGATCAAAAACTTGCTGTTGAAGGAGGAGACTGGTAAGGAAATAAAACGTCAATTGTTTCTGCAAAATGCGAGCTGAAAAATTGCGTAATTTTACTTTTAAAAAAGAAAATCATAATAGAAATTTTTGCCAAGTTCCAAAGATGGCTAGAGGCCATTTTTCTCTTTCTGACCGCTCTCCGAATTTAGCACACTCTGTCGTTGGTAGGAAAAAAATAATTTTTTTTTGTTAAACTAGTAAATAATCAAATATCGGTTTGTCGGGAAAATAATGACGGGTGGCCGCGCCTTGGAATTGCACATCATCGCCTTGCGACGGCAAGCCGCGGCTGGGGATTTGGTGCGCGACAGCGGCGAGGCGAGACATTTTGATGCGACGATGCGCCGTTATTTTCCCGACAGACGAATAGAATTTTTATAAAGTCCATGGATATTACGTTGGGTCCCGCACCGTGCACATAAAAACCCCAATTTTGCACTGTGCGTCGTTGTATTTCTGCAATGTGGCGGGAACTGGGACGATTGGGGAAAAAGACGATTGGGGAAACCGAAAAGTATTGCTTTTTTTGATGCAAACGACGAAATTAGAAAAAAATGAACATGATTTTCGAAATCAGCACCGTCGAAAACCCCTATATCCAATATTTTTAGAAAAATTTCAAAAAGTTACTTTTCAACACTACTACTTACAGATAACTAGTAAACTTCAGAAAAAATTAACATGATTTTCGAGATCAGCGCCCTTGAGAACCCCTAAATCGAGTATTTATGAGAAAAAATCAAAAATTACTACTTTACAGTACTACATAAGGAAAAAAGTAAGAATCAAAAAAATGAATCTTATTTTCGAAATGAGCACCCTCGATTATCCTAACTTCGACATTTGCATGGAAAAAATAATACTTTTCGGTTTCCCCAATCGTCCAACCCCGAATGTGGCGTGCCATAACTTTTTTTTTTATTTTTTGCTTTTTCTACTCTTCAATTTCCAGTTGGCCGCTGCCCAAAACTCGAAAGCTGCGCCCGCTCCTGCCTCGAGGACCAAGTCTTGGACCCGTTCAGTTGTGTCTTCAAAAGTCGCTGCGCTCATCACTGTCTAGATGAAGATGATTGTCCCCCGTGTCGGGACGTGGTAAAGCGCGTCTTCACCGGCTACTGCTACCGAAACGGATTCATCGACCATTACCAACGAAAATGCAAGCCCATGTTCGATGAAGTGGCGCGGGACTACGTTAAGAATCATGCTTAAATCTAGTTGTGACTGAGGTTTTTGATTTTCTGTGGTCTTTATTGTATAATGTTGTATGTATATAAAGGTAATAATTTATACTATTTCTAAGATAATATACCTGAAAGCGCGACATCGTACATCGCGTTGAACTAAAGAAAATGGCAATCACGCGCGATGCAGGTCATAAACACGAGGTTGCACTGTGCAAGCTCACTTTTTGGGGCGGATGCACGGTACAAAATGGGTTTCCCAAAGAGCAATGCGATTGTCCCACACACTGCACAGTGCAGAGTCGCAGAAAAATTCCCTGGACTTTTTGCCGCGAAATACCGTTTTCCCAGGCCACAATTGCAAAGATATTGTGGAAAACTATGTTTTGTCTGACCCACTCTCCCTATTTTGTGCGCTCTCTTTGCAAATTTCGTCAAATGCTGAATATCTCGGCTGCTTCTGCGCACAGAGCAATCTTAAATTTTCAGGACTTGATGTGTTGCCTTTTAGAGTATAAGAACATGCAAGATTTAAAAAAATTGCAAGCTGTAAAGTTTAAAAATTCAAAAAATGCTACTTTATTGGCCTTTCGGGAAAATAGTGAGCACTCTGTCGCATCGAAATCGCATCGCTGCCGAAAAAATGAATTGTCTCGCTGAAAAATCGAATCTCTTTTCACTTCAGCGACACGATCGGCACAGCGCCATTGTGCTCATTATTTTCCCGACAGACTGATGTGGGGATTAGATCAGCCTGTCGGGAAAATAATGTGGATTTTTCACGCCCAAGAATCGCCCATCATCGCTTTGCGGGCTAGCCTCGGCTGGACTCTGAGGAATCGCGCCAGAAAATTAACCGCATTCCAAAATGAAAGATACATATAAAAAAAATTTCCAAAAAAACATAAAGCCAACATGGCAAAGACATTCAAAAAAAATTTATTCATGAACATTCGAATTTACTGTGGCCTTTTTCTTCTTCCGAAATATGTGTGTAGAGGAGGCACAAACTCGAAGTATAACGACACAGCTAATGAAATAAGCGATACTAGTCAGGATAAAGAGAGAAAGTAATGGGAAGCCAAGAATCGGGACGATCAGAGGGTCATACCATCTGAAATTTTTAAAGATAAAGGTTTACAAAGGGGCGTATTATCTCTTATTTTTACATATACTTACGGATCAGTTTCTCGGCAATGAGGTTTACAATCGCCGACGAAACTACAAGTTGGGATCTGTGCCTAAAAAAAAATTTTTTTATAATGATAGTACTTCTATGGGGTATGGAGTTACAGGTCGTGATATATATCAAAAAAATCGCAAAAGTTTTCTGATTCAGAATATGTAAAAATTAGCTGCCCAATTTTGGTTTGTAAGGGTAAAAACATCCGCCGAATTTTTGCCAAAAAATGCTTTTCAAACAGCAAAGTTTTAGTTCTGCTTTCAATTTTTTATTTTTCGCAAAATTGCTTTCCAAAAAAAATAATTTTAAAATTTAGAAAAACAAAATTTCATATAATAAAATTTGATCGTTACTCCCTGAATACAGTTAAAATTTTGTACTACCAAGCTCTTGTATGACAAAACCTCTCTATAGCAAACAATTTCAGAGGTCTCTAGAATTATTTTTAGGCTAAAAGGGCCTAAAATTGAATTAACAAAACCTTTTCATAGCATAAAAAATTCTAAAATAATTTTGACAAAATTGCTTTTTAATTTTCCTCATTTTCGCGAGATTGCTTTCCGATTTGGTTGAAGTTTTTTTTAAATTTTTCTCATAAAAAAGTAAATGATGTTTTTTATTCAGATGAGCTTGCTAAAGGGTTTTTTTAAATTTCGCAAAATTGTTTTTCAATTCTTTTTTTAATTTACAGGGCAAGTACCTCAAGTGCGACGCTCAGATTTTGATGAAACTTGGCGCAAATTTAAAATAATTTTTTCTAAAATATATGTGAGAATCCTAGCTCACGCTTTGCAGAAACAACCGAGATTTTTAGATCAAAATTTGGCGAAAATTCGACACTTTTTGCCGAATTTCGGCACATAAAGTTTCATACCTGTTTCTACCATAAAGTGTAATGTCTTCACAAAAAATCAAATTTTTCCGCGCGAAACAAGCAAAGTTATGGCCAAAAAGTGTTTTTTTCTCTGACCGGTCTCCGTGTTTGGCGTACTCTCTCATCGGCAAAGATCGTTCAATATCTCGGCGGCGCTTGCAAAGCGCGAGCTAAAACTTTCAAGAATTGATATGTCGCCTATGCCCGAAGTGTGTGCAAAATTTAAAGAAAATCTGAGCACTTGGGGTACTTCCCTTGTTAGTCCATTAAAAACACTTTTTTTGAAAAAATACTTTTCCTACAGTGACGGACCTGATCCAATAGCAAAAAACGTCTCATTTTGCATCCCGGTAGGGACCAGAATGTCTCCAAACCCTTCCCTTCTCTAAGCCAAAAAACTCCGCTTTGAAAAGCGCGCCATTTCTTTCAAGGCGGGCCCTTCAAAACGTGGCTTTTTAGCTTAGAGAAGGGAGGTATTTGGAGACATTTTGGTCCCTTCCGGGATGCAAAATGGGACGTTTTTTGCCATTGGATCCGGTCCCTCACTGTACGCAAAAATTGAAAAAATACCTAAAAATCTCGCATCTGTCCTAAAAATTCATGATCTAAATTTTTGCCAAATTTCATCAAAAATTGTGACTTCAATTTTTTCCATTTTCTTTTTCAATTTCGCACTTACAACAATATCCCGAACCAGCCCGTTTTCATCAGCAAATGGGTGATCTTTCTCGTAATCGACCATATTATTGAAGCTTCCATTCCAAGACGGTTTGCATTCTCTATAAAAATTAAAAAAAATAAAAAAAAAATTTTTTTTAACCAAAACCTTACCGTTCATTAATTTTCTCTCCGTCAAACCAATTTCCAATGGTCCATAGCGTGAAGGGCACATCGCGGCAACTGCAATTTTCAACCTTTCCATTTTTAATGTCCCATTTCCACAAATTCATAGGGTCAAGATTCAAAATAAGCGTTTCATTGTTCAGTGGCTGAAAATTTTTAAAAATGAAGGTAAATTTTTTGTTTAAAATTATTTTTGCAAATTGATAGTTATCACAAAATTTCAAAAAAAATAAATTTTTGATATGTTGTTACATACATGTCAAAGTATTTTTGAGAGGTTTCAAAAGTTGATACAAGTAGAATGCCGAAAAGTTATATTGACCATGGTACCTTGGTCATTTTCCAAGTAGTCGAAGACGACATCCTACAGAAAAATTGTTAATCACAAAAATGTTCTCCATGGTCGAAAACGTATTTTGGCGAGATTTGCGGCTCTTCTACACCAATTTTGAAAAAAAATGATATTTTGATGTACCGTTCGAGCCACAATCAAAGTACCGTAACTCCAAAATCACCTCTTTTATTTTCGCGCATTTTTGATATGTCGTTACATTTATGTCAAAGTATTTTTGAGAGGTTTCAAAAGTTGAGACAAGTTCTCTGCAAAAAAGTTATATTCAATATGGTACCCTGGTATTTTTCAAAATAGTCTTAGGCTACATCCTACGGCGAAAGTGTCAACTATGAAAATGTTCCCCATGGTCGAAAACGTAAAACAGCGAAGTTTCGCCCTTTTACTCCTTGGAGTTTTTACACGCAGACCCAATCTTTCCGAAAATTTTACCTATATTGTTATATTGCTGCTAAATAAACGTTATAATTATTCGGCTCAGTTTAGATAATACCGAGCACAGGTATTACAACTTCCACAAAAGCACAGCTGCACCGACTACTTCTCTTCGTAACTGAGTTTGTCTGTAAGCTTCATTCATCGCGCTTGCACCATTTCCACTGGTCAAAAACGATCGGAAATTATCTTGTAGTGGCTCAAAAAGCAAAGCAAAATAACTTCATCATTACACTGTTTCCAGTTTTTTATTTACAAAAACTGTTCTCTCTTCAAATCAGAACCTTTCTGATTTTTTGTTGTAGTTTTGATAGATAAAATTTGTTCTCCTTGTTGTACTTCTTCTTATTCCAATGATGGACATGAAATGTAAGGCTTAAAGATATCCCTTGTAATGCTTTAGTGGACTTAAATTCTCGACGTCCTCGAATCCCAGTAGAGTCGATGGAGGTGTCGATATCGGACAACGAATTAAATGAACGATATAAAAAGATCCAGGAAACTTCGGGTATTTTGAAGATGAACGGTCAGATCTACGAAGGTGTGAAGGTGGACGATCTTATTTATGTCACTGAACTGGGCAGCGGGACCTGTGGAACCGTCTCCAAACGAAAGATAAGGGCCAAAACGGTGGCTGTTAAAGTGAGACAAGAAAAACAAAGATTTTCATTGAATCCGATTGCATAAATTGTTAGTATAATTTGTTAGGAGATGAAACGCACGGATAACATCCAAGAATCGAAGCGAATCCTCATGGACTTGGACGTGGTTCGAAAGTCGAACGAATGCCCCCATATCGTTCAATGTTTCGGGTACATAATCACAGAGGATTATCTCTATATTTGCATGGAAGTGATGGCCAGTTGTTTTGAGAAGGTTCTGAAAAACAGGAATTACACTGGACTGCCTGAGGCAATTATTGGGAAGGTTGCTTTGGCGGTGGTCGAAGCTCTGTCCTATCTCAAGAATGTCCATGTAAGTCTGGCCTTTCAGGTATGTCATTTCTTAGAGTCTGATGCATCGAGATATAAAACCATCGAATATTTTGTTGGACTGGCACGGCCACATCAAGCTCTGCGACTTTGGGATCGCCGGGCAATTAATTGATTCGAAGGCGGCCTCGATGTCTACTGGATGTTACGCATATCTCGCGGTAAGTATAATTAAAAGAGTTGCATTACTTTTGCATCAAAGTCATCTTCTTTAGCCTGAGCGTGTGAATGGAGAGCCATATAACGTTACGGCCGATGTTTGGAGTCTGGGGATCACTCTTGTCCAATTGGCCAAGGGATACTTTCCATACAAAGCAGATCCTAAGGAAGAGTTGAATGTATTAGTTGTAGTGAGGGAAAGGATTATAAATGAAGACCCGCCTCAGGTTGATCCGAAACAGTTTAGCGCTGAGTTCTGTGATTTCGTAAAGAACTGTCTTCTGAAGTCTAGTCAAGAACGAGCCAAGTACGACAAGCTTTCGGTAAGTTGGAGGAGCAGTGATGCGACTTCAATTGTCATTCGTATTATACCACGACCACATATGCAGCAAAAAGACTTGCAGAATAGGATGGCGTAGGATATAACCGCTACGACATAGGTTATGTACCGACATATGTATGTCTTTTGACCTAACAGTTGGTCGGGAAAATAATGAGCACAATGCCGCTGCGCTGATTGCGTCGCTGAAGTGAAAAGTTATTTGATTTTTGCGCAACACAATTCATTTTCGAAGACTGATACTTTATTGCGTCTTTTGTTTTCACCGAGCCTTTGCGGAAATTCCACAGCTCTCCGCCGAGTATCCAACGACAAAAGCAGTCACCCCTTGATGACATTAAATCCCATTGCCGGCTTTGCCGCTTTATTTCATTGATTCCTTTTTCAGAAAATGGCCTTCCTCATTAACGCATCTCAGAATGAACTAGATGTTGGTCATTGGATTGAAAATCAAGATAAATATGATCCGCCCTTTCCACCCCGAACTGATTAGCGGCTTCGAAGTGCTTCTGTTTTGATCTAGATCTGTAGCAGCAATTTCATTTTTTCTCATTTTTGTCTTATAACTTTTATGGCCTATTTGTAACGCGTAGTACCATAAAACGATTATTTATGGGTCTATATTTTTCTCCCAGAATTAAAAATATTTTTCCCCAGAAAAGAGCATAAGAAAAACTCTTTTTTGGCCATATCTTTGCCAGTTTCGAGCGGAAAAAACCGATTTTTTGTGTATATATTACTCTCTACGGTAGAAATTACGACAAAACTTTGCACGCCAAAATTCAAAAAAAAGTGTTACGTTTTTTTTTCAATTTACTTTGCATGGAAGTGATGGCCAGTTGTACCGTCTTTGCGTCCGAGAGAGTAGAAAAGATGTGGAGAGCGATCAGAGAAAAACCTTTTTTGGCGATATCTTTACTATTTCTTTGCCCGTGGCTTGCTTGTAACACATATCTTTATTAAGTTTGCAAAAAAATGTGTGTTACAAGCAAGTCACGGGCAAAAAAATAGTAAAGATATTGCCAAAAAAGATTTTTCTCTGATCGCTCTCCACATTTTTTCTACTCTCTCGGACGCAAAGACCGTAAATTGAAAAAAAACGTAACACTTTTTTTTGAATTTTGGCTTGCAAAGTTTTGTCGTAATTTCTACCGTAGAGAGGAACATATCCGCAAAAAATCGGTTTTTTCCGCTCGAAACTGGCAAAGATATGGCCAAAAAAGAGTTTTTCTCTGACCGCTCTCCGCATTTTTTCTACTCTCTCGGCGGCAAAAATCGTTGAATATCTTGCTGCCCCTGCAAAGAATAAGCTAAAATTTTAAGAATTTGATATGTGGTCTATGTACGACATGTGTGCAAAAAGAAAAATAAAAGAACAAAGAAAGAGGTTACCCTATAAAAAACTTAACTTATAATTTTTACTTACATAAGCATTAAAATCAGTCCTGTTGATCTGTGTGATATTCCAGGAATCTGGCACAAGCCCGTTCTTTGTCAAGTCTACAGTGTACGGGTCGCAATACAAAGCCTTGAAATAAATCATGGTCTTTAAGGGGCAATGCATATAGTACAAGGTCGTGTTTTTAATGGCGATCACATAGAACGCTTGTCGATGGACGTTACACGTCTTCCAGTCTGAAAAAAAATCGAAAAAATGAAAGTTTTTGCATTCACAAGATTCAAGATTTTTTGCAAGTTTCAAAAAAAATAGATTTTTTTTTTCATTTTCAAACTGAAAAAAATCAAGGTCTACTGATTTTTTTACCAGGAAAACGTTTTTCCGACAAAAAACCGCAAAGAACTAGCGAAAACACTTTTTTTGTCTGACCGTCTCTCCTCATTTTGCGTGTTCTCTCAAAAAAGAATGCTTAATATCTCGGCTGCGGGTGAGAATTGACAACTAAAATTCTTGCCCATAAATATACATCCCATGTAGAAGGTGTATGCAAAATTATAGCGAAATCGAAGACGTGACATTTGGGCAATATTGTACTAGACATCTGATACTTTGATGACAAAAATTAATATAATGGGCGCTAGGATATTGCCTACGGTGGCTGCTATATCATTTTTTAATGGTTTGGTGTATTTTTAGGGCATTCAAAAGAAAAACCTTAAAAAAAAAAAAAAAAAAAATTACCGTAATCCTTCGGAAGTGTCTCGAGGCCGAACATCAGGTATCTTGCCTCCAATGTATACTCTTCTTTCGTTCTTGAATAAGAAAAGAACGAAATCCGGCGTTGGTATTCATTTTCGACCAAAAACGGATGCCAAGCCACGAAAAAAAGTGTGTCCTTATCGAAGAATTCATCCTACAAAAAGTACAGTAATCCTTTGCTTTCGATAACACCTACACTGGGCGAGGTGATGATCCCCAAAATTTCGTAATAGCAAATAGTCGGCACGTTCTTCGGCACTGTAAAAATGTCCTTCAAAAGTTCGGCCGGAATCTCGGCGAATGCGACACAAACCTGAAAAGTTACAGTAAAAAAAAAAAATTTCTTGCAGTGAGAAGATTTCTGAGAACACTTACAGCCAGACAGTTCTGCTCTGATCGGACAAAACGCGGTTTGGATATGAGGAAAAATAAAAATATCGACCGGAAAATCATGATGACAAACGGGGAAATGGCGAGAAATTTTTGGGAAATGGAAAAATTTGAAAATGAAAAATTAAAGCGGCCAATTGAAGCTTTTTTAGACGATTTTACTGCACATTTGCATGAGGCACGTCAAAATATTTTTTTTTTCAGAAACGCGCGAAATTTCGAAGTGTCTAAAACTGGACCGATTTATTCGTTGCTTGGCCAATTGTGAAAAATTCAGCTTTTTTTAGGGGAGAACTATTATTGAAAAGCCGGAGCCACTAAGTTTTTTTAAAAGTGCGTAGGCATGTTTTCGCGGTGCACAATGCATTCTGCTTCTTTTTGCACTGTGCAATTGTTTGTCACGCGAGCAAATTGCGTGGCAGTTGATTTGGAAAAGCAAGCAGTCCGAGTAGCCGCTAGATGCGCCCGCTTGTGAAAAAATGCAGCGAGAGCTTTGAGATAGCCGAGGAATGGACGCGCTTTTCGGTGCCCGCAAATGGACTTTTCGATGCCCGCAAATTTTCGCGGTTCGCGACCGCAAATTAAAACGAAATCTGCCCGTACTTTTTCTGCCCGCAAATTATAAAAATGTTATAAAACGCCTGAAACATGGATGATTAGTGAAATATTTGTATAAATCCGGTGGAATTAATAAATTTACATATGCAAAAGTGCATTTGGCAAAAAAATTTTTTGAGAAGTGTCTCAGACGCATGTTTTCTGAAATAAAATTCCAAATCACGGCATGATATCATGTTTTTGGGCAAAGCTGATGAATATGGAGTCCAAACCAAGTTATTATAGAGCCTGAACAAAACTTTTTTTTGATTTAACGAACTTTTCGATGCCCGCAGATCGGAAAATCGCGTCCTCAGACGTTACGAATGTAAAAATCTTCATTGCTATCATTTTTTGAGTAATTTCAAGCTGCCACGAGACAATTGCTGCACGTCTTCAGGTAGAAAATTTCAATTTTAGCTTTGCGGGCAAAAAAAGTTTGAAAATTTTTGGCAGATAAAAAAAAAAAAACCCGCAGATAAAAAAATGCTCCAAAATATTTCGTGAGTCACCGTAATGAAAAAACCTTGGTTACTATGTCAAGATTAGGCGCTATGATCGTTCCGACGGCAATTGGGGCCGATTTGTTTGCAGGATAACGGTTTTTTGGCAGAAAAAATATTTTCGGGCAAAAAAAGTTTCAAAAATTTTTGAGTGCCCGCAAATCTAAAAAAGCTTCCAAATCAATCAAAACTTGCTGTCTTGGGTAAAATTGGGTTAATAATGCTACTGTGACAAGTTTCATGACCACTGACACCGATTTTTTGGTTGAAAAGTTCAAATTTAAATTTGCGGGCAAAAAAAGTTAAAAAAATTTTTGAGTGCCCGCAAATCTAAAAAAGCTTCCAAACCAATCAAAACATGTTGTCATACACTGGGAACAGTTCTAGAATACCTTCGATGCTTACAAATCAAAGAATACTTTCAAATCTGAAATTGTATAACAAAATGCAATTCTCATGGCAGAAAAATATATACGTAATTAAATAATTAAAAGATGACAAAAATGCAGTTCCTATATTCTTGGCAGAAAAATTTATGCATAATTAAATAACTGACAGATATTCTTGACTTATTTTTTTCTGTTATGAGAAGAGTAACCACGACGAGTTTTTTCTTCATTTTGTATTTCTGGCTTGAATCATGTTGCCGTTGGTAGAAGCGATCAGATTTAGCCATAAGAAATTTAAAAATGTTAACTACTGCCTTAACTACTGGACCGCTATTTACTACAAGATGATATGTTTTGTTTTCGTGGTTTTATCCTTTTGTTCTTACAAAACTCCAGATAAAGAGATTTTCGTTTGCCGTCGGCATCCAAACATAGTAAGTTACCGTATTCCGTTACTGAATTTTAGTTTCCCGACTATAAGCCGTGTCTTTTCGGACAGGTTTACCAAACAACCAGTCGTTTGAGATTGGCAAAAATCTCACAAGAGCTCTGAACAAGGATGTTCTGCGAAGCAGACGTATTTTTGCCAACTAAATGGCAAAAATACGGCGGTATGTTTAATTTTGCTCCATTGTTTCCTTCAAGGAATGGGTTCTACGAAAGATTTTGGAGCATTTTTTTATCTGCGGGCACTCAAAAATTTTTGAAACTTTTTTTGCCCGCAAATTTTAATTTGCATTTTCCCCCGAAAAATCGGTGCGGATGGTCGCAGGAAGTGTGAGAATGGCATTATAAGCCCAATTTTACCCAAGACAACAAGTTTTGATTGATTTGGAAGGTTTTTTAGATTTGCGGGCACTCAAAAATTTTTTTAACTTTTTTTGCCCGCAAATTTAAATTTGAACTTTTCAACCAAAAAATCGGTGTCAGTGGTCATGAAACTTGTCACAGTAGCATTATTAACCCAATTTTACCCAAGACAGCAAGTTTTGATTGATTTGGAAGCTTTTTTAGATTTGCGGGCACTCAAAAATTTTTGAAACTTTTTTTGCCCGCAAATATTTTTTCTGCCAAAAAACCGTTATCCTGCAAACAAATCGGCCCCAATTGCCGTCGGAACGATCATAGCGCCTAATCTTGACATAGTAACCAAGGTTTTTTCATTACGGTGACTCACGAAATATTTTGGAGCATTTTTTAATCTGCGGGCATCCAAAAGTTTTCAAACTTTTTTTGCCCGCAAAGCTAAAATTCAAATTTTCCACCTGAAGATGTGCAGCAATTGTCTCGTGGCAGCTTGAAATTACACAAAAAAATGATAACAGTGAAGATTTTTACATTCGTAAAGTCTGAGGACCCGATTTTCCGATCTGCGGGCATCGAAAAGTTCGTTAAATCAAAAAAAAGTTTTGTTCAGGCTCTACAGGGTGTTTCAAGAAATTTGGCAGAAACTAGTTGCGAATATTTTTGAGCTCTTGCTAGTTATCGCAGAAATTCTTTTTGTTTCTAAAACTTGACAGCGGGCGGTTTTGTACTGAACAAAAAAAATTTTTTTCGTCGGCGGAGAGGCCAGTTCTCGGCGGAGGCATTTGGGGCCTTTTTTAAAAATCACACCTTATTACATCGTGGAAACTCTGTTACAGTGGCCAAAATCATGTTTACGTTAAACCTCCGTGGATTTTACGGTATGCTTTTTTTGCGTTTTCGATTTTACGCAACATCCGCGGAGGCGCGGCGGAGACCTCAGATTTCGGCGGACTTTGTTTTGGGCCCTCGGTTTTTGCAAATCCATGTTGGAAAAAAGGTTGGGGCGATTTTTTGTTGTCATCCGATGCACAGATGGCAAAAATTTTGTACTTTTTTCCCCCCGGCGGAGGATTCGGCGGAGGCTTTATCAAAGGGTCAAAACAAAAGTTTGACTCTTTTGATAAAGCCTCCGCCGAATCCTCCGCCGATATGTCCGCCGAACCAAAAAATAAGAAAAATGATGTTGCTGTGATGGATTCTTGTAGCTGAGTTTTTTTCCCGGACTCCTAAGACTGTTCTGACCCTTTGATAAAGCCTCCGCCGAATCCTCCGCCGGGGAAAAAAAGTGCGAAATTTTTGCATCTGTGCATCGGATGACGACAAAAAATCACCCCACACTTTTTTCCAACCTGAATTGAATGATCCAAAGAGTCAAAACGACGTCCGCCGAAACCTGAGGTCTCCGCCGTGCCTCCGCGGATGAGCGAAAATCGAAAACAAAAAAAAAGCATGCCGCAAAATCCACGGAGGTTTAACGTAAACATGATTTTGGCCACTGTAACAGAGTTTCCACGATGTAATAAGGTGTGATTTTTAAAAAAGGCCCCAAATGCCTCCGCCGAGAACTGGCCTCTCCGCCGACGAAAAAAATTTTTTTTTGTTCAGTACAAAACCGCCCGCTGTCAAGTTTTAGAAACAAAAAGAATTTCTGCGATAACTAGCAAGAGCTCAAAAATATTCGCAACTAGTTTCTGCCAAATTTCTTGAAACACCCTGTATAATAACTTGGTTTGGACTCCATATTCATCAGCTTTGTCCAAAAACATGATATCATGCCGTGATTTGGAATTTTATTTCAGAAAACATGCGTCTGAGACACTTCTCAAAAAATTTTTTTGCCAAATGCGCTTTTGCATATGTAAATTTATTAATTCCACCGTAACATTTTTATAATTTGCGGGCAGAAAAAGTACGGGCAGATTTCGTTTTAATTTGCGGTCGCGAACCGCGAAAATTTGCGGGCATCGAAAAGTCCATTTGCGGGCGAAAAAAAATTCCTCCCCGAGGAATTCTTCTGAATTTAAACTTGAGCTTGACCTCAAAATCTTACCGACCTGGATTTAATCTTAAACGTGGGTTTTGGGACTGTGGAGCCATGCTTCTTACTTGCGAACGGCTAGCCGCCGCTGGAGACTTGGTTTACGACCGCCCCCTTTCTTCGTCGAGGCAAAACATTTTGCTGCGACGACTTTCCCGACAAACTGTATCTCGAGGGCGGCTGCAAAGTGCGAGCTAGAAATTTTCAGGAATTGATGTGGGTATGCCCTTGAACTTCGAATTTCACAACTCAGAAAGCTTAATATTTTTCGCATAAGATCTGTCATATTAGAACCTCTATACAACGAACACAGTCTGTAAAAAACAATTTCATTATCCTCAAGAGTCAACTTTACAGGGAAGTACCCCAAGTGCGACGTTCAGGTTTTGATTAAAGGCTCAAATTTAGAATATTTCCTTCCAAGACATATGCGAGAATCCTAGCTCGCGCTTTGCAGAGACACCCGAGATCTTTAGATCGAAAGACGGTGAAAATTTGACAATTTTTGACGAACTTTGGCACCAAAAGTTTTATACCTATTTCTAAGGGTAATTTTTCCATAAAAAATCAATTTTTTCATCGCGAAACTAGAGAAGCTATAGCCAAAAAGTGTTCTTTTTCTGACCGCTCTCCACATTTAGTGTACTCTCTCGTTAAAAATCGTTCAATATCTTGGCGGCTTTTAAGAATTGACATCTAGTCTATGCCTCTATGTGTGTGCAAAATTTAAAGAAAATCTGAGCACTTGGGGTACTTCCCTTGTTAGCTCAAATCTTTTGTTGACCAAAAAAATTACAGTTACAACTGGCTTTTACTCGTTTATTACATCATCCCAAAATCAAGTCAAAACCGCTTCAGATTAATCTCGCACTGGGCTGACAATGTTCTCTCCGACAACAGGTCCGAAGCCGGCGGCTCTCTTTCCATAGTATCCGTAGCCGTAGTACGGGTAGCCATAGCCGTAGCCGTAGTAATATTGCGCGGTCGCTTGTTCCATGACCATGCCGATCAACAGAATGGCGAGCAGGCAGAGGGCAACACGGGAGAAGGCCATTTTAATGGTGATATTAGAGGAGTAGAGGCAAATCTAGTGTTCAAAATTGTTGATGACTTAAAATTTCGAACTTTTCTGCTTTAAATACCCCCAAAATTGCGCTGATTTTGTTGAATTTTACTTAAGGACCCACCCATTTCAATTATTTTTTTTGCCTTTTTTTGTGGAAAGATCCAGAAAATCCATTCTAAATTGCACAAGACAGCTCAAACCAATTGTTTGTTTTGACTGTAACTTTCTTGTTAATTCTCGAATGTTTACTCTACCCGACCCAACCTGTTATATCGGCAAATATTTGAATTACGCTGCATTTTCAAACAGTTGACTTTAGAGGGATTGTAAAAAAAACAAGTGAAAAAATTTGGCAATGAATGCAGAAGGTACTTGCACAAAAGTAGCCTGTGCCTGAAAAGTTCCTTATTCTGGCCACAACAAAGGTACTCTGCGAATTGCGCCCAAGCTTGGAAACCAAAGTTAGGAAAAAAGGCTTCGACCGGTAATTTAACTGACACTGAATTAGTAGAGTGGCTATATAACTTTAAGGGTACTTATGAAGTCTATGACGACTCATTTAGTTCGACACGGAGGCAATAAGTTTCGTTCCGGACAGGTTTCATCGTATAAAGTGTAAAATCGCAGACTGCAGCTGTTTTTTCAAGGGTAAGGTGGTACGAAAAAAAGAAGGCACTTCACTAACTAAATCCATTGTCCGGGGATTGACAGCAATGAATTGAGCGTGCACGCCAAATTTGGGCTAATTCTGAGCAGTTTCCGCAAAGTTATAAGTTGTAGCCAGAATAAGGAGCTTTTACCACGGACTCTATTACAACAAAATTTGCCTATAATGAACAAATTTAGATGTTGTTTAAAACAGAGTTTTTTACAGACTGTAGCTTCCCTCCACAAGGCCTGGAAATTGCTGCAACGATCCACCAAATTTCATGAAACTTGGCCTGTAGAAGGGCCAGAGCATGCTGATGAAAAGCGCCAAGGGGTTTCGCGAAATTTCAAAAACTCTAGGAATACTGTAACATTATGTATTTTACAGACTGGCCGTTATTATGGGCTAAGTGATAGCTCTCTGGCCCCAAAACTTTTCGTGTTGCTGTTTTCGACGTTGGCCAACGTTTTCGTAATTGAAACAATTTTTGTATCTTTTCATCTTTCGGGATTACTGTAACCTTTAATATACCTTATATCACTGTTAAAAACTGAAATAATTTAAACAATTTTTTAAGCTTGATTATACTCAAAATCTGCTAGTTTAGCTGAAAATGTATTGTAAATTTGTCGTTTACAAGTTTTAATATCGTAAGCCTTCTATTCTTCCACTTATTTCCACATCTTTCTATGCAAACATTAGGGTTCATAACCCTTTCTCCGACAAAAAATGATCATTTGACTAAAACTGCAAACAGACTTCACAATGTCGACCATTCAGCGGCGAACAATGGCGATGGAATTCAGGGCCGATATGGGTTCAATCGAACTCTCCGAAGACAGGATTCATCTGAATCTTAACTGGACCTTGTAGTCCGTGAATTTTGTTGCAGAAGTTTGAGCAATAGAGCAACAAATACTCTTTTCAACTAGGCCTTTCGGAAAGTCGCCGGACAAAAATCCGCGACATGCACTGTGAGAAAACAAACGTTGACTTTGCACTGTGCAATAGGCGTTTTTTTTTTGCAGGAGCAGCTGAGATATTCAACGATCTTGGCCGCCGAGAGAGCAGGCCAAAAAATGAGAGATGAAGAGAGAAAAAACTCTTTTTGGCCATATTTTTGCTATATATTTTGTGTGGAAAAAAACTGATGGAATTTTTGGTGGAAACTATTTTAAACGAATCTCTAAACGATCTTTGCCGCCCAGAGAGTACGCAAAACGTGGAGAGCGGTCAGAGATAAAAATATTTTTTGGCCGTATCCTTGCTAGTTTTGAGCAAAAACAATTGGTTTTGTTTTTGTGGAAACGTTACCTCTACAGTAGAAATAGGCACGGAGCTTTGGTGCCAAAATTCGTAAAAAAAAATCACATTTTTGCCTACTTTCGATTTGAAAATCTCCGTCGTTTCTGCAAAGCGCGGGCTAAATTTAGATCAACTTTTGTCAAGGACCTTGATAAAAGTTGATCTATAGTTGTGTCAAGTATTATCGAAATCTAAGCAGCGCACTTTTCAGCACTTCTTCCGTTATATAGATATTGTTTTCAAACCGTCTCCGTGGAGCAACAAATAAGTTCGAATTTACTACAATTTTGCTGTCAATGGCAACAATTTTTGATACAAAGACTGCTGGACATAACTTATAACGGGCTTCCCTTGTTTTGTCATTATTGTCCCATGCAAAATGACCATATCAGTTGCGACTTCAACTTGCTGCATTACAACGAAAAAGGCCTTAGGCTAAAAAAATGACATCAATTTACATTTTTCAAAATACCACTTACATCAAACCCATCGTGCTTATGAATGATGACTTTATGATCCATGGAGGCCATACTGGGAATCATATGACCTGGCTTTTCGTTCAATATCACTTCCGCCGGGAGGCCAACCAAGAAGTCGGAGAAAATCAATGGAGCAAATAATGGGTCATCAACTTCGCAGTCTAAAAGTATGGGTAAAAGTTCGTTATTCTGGCCACAACTTATAACTTTGCGGAAACTGGTCAGAATTAGCTCAAATTTAGCGTGTAGGCTCTGTTCATCGTTGTCAATGCTCGGACAGTGGACTCAGTTTGTGAGGTACCTTCTTTTTTACGTACCACCTTGCCCTTCAAAAACGGCTGCAGCCTGAGATTTTACACTTTATACGATGAGACATGTCCGGAACTAAACTTATTGCCTCCGTATGGAACTAAATGAGTCGTCTTCGTAGGTACCCTTAAAACTATAGAGCTATTACAGTAATTCAGTGTTAGTTAGGTCAAAACGGTTTTTTTCTTTAGTTCCCAAGCTTGGGCGCAGTTCGCAAAGTACCTTTGTTGTGGCCAGAATAAGGAACTTTCTCAAAGTATTATGTAATTTATAAAAAAAGCGTCTGAGATGCTACGCTGAGGTATTGTTTTATCAGTCTGTCGGGAAAATAATGTGAATTTGTCGTAGCAAAATGTCAAGGCTTGCAAATCCCCAGCCGCGGCTAGCCGTCGCAAAGCGATGATGGCGGATTCTAAGAAGTGACAAATCCACATTATTTTCCCGACAGACTGATACTTTGGTGTACATGTAGGCATAGTCTACATATCAGATACAATGGAAAGTTTAGCCCGCAATTTGCAAGGAGAACCGAGATATTCAATTATTGGGGAAGAGAGACTGCGCTAAATGCGGAGAGCGGTGAGAAAGGAAAGCATTTTTGGCGGTATCTATGCCAATTTTGAAAAAATAAAAATTTTTTCAGAAACATTGCTCTACACTGTAAGAAATATGAATGATAATTTTCATGCCAAAATTCGCAAAAAAGTTCCTAATTTTTGTCAAAATTTTGACTAAAAATCTCAGTTGTTACCAATAGAATACCACAAACTGCAAGCTAGAAACCTACACACAGTCTTACATAGGAAAAATAATCTAAATTTAGGCCTATTTTCACGCACTTCCCCTGTCAAAAATCACAGGCTACATTCTCACCTCTAACAGAATTGGAGAGCCTCATCCACATCAGCAACGGTTGCTGTCGCCTTTCTTTTTCGTAATCATACAGCCGAATTGGTCGGATTTCAAATACGCTCTCTCTTTCCAGACCATCCGTATAAGGTTTTTGATAGCCATGGCTCTCCAACCACGCATTGACATACGACGGCGCGATCATTGTCGAACGCTCGGAGCATTCAGCAGGCGGGGGAAGGGTTGTTACATCAAATGATTTTAGAGGCTTCACCGTGTCGCCTTTTGCGTATTTTTTGTTGGCCACCTGAAATGGGGAACAGTAAAAAGATGGGTTTACCGTTGTTCAATAGCCAATTTTTTCACTGTATCAGTGTGTGAACGTCGGGGAAAAACTTAAGAAACAGCTAGAGGCCGAGCAAAGCCTTGAGATCGTTCCTCAAAAGAAGCTTTGGTCCAATGAGGACACCTTGATGGAGAGGGCACCAAATTTTTTTTAAGAGGGCCCTCGGCGAAGACGGCACTTGAGGAAGAGTGAACGTTATGAAAAAAGGGTATGGCAAGGGGGGAGGGAGGACCGAGGCGGGTTTTTGTAAGCATGATTTGCTTTTGGTCAGCCATAAATGATATAGCAAGAGGTGACCAAGGCGAACTTTGAATTGAAACCCTTCGCCCGAAAGAAAACGCTAGAATCGATCTTCAATATAAATTTTTTGAGGCATAGCCAAGCCTTGATCCCCTTTAGCCGTATCTGTTTTTCAAGGCGCTCTTCGAAAAACTTGGGTGCCCTCTTCGCCGAGGTGGCGTCTTCACCAAGATGTCCATTTTTTCAAGGTGCCCTCTTCGCCAAAGTGCCCTTTTCGCTTGGCGCACTCTTCGCCAAGACACCCCTTTTGCCAAGGTGCCCTCATTGTCACAGTGGCCTCTCTGTGAAGGTGTCCTCATCGCTAAAGTGCCCTATTCACCAAGATGCCTTCTTTGTTAGGGTGATTTCTTGGCCAAAGTGGCCTCTTTCCAAGGCTCCCTCTTCACACCAAACACCCCCAAAAAATCGATAAAAATTCAGCTTACCCTTAAATGCCCTCTGTTCAGCACTTTCCCACTTTGTTTTGCCTCCAAAACAACATGATGTGAGTCCATCTCCAAATTAGGCGCAAAGTAATCAACAGGGTCCAACGTTGTTCCGGGTCGCAAAAATTTGACATCAATTCTGTTTGGGAGGAATCCAGGACGCAACCTTTTGGTTGCCAGATACATTTGTGCTACGCATTGGCCTCCAAACAGTCGATGCTCGTTGAAAGCGCCGCCATAATGACGGGCGGGAGATCTAAAGGCAATTTTTGGATGTTTTAGGCACTGAATGCAGGAACTTTCAGCAAAAACAGTCTATCAGTCTGTCGGGAAAATAATGAGACTGATAGCAAACAGTTTCAAATGCCTTCAGAGTCAATTTTTCGCCAAAATTAACAACCTTATAACAAACTTTTATAACAAATTTATTTTTTGCCCCTTTTCTTATAGAAAGATTTTACCAATATTTGAAAGTGAAAACATAAAAATTACCTGTAAAAATCGTCGATGGGGATCAAATTTTGCATGTTTCGAAAAACATTCTTTAAACTATTCTCCCCATTCATTGGCACGTTGTTTTCCATTACAAGTACTGCAAAAATAAAGCAAAATAAAGCAGTGGTTTATAGGCGTTAAAGAGAATTTCCTTAACTAACAAGGCACACAAGTTGTAGTTTATTCCTCGCACCACAAAGTTTCTTGCGTATAATTTGAAAAAAAATAAAAATAAATAAAAAAAAGTGTTTATAATATATGCTAATTTAGCCATTTTTGAGATAGAAAATTTTTAAAATTTCATAATCGAGGAACACTTTTGAGCGGTTCATTTGGTATCAGATCTTGGAAAAAGGCTTGTTGAGTGAAACTCAAGACGGGCTTCCCTTCTTTTGTCGCGATTTTCCCTTGAATTTTCACCATGTCTGTCGCAAATTCGATCATTTGCTCGATGAGGAAGAAGTCGGTTGGCTGAAATCAACAAAATCAAGGGAGTCCTCCAAATTATTTAGATGCGCAGATTTTGATGAAACTTGGCATAAATTTAGGCTAATTTTGTTGTGAAAGGTCTGCGAGAGTTTTAGCTTGCGCTTTGCGGAAATGACCGAGGTTTTTAGATCGAAAATTGGAAAAAATGTGAGACTTTTTTTTGCGAATTTTGGCATGAAATGTTTATTTCTACCGTAGAGTGCAATGTTTTTACAAAAAATCAATTTTTTCCGCACATAATTAAAGATATGGGGAGAATGTGTTTTACCCTACTGACCGCTCTCTGCAAAGATATGGCCAAAAAGTTCCAAGGCGCGACGAATCCACATTATTTTTACGCTTTTTCAAGGCTCAGATTTTGATGAAACTTGGCATAGATTTAACTTCTTCTAAGATACATGTGATAATTCTAGCTCGCACTTTGCAGAAATGACGAGGATTTTTTAGATCGAAAATCGGAAAAAATGCAACATCTTTTAACGCATCTTGGCATGAAAAGTTTAACGCTTATTTCTACTTCTTAAAGTAATGTTTCGACAGAAAATCTATTTTTTTCCATGCAAAACTAGCCAAAATATGGTTAAAAAAGAGTTTTTCTCTGTGACCGCTCTCCGCGTTTCGTGTACTCTCTCGGCTGTAAAGATCGTTTAATATTTCGGCTCTCCCTGCAAAGCGCGAGCTGAAACTTGCAGGAACTGATATCTGGCCTATCCCCGAAGTGTGTGCAAAATTTATAGAACTTACGTCAAATTCATCCGAGTGGAAAACAACCTGATGTTCCATAGATGACATGACCCCTAATTTTTCTCCCGGTGAAGCATCGGCGATTGTATCAATTGGAAGGCCGATAATGAAGTCGGAAAAAACAAGGGGGATCATCATTTTGGTTGGGACGGGGAATTCTGAAAGGATTTTTAATACTCTACTTACAGTATTGCTTAAGAAAAAAAGTTAATATGAAAAAAATGAACATAATTTTTAAAATCAATTATCCTAATTTTGACATTTACAAGCAAAAAAATAACATAAAAAAAGTCTACGCACTTAATGAAAATAGTAATACTACCTCTCACAGTTTTCGACAATCTCATCCACAACAATGTCGTTTGCGATTTGCTGACCTTAAAGTCAAAAAATCGGATTAATCGCATCTCAAAAATTGAGCCTCTGGCAAAGTTGAACTTCTTGAATTGCGGCTGAAATCCATGCCTCTCCAGCCATTGATCCATTACAACTGTGGCCAGAAATGGAGAGCATTCTGGGACACTGAGAGGACAAGGAATATTGGTCGTATTTATGAAGGAAATTGGCTGGGATGCTTCTCGGCGGAAGAATTTTGAACTTGTCATCTAAAGCAATATTACGTCGTATACATGCATTTTTTTGGTATTTTTTGGACTCTTGTTCTCTCCATTTTACATGTGTTTCATTCCAAAACTTACTCTAAAATGTACTGAGTTCATAACCTTTCCATTTTGCACACAGTCCAATCCCAAGTGATATGAGCCAAATGAGGCGTGACTTGGGACATAGTCGTATGGGTCTTGAACAACGCCAGGCCGAAGGAACGTGGAGCTCATTCGAAGCGGGACAAATCCTTGTCGAATTTTTGTCGCGGCCAAATAGGCCTGAGCTGTGGCTTGGCCGCCAAAGAGGCGGGTCGGATTGAAAGCGCCTCCATGATGGGGAGGGTGGGAACTGAAAAAATTGAAAATTTATTTTGAAAAAACGGAGAAGTTTTTGTACAGAAAGTTGTGGAGCCAAATGAATTCGTTATATAAGGGTTTCGTTGTTGAAAGGTATATTTTGAACGCAAATTACCTAGATAGAAGGCAATTTATCTGTGAAATTTTTGCTATTGACAACTTTTCTTGCACGCGAGGTTGTTGTACAAAAGTTCACTGTGAATGCAAAGTTTCTACCGCGCATTTTGCAAAAACATCAAGATTCTTCGGCCAAAACAAATATATCAGTTATCTACAAAAGATTACACTGTCGTATCGAAAATCGCATCGCCGCCGAGAAAATGAATTGTGTCGCGGCAAAATCGCATTGCTTTTCACTTCATCGACGCGATCGACGGAACGGCATTATGCCCATTGTTTTACCGACAGACTAATAGAGGTTTTATAAAGTGCATGGACATTATGTTGCCGTGAAAATAGAAGCCCCCAATTTTAACTGTACATCGATATATCGCTGCGACGTGACATGCCAAAACTCTTTCTTGTTTTTACTCCCACTACTCTTCTATTTTCAGTTAGCCGTTGCACAAAAATCAAAAGCTGCTCAGCATCCCAAAACTCACCGAAATCCCTCCGCGACTGGCCGAAGTTTGAAAAAGTTGTTGAAAATCTCGCGTATCTCCGCGTAGGGATCCTTATTTTCTTTTTCCATATTTTAAGACAAACAAGCATGCATTATCAGTAGAGAGAAAAATAAAATGCTTTATTATTTCGTTTCGATCGCTTCCTTTCATCAACAGTTATAACTACGAGCTATGTAGTTTGGAAGACTGCGGTGTTTACCTGCGAATTTCATTGCTGTCATCGAGCTGGTGTTTTTTTCACCTTCGCTTTGTTTTGGTGAAATTTTGCGAGCTTGCGGATGCCTAAAATATCCTCAAAAATGGATCTTCTAAAGTGGATCACTTTCGGGGATTTTTAAAAGAATGTCAAATTTTGTGGGAAAAATTGATTTTTTTGCGAAAGAATTGCAAAAAAAAGCTTTGAAGATCTCTGTTAAGCCTAGAAAATCACTGTTCATATTGCCTACAAAAAAAATTTTCTATATTTTAGCACTACTACTTGGCCAAAAAAATTGCCAAAGATGGAATAAAGCTACAATTTAGACGGAAAAAAATTTCATTTGATGTTCACACTTCGTATTAGCTATCTTTGAAAACAAAATAAACAAGTTTTATATTGACCATTCCTCTATATTTTTGCAATAGAATTTACCCAAGCTCCGCCCAAGTCCTTGCTTGGACACCATTTTAAACTAGCCTATAGGTATTTGTCCCATAAAATTTTTCTCATCAGAACCATTGAATTTATAGAAGTTTATCAACAAATAATACATAATATACAATATTTACAGCCTCATATTTCACTTTTCTAACTGATTCATTTCGTAATACAGGCCCTCTTCGGCCATCAGCTCTTGATGAGTTCCCTGTTCGGTAATTCGGCCATCAACAACCACAAAGATCTTGTCGACCGTTCGAATCGAGGCTAGATGATGGGCAACTGAAAAGAGGGTATTGCAATTTAATTATAGTGAGGGACAGACATAGCACTGGCCGTGCAAATTTTTTTGTATTGAAACGAAAAATTGGAGTGCCAATTTTGGGTTCTTGGCATTATGCAACAAGATGTTCAAAAACATTGTATGCTGTTCGAAATGTTGTTGGAAACGATAAAGCTACCTAAAGACGAGCCAAAAAAGACAGTACCAAAATATTGCCAAAGTGGCGGGAAAATTGAAATTCAAAATTATTCAAAGCAATTTTTTAGGGACCGGGCCATACCTGAAAATCTTCAGGGCCGGGCCATAGCTCTTCACGGGCCGAACCGTGCGAAGACCCTCAAAGCCATACCATAGCTCTCAACGGGTCATGCCGGACTTCAAAAATCCCGAAACACGATCCTTAGGACCGGGACATTATTGTTCCCCGCGGGCTGGGCTCCCTGTGGGGTAATCCTTAGGGCCGGGCCATAACTCCCCACTTGCCGGCCTGGCCTGAAGATCCTTTTAGGAGCCGGGCCTAACCTAAAGATCTTCAAGACCGGGCCATAGCTCTTCACGCGCTGGACCGGACCTAAAAATTTCTCCGGGCCATAACTCCCCAGGGGCCGCGCCTGGCTTGAAAATCCACAGGACCTGACCATAGCTACCCGCGGGCCGAGCCGGGCTTTGAAAATTTTGAAAAGGTCTGGCCCGTGCCGCTTTTGACGGGGGGTTTGCACGGAAATGCCAAAAGACCGGCCCTGGCTTCCTTACATTAGCCATGTCTATTGAGGGGATACAAAGACTTTTCGTGTTGTTTACCATGAATGCAAGTGCAGCTTTCGCTCGCCTTCTCCACGGCCTGCTGAACCGCCTTCTCCGAGGTCGCATCCAACGCTGCGGTCGCCTCATCCAACAGCAGCACTACCGGCTTTCGAATCATCGCTCGGGCTATGGCAATCCGTTGCTTTTGCCCGCCACTAAGTTGGGCGCCATACTCCCCGACCTCTGTGTCGTAGCCCTTGGGCAATGAGACGATAAAATCGTGAATATTCGCGATCTTTGCGGCTTCAATTACATTCACCATGGTATATTCGTCTTCATCGAGGCCGTAGGTGATATTTTCTTTGATGGAAAAAGAAAATAGTGTTGGCTCTTGGCCCACGCAGACAATAACTCGCCGAAGATACGCCGGATTTATCGTTTTGACGTTGTATTTGTCCAGCATCTGAAATGAGTTGAAGTTGTACACCTTCTAGCATATAAAATTTCACTTACAACTTGACCCTTCTGTGGAGTGTACATTCTTTGCAATAAAGAAATTATGGAGCTCTTCCCAGAGCCCGATGGCCCAACAATAGCCACGTTCATGCCCGGCCCGACATTCATTGTGACGTCCTTGAGGACGGGGATGATCGGCCGACTTGGGTAGCGGAATTCAACGTTGTGCAGGGAGATGCGGCCAACTACTTTCTGAAAATTGGAGTATAAGGATTTATGGGGTAAGGAGGCGCTGCACGTCGAACTGAAGTAGGCTAAAAATGGATTGGCAATTCCCCAAAAAAGACGCAAGAAATGTTTTTGTCGGGGGAGAAATGGGGACTTTTTGGGGCGAGAGAGTACGTTTTTGCGCGTCTTTTTCTCTGACTTCTCTGTGAAATCAAGACGAAGTGTAAAAAACCGATAGCGAAGAGTCTATTCCGGTCACCGGACTCCTCAGTTTGACGTGCGCTGTGCACGGCAACCCAGAATAAAAGAAAAATGTCTTCCGTCCTCATTTGAGTTTTGTCTAAACGAAGTTTCACAATTGACAAAAGAAAAAATTTTAAAAAGCCAAGCTTCCAAAACGGCCCTAAAAAAGTCTCCATCGAGCCTTCGCCATTGTGTGAAGCATGCCCGAAGCCACCGAGACTAATACAGTGGGGGACCTGATCCAGTGACAAAAAATGAACCATTTTGCATCCGGGAAGTATCAAAAATGTAGCTCCAAATGAAAATACCCCAATTTCAAAAGCGCGCGCCCTTTTTTGTGAGGGAAACGGCGCGCCCTTCAAAACGGAGTTTTTTTAGTCATGGAGGGAAGCATTTTGCCACATTTTTGATGCTTCCCCGATGAAAAATGTTACGCTTTTTCCCACTGGATCGGGTTCTTCACTGTAGGTTACATCCCAGCAGATGGGACAAACAAAACTTCATCTGTAGTACACAATTGTGGGCTTTGCAACAAAGTGTAATTTTCAAAAAAGGCATCAAATGTCTCCGCCAAAAAATGGTCTCTACGCCGAGGCCAGAAAAAAATGTTTTGCATATTCTAAAAACGCATGACTTCGAATTTCAAATGCAGCTTAAACTTCTATAATAACTGCAAAGAGCACAAAGATATTTGCAAAACGTTTTTTCAAAATTTCTTGATAACACTCTGTATACCAATAAAACAACTCACCGGTCTGAGTCCCTCGTCGCTCAAATTGTCCATATCGCTTGCCGGCTCCGTAATCACGCCAAGAATGTTTTCAGCGGCCACTCTCGCCTTGCTGAAGTCCGTCACGGAAGCGATCAACTGACTGATAAAGTTTGCACCGAACTGGGTTAGCAGCACCACTCTAAACGTTAAAAAAAATTATATCCGCCGTATTTTACAACCTACCGTAGATAGTCGAAAGGGTCGATTTCATTGTGAATCATCATATCCTTGCCGAAGTACAGTGTTATGGCTATGAGAATGTAAGTGAAAGAAAATTGGCAGGCAAAAACGAAGGCTGAGATACAGGCTTGACGGGACATGGCGCTGAAAAAATATGGGTTATTATGGACAAATTTGCTGTAGAAAGGTTGCGTTATAGATGTTAGAGAGGCTGCCTTATATGTACAGTAGGGGACCTGATCCGGTGGCAAAAAACGTCCCATTTTGCATGCAGGAAGGAACCAAACTGTCGCAAAATACCTCCCTTCCCTAATTGATACCTCTCTCTTCAAAACGGAGTTTTTTTAGCTTACAAGGGAAGTACTCCAAGTGCGACGCTCAGATTTTCTTTAAATTTTGCACACACGTCAGGTATGAACTAAATATTAATTACTGAAAGTTTTAGCTCGCGCTTTGCGGGCGCCGCACGTCAAACTGAGGAGTCCGGTGCCCGGAATAGACTCTTCGCTATCGGTTTTTTACACTTCGTCTTGATTTCGCAGAGAAAGAGAGAAAAAAGACACGAAAAAACGTACTCTCTCGCCCCAAAAATTCCCCATTTCTCCCCCGACAAAACGTTTTTTTGCTTCTTTTTTTGGCAAATTGCCAATCCCTTCACCAAACTGTTTTAGCTTATCTCAGTTTGACGTGCGCCGCCGAGATATTGAACGATTTTTGCCGCCGAGAGAGCACGCTAAACGTGGAGAGAGGTCAGAGAGAAAACCGCTTTTTGGCCATAACTTTGGCAGTGTCGTGCGGAAAAAAATGATTCTTTGTAGAAACATTATCTTTTACGGTATACCGCAATAGAAATATGCATGAAACTTTTCGTGCCGAAATTCGGCAAAAAGTTCTAAATTTTCACCGACTTTCGTTCTAAAAATCTCGGTTGTTTCTGCAAAGCGCGAGCAAGGATTCTCCCATATATCTTAGAAAAAAATATTCTAAATTTGTGCCAAGTTTCATCAGAATCTGAGAGTCGTACTTGGAGTACTTCCCCTGTTAGAGAAGGGAGGTATTTTGCAGCATTTTGGTTCCTTCCATTGGATACAAAATGACACTTTTTTTGCCACTGGATCAGGTCACTGTATATTGCTTTTAACAACTCATCCCACTCACCTTTGCATCGGCTTCAGCGCGTTCCTGAAGATCGTATCAAAGTGATCTTGTAGTCCATAGGCTTTGATGGTCCCCATGTTTGAAAGCACAATGGTTGCCAACTGAAAACGAATATTGTTGGAGTAATCGACCGTTTTGAGTTCAAGGGAAAGTACGATCCTTTCTATAGACTTTTTTGCTCAGAGATTCGTATTTCTTTGCAAGTAGAGGTGAAAAAGTTGACTTACATTAGCGATCTTTTTCTCCTCCTCCGCCATTTTCCGCTGCCTCTTCGAAGTCTCTCTCAGCTCAACCAGCCTGAAGAACACGAAAGCCGGGAATTGGAAGCCGCACAACAAAGCCAGCTTCATGTTTATCAGTAATGCCAGCGTAACTGAGACCGTCGAGCAAATTATGGCGGGTAATAAGAGATCCAGCTTTTCACCCATGATCTGAAAGTTGATTAAGCGATATGTTTCTGGATCCCATATTTTACAACTCACTCTATTCAGACTGGCGGTATCCGTGATCATTTTGTGAACCAACCTTCCGGGAGTGTGATTCTCCTCGTCGAAATAGGCGGCTCCGTGTCGGAGGAGTTTTCTGAACATTTGAGATCGAAGATACGTGCAGAAACCATGTCCGTATAAGGCGACAAATAAACGCTGAAAAATGAAAAGGTGAATTTTGGGACTCTTGAATGCATAGCTATACATATATAGGGGTACTCAAGATGTCTATAGATCTTTTGGGGTACTCAAGATGTTAAACACGAATTTTTATGCAACCCGTAGTGAATTGCGGCTAGGATTTTATTAAATACCCATAAACACGTATAAATATATAAGGGCTATAAAATTTTTTTCGTTACTAAAGGGATTTGCTATACGGAGGCTGAAAGACGAAAGTTAACCGAATATTTTAACTTATGAAACGAATCACTGCAAAAAAGGCTTTGTTCTATGATGGTCTTACTGCACAAACAAGATTTTTGCTTCAAAATACAGAATCAATCGAGATTTTTTGGTCGAAAAATTGCCATTCTAACAGTCTGTCGGGAAAATAATGAGCACTATGTCGCATTGAAAATCGCATTGCCGCAGAGAAAATGAATTGTACCGCGGCAAAGTCAAATTTCTTTTCACTTCAGCGATGCGATTGGCGCAGCGACTTTTGTTCATTATTTTCCCGACAGAGTGGTAATCATTTTTTCTTTTTTTTAGAATGAAAATTAGGTGACTTACCGATTTTTTGACCGATTTTTTTTTTGAGAATTTTTGCTTTTTTTTCTTTTTTTTGTATTGAAATTTTTTCTGATCATTTTTTAATGTCTAAAAGCTACAAATTCCAAGAAAAAATCGGATTTTCCCCAAAATTTCAACTCACCCCGACAGCTTCGAAGATCGTCTTCACAATGATCAACGCCGTATAAACCGCGGCCACAATGAAAATTCGTCGCGGCACGTCTTCCGGAGGGGCCATTGAGATCTCCAGAACCGAAGAGACCTCGAAACACACGAGCAAAAAGAAGAGTCCGCGGAGAATTGTGGTCGGAAGAGCGAAAATAATGTAGGTGTAGCCTTCTTTGTACTCCTTGATGAGATGCCAGACTGCTTTGAAACTGGTGGAACGGCCCGGAAGCTAGAATAAGTTTAATTTTTTGAATTCTTTTTTTTTTGCTAGAACTATGGAAAATTATTTTTTTTTATTTTTTGCTTCGAAAACATCAGAAAAATCCGTTTTGAAGGTAAAATACGGCTTTCGCAATTTCAGATTGAAATTTAAAAAATTATTTATTTTTGATTTTTATTAAAAAACAGACGTTTTTTGAAATTTTTTTGTGAATTCGGATTCTCCCTTGAACATCGAAAAATAAATTTTTTTTTTTATTTTTTTTTATTTTTTGGCTTGAAAAACCAAAAAAAAATCCGTTTTGAAGGTAAAATACGGTCAGCTGAATCCATCTAGAAGTTTCAAAAACAACTTTTTCTTGGCTTTTTTTAAAAAAATTGACATTTTGAATTTTTTTTATTTGTTTTATATTTTTTTGAGAATTGAGATTCTTCCTTGAACTGACGGAAAATAATTAAAAAAATTTTTTAATTTTTTTTTGGCTTGGAAGACAAAAAAAATCCGTTTTGAAGGTAAAATACGTTTTTTATAATTTAGAAATTTCAAAACTCTTTTTTCAGGTAAAATACGTTTTTTGTAATTTTCCGTTTTGAAGGTAAAATACGGTTTTTATAATAGAAATTTCAAAAGTCATTTATTTTTGAGTTTTAATAAAAAATTTTCCGAAAAAATTTCAACTTTTTTCCATTCCCAAAAATAATTTTTAAACCCCCCAAAAACCCTCTAAAACTCCCTACAGTATAGCTCATTGTTTCCTCTTCAAACGACTTTTCGTGCACAACCTCCATCACATTCGGCTGGCGGAAAGACTTGTTCAAAATAGTCCGTTTCCGCGATATCACCGGCATAGCCAGTTTCGCGCGGTCAGCGCCACACATGGAATAGGATTTGCCCAATCGCTTGGCTCCTAATGAGGAGCGACGCCAGTGTCGACGCTTTTCCGGGTCCTAAAGCACTTGCAAATTGGGAAATGAGGAGAGTTTTGGGGGAGAAAAAGGTTAGTAGGCGCGTTTTTGTTAGTGTATCCAAAAAAAGTTAGAGGCGTAAAAACTTGTTGTTAGTCAGATTGCAAAAAGTAAAAAACGGGTGGTACTGCACGACAGAAATGCACTGTAAGTCGCGACGAAAAGTTTAGGCGTAGCCGAGAAATTGAACGGCCTTTGCGGCCGAGAGAGTAGAAAAAATGCGGGGAGCGGTCAGAGAAAAACTATTTTTTGGCCATAATTAGTTTTGTGCGGACATTGATTTTTTGTATAAACATTCCCCTCTACGGTAGAAATAGGCATGAGTATTTTCATGGCAAAATTTGCAAAAAAGCGCCGCATTTTTACCAACACTTGTGACATGTGTTGATTAAAGACCATGCACGTCAAACTGAGATAAGCTAAAACAGTCCGGTGAATGGATTGGCTATTTGCCAAAAAAAGACGCGAAAAAACGTTTTGTCGGGGAAGAAATGGGGAATTTTTGGGGCGAGAGAGTGCGCTTTTGCGTGTCTTTTTTCTCTCTTTCTCTGCGAAATCAAGACGAAGTGTAAAAAACCGATAGCGAAGGGTCTATTTTGACGTGCCATGCCCAAACTGTACATGCAAAAGTTAAAGAAAGCTTGTGCGTCGCAGATCAACACTTCCCTTGTTAGCAACAGAAAATTAGCGAGAAATTGTTAGTTCAAGCAAAAAACCATAGATTTTTCTTTACAGTAGAGCCGAGGAATCGTTTCTCCATCTTTGTCAATTGAATCTTCAAAAACTTACGAACCAATAAGTCGTCTCCTGAAAAATCAACCACAAAAATAAAGCTGTTAGTAAAGAAGCAGTTAATAAGCATTCAAAACTCTCAAAGCCTTACAAAAACTTTGTGCATTTCGAAGGATCCCATCGAGAGTTTCCCCGTCAACAACGGCTTGGTGCTCAACGATCTGGCTGACGATGACGTTGACAGCGGAGGCGAGGATTCGCGAGTTTGCAGCGTCTCAAACCGCTGGTCCGCGTACATTTTGAAGAAGCGGCTGGACTGAGTGGCCAGGAGTTGCTCGGGAGTGCCCTCTTCAACGATTTGGCCGTTGTCGAGGACGATGACGCGATCCGCGTTGCGGACGGTGCTTAGGCTGAAAGTGGGATTTTTAGAAGGTAATTGGGGGCGGGGTTAAAATTTTTGATTTTTGAGGGATATTTGCATAATGAAAATGTAAAAATAAAGTGTTTAGGCAAATTTTTTGCTAAAATTTAAAAGTTCAATTTTTCAAAAATCGACCGGTCGATTTTTTTGAAATTTTGCACACGTCTTTTTAATAGGCCACTTAGAAATTCCTGAAATTTTCTAACACTTTTTTGCAAGCGCAGCCGAGATACTCCCCCAAAAATGCTTTGTCTGCCGACTCCTCATTTTTCGCACTCTCTCGCAAAGACCCTTGAATATCTCAGTTCTACTTGCGATTTGCGGGAGAAAATTTTCACTGATTCATTTGTCGCCTATTTCGAGTATGTATGCAAAATTTGAACAGAATCAGTGAGTCCAGAGAGTCCAGAGTCAAGTTTAGTGTACCTTATTCGAATTTTTTAGTTTTCTTACCGATGAGCAATCGTAATCGTCGTGATTCCCTTGCTAGCGGCGTCAATTGCCATCTGAACTTCTCCTTCGTGTTTTGTATCCAGCGCTGACGTGGCTTCATCGAAAATTATAAGCGACGGATTTCGAATGACAGCTCTGGCAATGGCAACTCGTTGTTTTTGCCCACCGGACAGTTGATGACCTCTGAAAAGGATGAAAAATAATTTTAAACGCAATAAAAGCGAGTTTTTAATTTAAAATCGCAAAAAAATATTTTTTTGTAAATTGTCGTCCTCCGTATTTTACCCAAACTATTCAAAGAAATCGATCAAAAAAGATTCGATCAGGATGAGATTCGAACTCACGCGGGGAAACCCCAATGGATTAGCAGTCCATCGCCTTAACCACTCGGCCACCTGATCACATTCGAGCGGATGACCGAAAAAGGATTTGAAACGGTTTGCGAACGGGGGGAAATAATTGGAAAGGGCATGGGAAGGGGGAAACGAATAATATGCGTTTTGAAAAATAAGTTTTGAAATAATTTGAGGGTCAACCTCGATTTTTTTTCACAAATTTCCACAGCTAATTTCCCCAAGAAATTTACCTGATACTTTTCAAAAATTGGTGAAGATATTGATGATTTTTTTGGACTAGAGAGCATGCGAAATGCGGAAGGTGATCAGAGAAAAAGTTTTCTGGCCATTTTTTTATCGAATTTTTGGAAGGAAAAAATTGATTTTTTGTTAAAAACTACACGCTTTACTTCGAATTAAGTGCGCAATATTCAGCTCGCAAATCGTAAATATTTTTCTTTGATTTTTTTGAAATTTTTTGTTCCATAAAGTTTGTATTTGAAATTTTGACAACTTTCTAGAGCTTTGTTATTCACGTTTCGCACTTCTCGCGGCCTAAAAGCCGAAAAAAACATAAAATTTTGCCTCTTTCTACCAAAAAATTAAACATTTTTTTATCCCAAAACAAATTTGTCACCATCCTTTTTTGCCAAGTTAAGATTTTTTTTCAAAAATGACAACCTCTTTTTTCATGGGAATTTTGAAAATCTCAATTTTTTCGGTGATTGAAGGAAAATTCGAAAAAAAATCTCACCGATCCCCAACCCTCGTTTTCATTCCATCCGGCAATGCGTTGATGAAATGCCAGGCCTCCGCTCTTCTGGCGGCATCGTTCACATCCCCTTGGCTTGCATTCAAATGGCCGTATCGAATGTTATCGGCGATGGTGCCATCAAACAAAGCCGGTTCTTGACTGACAAGGCCAATTCGGGCGCGAAGAAGGTCGGGACAGACTTCGCGGACATTCGTTCCGTCGAAGAGGATCTAAAAATTGGAAAAAGAAAAAAAATTTGATTTTTTCCAAAAAAAATATTTTTAATTATATTCAAAGTTAATATATATGTATTTACTTGCTCTTAACTTACCTCTCCACCCTGACAATCGTAAAACCGCAGAATCAGCGCAGTTAGCGTCGATTTTCCCGAGCCACTCGAGCCGACGATGGCCAAGTGCTCGCCGGGCCTGATGTCCAACGAAATCCCTTTTATCACCTGGTAAAATACGGTATATAGTGCTTAGCATTAATCCTACCTCCACGTCAGGCCTTGATGGATAGCTGAATCTGACATTTCTGAAAGAAATCGAAGCACTTTCTTGGATAATGCTGAACTTTGGACACGATAGGAGCTGTTTCAGCTGAAAAAATAACGAGTTTATACTTGTATCAAAAAATGTAGCCAAATACCTCCCTCTCCAAGTGAAAAAACTCCGATTTCAAATGCCCGCCCGCTCTCTTTCGTGAGGGAAAGGGCGCGCCCTTCGAAACGAATTTTTTTCACTTGAAGAGGGAGGCATTTTGAAACATTTTTTGATGCTTCCCGGATGCAAAATGGCACTTTTTTGACGCTAGATCAGGTCCCTCACTGTACCACAAGCTAAGGGGTGAACTGTATATATAGTTATAATCCCCCACCTTTCTTTCGTTATGATCCGTTTCAATTTGCGGCGACTCTTCCAGAATCTTTTTTACCTCTTGTGCGTTCTGCTTGGACGATGAGACCCCGTTCAAATGGAAGCCAATGCTAATGGACGTCACGCACACATACAGCATATTTATGGCCAATGCGGCGAGTCGGCCGGAGTTCTCTCCGCCCACTCGATACATCCCATAGCACAAGGCGGCCGTGAAAATGAGCTCCGTAAACATGACCTGCGCCAATGCGTCGTAGACTGAGGACGCTCGCAACCGCTCTTCGGTCATTCGATTATGCTCGTTGGCGAGGCGTTCGTATCTGGAAGTGATTGAAGATTTAAGAATGATAAATATACGTCAATACTTACTTATTAATTGTCTGCCGTTGCGACGCGAATGAGATCACGGTTTGAATGCACAGAAACGTCTCACTGACCAGATTTGTCATCTTCGTCTGCAAGCTGAACTCTTCGTCCATTGTTTTGCAGAACCACTGAAAATATTGGATTATTTACAATGGCTTCGTTGTCAACCAATACAGCTTAAAAAATGATGACTTACTTTGCTGAAAATGAGCCGAGTTCCGATCAGCACTGGCAACGCCAGCAACATCACCAACGTCACATCCCATTGAATATAGAAGCAAACGGACAACGTGACAACGAGATAGACAAAAATGAAGATTGTCATAGGCACGTGGTCTGCGATCCCTTGATAAATCGACTCGGAGTGGCTGAAATTTCAGAATATCATTTTGTAGGAAAAATAATAAGCACTTTGCCGCATCGAAAATCGCATCGCCGCCGAGAAAATGAATTGTATCGCTGCAAAATCAAAATTTTGAAACGCCATTGTGCGCATTATTTTCCCGACAGGCTGATAATAAACTTGCAGGCACAGTTTGCAATGCTGACTTTTTCATATTTTAAAAAATTGCATAAAAAATGTTAAAATATCTCCTACTCATGAAGTGTAGAAGCGACTTGACCGCTATGCCGAGATTCCAACCAAGCAATGTCCATGTGCAACAACTTGCTAATATAGGTTCTTCTGGCACGGAAAACTTGACGAATCCCAGAGATCTCCCATGAAAGACGCTGAAATTGTAATGGCAATAAGTATTAGTAAGGAATTTAAAAATTCCTGTGTCATTGCCGATGAAAAAAAATAAAAAGTTAGGCCGCTTTCTTTGTTTTTTTCGGAATTTGGTCCACGAATCCTTTAACTCCTCTCGTTGAGAAATACAGTGACGGTCCTGGTCCAGTGGCCAAAAATGTGGTATCAAAAAAAGTAGCAAAATGCCTGCCTCTCCAACTTAAAACTCTGTTTGGAAGTTCGCGCCCTTTCCCTCACAGAAACATCTTTTGGAATTGTAGTTTTTTCACTTAAAGAGGGAGGTATTTTGCACCATTTTTTGATACTTCCCCGATGCAAAATGGTACGTTTTTTGCCACTCGATCAGGTCCACTGTACATACTCTCAATTTTCTGAACTGGTCAAAAAATCAAATTCGATTGATTGCGACCTCCCATAAAAATGCAGCAGAGCGACGCCTGTGGCTAACAATAAGACTTGTTGAAAATGTTCAAAGTAAATACTAATATTACAAAACGTGGGCATACTTTGACATATCGAAACAATTATGGCCAAGCAAGAAAAACGTGGCCAAAAGAAAAAAGTTTGACCAAAGGTTTTTGATTTGGCCACGTCTTACAAAAAATTGCCCATATTTTTTGACAAAAAAATTCCACATTTAACATATCACTTCAAAAACTCTAGCTTAGCGTATCGCTTACGCTGTAAAATCAGTCCGTCGGGAAAATAATGTGGATTCGTTGCACCTCGGAATCGCCCAATCATCGGTTCGCAACGGCTAGCCGCTGGGTATTTGGTGCCTATTTTTCTGCGAAAAATCCACATTATTTCCCCGACAGACTGCCATTACAACGTGAACTTTAATCTTCAACGATCAACCACGCCGCCCTCCTCCTCCTCCTTCGGCCCTCTCATTAATCAAAACGAATCAAACCGAAATCAGATTTCAACGAAACCATCGCCGCACCTGTATGAATGCCGCAATGAATGTGGCGACGGAGAGCGAGAGCATCGCGACGAAGACGGGCATTGCGGCGTTCGTAAACTTTTGATCCACCTCCAGTTGGCGGATCTGGTAATCCACGTCCATTTCGGTCTGATTCAGCGGGGTGAAGGGCTCGGAATCCTCGTCTTGTTGCAGTTGGAGCATGCGGTTGTAGTCGAATTTTACTTCCTGAAAGAGTTAGGTGATTTGAGAGGCTTTACAGAAAATTGCAAAAAAAAAATTTTTTTTGTCTGAATTTTTGTTCAAATTTTGCGTAGATGTTCCTTGTCTGTCAATCATTAATTCCGAGAAATTTTAGCTCGCGCTTTGCAGAAACAGCCGAGATATTCGACGATCTTTGGTGGCGGGAGAGTACGCGTAATGTGGAGAGCGGTCAGAGAGAAAGAAAAAGTTTTTTGCCTATATCTTTGCCAATTTAGTATAGAAAAAAACAGTTTTTTTTTGTGAAAAAGTTGCTCTACGACAGAAGTCAAATTTAGTTGTCAAAACCTCGCAAAAATGTCAAAGCTATGCCAACTTTCAGCCTTTAAGTTTTTATAAAAATGGCGCCATTTCAAGAAATTCAATGATCTTTATGGCTGGGATAGTACGTAAAAAGCGGAGAGCGGTCAGAGAAACAAATAATTTTTGGCCATGTCTTTTCAGTTTTGTGCTATAATAAAAAGAGAAATGTTTATCTAAGTTTGTGCCAGGTCTCAACAAAATCTGAGCGTCCCAGTTGGAGCATTCACTAGCTTGCGGCAAATTTCATCAACGCCTAAAACTTGATGAGTAAAGACTCATTTTGGAGATTTCGCTTTATTACAATTTATTACCATAACACGATTTGATTTTTTATGACAAAGTTTACTAATATTTTTGATACATCAATTTTCTTCCAATTCTAGCACAAGATATATGCTGTTTGACCAGGCTTATCAAATGTTTGTCGGTTGATAAAACTTCTAATCTTTTTGCTCCCTGTCCCAGAGATTATAAAAAGAGAAAAAAGATTGGCCTTTTGGCTTCCTCGAAGAGACTTTTTTGTTTCGTATGGAACATATTTGTTCAGTGCACACGACGGGAATTTTCTAGTTTGTAAGGCTTTTTTTATTATCTTGAAAAAAATTATGGAGTATTTGGGCTGCTATAGTGTTATTATATGTAGAAACTATATAGATGAAAAGAAGCAGAAGAGTTCCATTTCGATTTCTAGCCCTACTACTTTCTTGCTGAAATGGAAAATGGTACCCTTTTCATGTGAGATAAGCTTATGAGTTGGTTGTTTGCGCTGTACATGTTTGGCAGAGCTACTAAAAAGGGAAATGTCCCAAGAAAAAATTCTGATAATTTGGACAGTGCGGTTTTGGCCCATCGCTGCGAAAATTGCAAAGAAAGCAATACATTTCCCCACGACGCTAAGACTTTCTTTAAGTTTTGCATACGATTTGGGCTACGTATCAATTCCTGAACATTTTGCTGGAGCTTTTCAGAGAAGAGCCGAGATGTGGCCAGTTTTCCCAGCTTTTGACTAAAAAACCCCGGCCGTTTCGGCAAAACGCTAGCTAAGAATCCTGCATGTGTCTTATTGTTAGAAAAAATTAGATTTTTACCCGGTGTACTTCCCCTGTTAGATAATCCGCAAGGCTCTTACCTCTCTTTCAATCGCAAAGGTGACAAAATCTCCCATGATAAGCCACACGAATGGGGGAAGGGCTGCTTGAACTAGGGCCATTAACAGTCCGATAATCGACAAGATCCTAAAACAATACATAATTTCGTACAATGAAATATTTTTTTGCTCTCTGAAACAACGCCGACTTACAAATCCCATTTATCCGCAAAGCTGTACAGTGTACTCAACTTGGCTCCCGCCGGCTTTTTCTTTTCCTCTTCCACATGTTCCTCCTCGATTTCTTTTGGTTCCAAAATATCCGATTGTTCAATCGGCCGCGGAATGTCGACTGGCCGTTCATCAGATACTTTACTCATATTAGATCCCGAATTATGGCATATATTGTTGATTTAGAGGTATTTCATTAAGGTTGAGGTCTGAAAATTAAGAGCTCTGCTTTGTTATAAATCATCATAGAAAACCACGTGGGTTAATATAAATCAAGAAAGAAATGTTTTTCAGACAACAATAGCGCTCTAGTTGAAAAAAAATATCCGTGTAGTCTCATAATAGACACAAGGCGGGACTATACCCTAATTTTATGATGATTAGAATAATAATAGAAGACGGTAGAAGGTAAATAGTCGCCCATAAAGTGTAATGGTATAAATATAACATCATCCTCGTATAACGATCGAACTTTTGCGCGTTTTTATTATTCATTACTTGTCCCATAGAGTGCGTAGTCCTTTTGCCGCTTTTGTCGCCGATGTCGCACAGTGCGACGAACCCAAAAGACGCTGTCTGCACAGGATCTTTCAAGTTGCGAAGAAAAATGGACAGGGAGGTACCCCTTGCCAGGCCGGAGTGGAAGAAAAAAATGGTAAGGGGGGACCAAGGTAATTTTCACGAAGCACTGCGAAAAGTTCTTACACGGTGACAAGTCTGTCGGGAAAATAATGAAAACCACGTCGCATCGAAAATCACATCGCCGCCGAGAAAATGAACTGGGTCGCGGCAAAATCCAATTGCTTTTCACCTCAGCGACGCGATCGGTGCAGCGACTTTGTGCTCATTATTTTTCCGACAGGTTGATAGCAAACTGTTGGCAAAATAATGTGGATTTGTTGCGCCATAAAGTAATCGCTTTGCTACGGCCAACTGAGGCCAGAAATGTGATACGCTACTGCGGCGAGGCAATACATTTTCCTGCAGCAACTCCACACTATTTTCCCGACAGACTAATAACCCGCAAATTACTCCGCTCAAATCCCGGTTAACTCCCAAACTTTAAAACAAAAATAATCAACGGGCTTTGTTTATTTTTAGAAAACCGCTTAATTTTATTTGTCCCCGCGGGTCGTCAGTTTATTAGATAACAAGATCGCAAAACAGTCTCTCAGCCCAAAAAAAGGTGTAATGTTTTCGGACGGGCGGTTGGTGTGAAGGAGTTCAGACATGGAATTTTATAAATCAAAAGAATGTTTGGGGAAAATACATCGGAATGGGGGTGTAATATGAAAGATTTGGAATTGACAAATAATGTGATAAAAGGGCGATAAAGGTGTGATTCAAATTATTAATAGAGTCGCGAAATAGAGCGCTGACAATTTTAAGAAAAAAAAGTTAAATTTGAAAAGTTTAGGACGCTTGGATTTTGATGAAATTTGTCAAATATTTGGAGAAATTTGGAGAAAAGTCGACATTGTTTTCCCGACAGACCTATAGTACCAACAAAAATGTTTTTTGGACATAGCGGAGGCTAAATTTATCAGCAATTGATATATGATCTAAAAGGAGAAGTATCCCAAGTGCGACGCTCAGATTTTAATGAAACTTGGAGCAAATTCAGATTAGTTTTTTCTCAATATATAAGCGAGATTTCTAGCACGCATTTTGTAGAAATCACCGAGATTTTTAGGTCAAAAGATGGTAAAAATGTGACACTTTTTGGAAAAGTTTGGCATGAAAAGTTTCACAGTTTTTTTTGTAGTAGAGGGTGATGTTTCCATAAAAAAATATTTTTTCCACTTGAAACTAGCAAAGATACGGACAGAAAAGTGTTTTTCTCTCTGGCCGCGCTCCAAGATTTGCCTACTCTCTCGGCCACAAAGATAGTTGGATATCTTGGCTCTCCCCTACAAGCGCGAGCTAAAACTTTCAGGCCTTGATATGTGGCTGATGTCCAAAAGGCTTGCAAATTTTAAAGAAAATCTCAGCGTCGCACTTAAAGTATCGGTCTGTCGGGAAAATAATGAGGACACTGTCACTGGTATCAAAAAGGCTCAGCTGCCAAGATACTCCGATACCAAAAAAAAGGCTCAAATGCCATGATTTCCTGTTGTATGGATCTGTCGGGAAAATAATGAGCGCAATGTTGGTCTGGCGGGAAAATAATGAGCGAAATGTCGCTGCGCCAGTAGCACCGCTGAATGAAAAAAAAATTGATTTTGCAGCAACACAATTCATTTTATCGGTAGTGATGTGCTTTTCTATGCGACAAGTGCTCATTATTTTCCCGACAGACTGAAGCCAACTTTCTCAAAATTGATAAAAAAAAAATTTCCCCATATTTTTTGATAACTAACCTTTTCAAAATCAATTTTTAAACCAGTTAGCCCCTCAAATCCCGCTCATAAAAGGGTTGAAACTGCGAAAATGATTTATCAGCGGATTCCAAAACAAAAAGGTAATAAAAAGGAGCCTCAAAGATGCGCTGCTTTGGAGGTGGTTTTTTCGAAAATCGTCCAAATTTTTTTTTGTTTTTTTTTCGCTTTTTCTTCGTATAAGTTTGCGGAACGAGCAATAGAGTTTGTAGTAATATGGGCAATGAAAAAGTTTTCAAAATTTCGAAAATTTCGCTGATAAAAAGGGAAAATAAAAAATAAAAATGATTGGAGATAAGATAAAAGACAGGAAAGTGCGAACCGCAGGGCTTAGAGAAAATTGGCTTATGGGGAAAGTTCTCCAAGTGCGACGCTCAGATTTTGGTTGAACTTGGCACAAATGTAGAATAATTTTTTTTCAAGACATATGCGAGACTTCTAGCTCGTTCTCGGCAGAAATAACTGAAGATATTTTTCGGCAGAGGAAAAGAAAAATTCGATACTTTTGATAAGGTGTATTATACAGTCGCATAATATAACTTGTAAATAAATATGCTGTTTTATAGAAAAGATGCAAGGAGGACCAAAAAAGCCATAAAAAATGATGGTTCTCTTAATTTTTTTCAAACTTTCGTCTACAAGGGTCCTTCAATATCAGTCAGGAAAATAATGTTGGGTTGTTCCAGAAAGTGCGTAGACTTTTCATAGCTATGCGAAGTACTTCATTTCGCACTGAGCACTTCACAGTACACGTCAAACTGAGATAAGCTAAAACAGTCCGGTGAATAGATTGGCAATTTGCCAAAAAACGACGCGAAAAAACGTTTTGTCGCGGAAGAAATGGGGAATTTTTGGGGCGAGAGAGTACGTTTTTGCGTGTCTTTTTTTCTCTCTTTCTCTGCGAAATAGACGAAATGTAAAAAACCGATAGCGAAGTGTCTATTCCGGTGACCGGACTCCTCAGTTTGACGTGCAGTACGAAAAACAGCAGAATGCGCGATGCATCAGTGACAAATATCAGTCTCCCACTGACAAATACTAGTCGCGACCTAAAGTCCTGACACATTTGCACAGTGCATTTTGTTTTTCTTTCGGACCCGTCGCGGCAATTCCCCGTTTTTGCACTCGACATGCACTTTCGCTCGAACTTGCCACTTTTCTCGCGCGACACCCGCGACAAAATGTGTCAGGACTTTATGTCGCGACTAGTATCGAGCTCATCCATCAGTCTGTCGGAAAAATAATGAGCACTCTGTCACTGCGCCAATCGCGTTGCTGAAGTAAAAAGCAATTTGATTTTCCCACGGCACAATTCATTTTCTCGGCGGCGATACGATTTCCGATGCTACAAAGTGCTCATTATTCCCCCCGACAGACTGATAGAAGAAAAAATACATTTTGCGAATGCGATAGAATGTGGAAAAAAGTCCACATACTTTATGTAAATAATACAATAGTAAGACAGAGTGTATTTTTCTTAGATTTTATCCAAATCAATGCCCCTAGCCCTTAGTAATTGTGGCTTGTAAATAAACCCCCAACCCCACCAAATTAAACTTTACAATCGAACTTTCCGAAAAACCCCTCGAAAAGCGTTCAAATCGACAAAAATAAATATCGCATCAGCGTTCACGGTGATTAAAGAGAATTGTCGAAAAAATTATCGCCGTTTTATTATTTCGGTTATTCTCCTTTACCCCCAATTAACGCTGCATTAGACAAAGGTGCGGGTTGCGGGTTGGGGTTGTAAAAAATCTCGTCGCGAGGGGAAAACAAAATTATGTGAAACATTACAACGGGAGGTGACAAGTGAAGAGTCATGAGTCAGCTAATTCGTTGGTAGATCATGTAACTTGCGAGAAATTTATAACAGAATGAATGGGTATTGAGAACGATCAAGAAATAAAAAGTTGACAACAGTTGAGATGCATTGCGTATAAGTAATATCAGTCTGTCGGGAAAATAACGTGGATTCGTTGCGCCTTGGAATCGCCCATCATCGCTCTGCGACAGCGACTGGAAATGTGGCGCACGACTGCGCCGAGGCGAGATATTTTTCTGTTACAAATCCAGATTATTTTCCCGACAGACTGGTAACTTTACTGCTTGCACAACCTCTCTATGACGACAATTTCAAATGTCTTTAAAGCCAGTACCAGGGAAACATGAGGGTCGTACAATTTATCAAAAATGACTCTGTCGAGGCTCAAATAGCAGTCTGTCGGGAAAATAATGAGCACTGTGTCGCATGGAAAATCGCATCGAGGCCGAGAAAATTACTTGTGCCGCGGCAATTTAAATTATTTTTCACCTCAGCGACGTGATCATTATTTTCCCGACAGACTGATACTTTTGGCTCGCAAGGAGCCAAACAATTTCGTTTTGAAAGGTTTCACCTTAGCGACGACGTGGTCGGCGCAGCAGAATTGTGCTCATTATTTTCCGGACAAGCTGCCAACTGCGGCACAGCAAACTCCCGCATTAACAAACCCTGTCTATAACGAAAACTTTAAAGGTCTCCAAGGCCACTTTCAGACAAAGATGAACTTCGTACCGCAAGACTCCTCTACAACGATAAATTTCTTATCCTTGCTGTCCGTTGCACATGGGGATTCAGAATTTCTCGAAACATGAAACAAGGTACTTACGCTTTTCTGATCGTGAGGCGATTATATTATAATTTTTGGTGAGGAAATAAGAAGTTTATATGAAAGTACCGTTTAACGCCTAGCCGGTTCTTCATTTTGCGTGTTGTCTCGAAAAGAAAAGGGATATAACTCAGGTCATAATCTAAATTCTTTGTCAAGTCTTGCCGAATTTTTAGACTCAAGTCTGACGGGAAAATAATGAGCACTCTTGTTGTATGTTTCACGCGCCAGTTGTTGTATGTAGAGTGGTGGTGGTGAAGGTATAAAGTCAGCCAGATGTATTTAGAAGGATAATAAGGATAGATTTGAATGAAACGGAATGCCAATAGCGTAGTCGTAGGTTTCGTCTTGGGACTCAACAACTCTGTCGCATCGAAAGTCGCATCGCCGCCGAGAAAATGAATTAAGTCGCGGCAAAAACAAACTGTTTTTTTTTCAATGCAGCGACGAGATCGGCGCAGCGACATGTGCTCACCATTTTCCTGGCAGACTGATCAGTTGAAGATCCTGCACATAAAATATGTTTGCTATGGGAGGGCTTCGTTGCATGCAGGTTGATTTGGGTTTAAAATGACTTGGAAGCCCAAAACTTCAGGTATGAACTCACTAATTGCCAGAGCGTAGTTTAACTTCACCGTAGTTTACCTTGCATTATTTTCATCCTGCAGTTTGATAACCAAAGATAAAATTTTGAAATTTTTTCCATGTATTCATGATTCCTCGATTTTTAAAATGCACTTTAACAACAAAACTCGACACTTTTCCTTCCAGAATCAGACGCCCTGCCCGAAAAGGTTAACGAACACCGTTGACGACTTGAATTTTCAATGAATTTCCGTTTGAGCTGAGATATCGTTTCAACGACGTCGACGATTAAAAATAAAAACACGAGGGGAGAAAGGCGCGCGACTCGAATATTCGGTAACTTCATTTTTATTTTTTCGATCGCTAAACTCGATGTCGGTAGATGGAATTTTGTATACGTTGGGGGAAATCGTTAATCTCTGCTGTTCCCGAATAATGAGAGATAGGAATTTTGCGTGCGTTAGATAAGTATGCATTGGTAGTTTGTCGGGAAAATAATGAGTCCTCTATCGCATCGAAAGTCGCAACGCCACCGAGAAAATGAATTGTGTCGCGGCAAAATCGAATTGCTTTTGGCTTTAGCGACGCAATCGGCGCAGCCGCATTGTCCTTATTGTTTTCCCAACAGGCTAATTCTTGTAGTTCGACGCTCAGATTTTCTTTAAATTTTGATTACATTTTGGACATAGGCTACATATCAAATTCCTCATTTAAAATAATGTGGATTTGTAGCGCCGTAGAGTCGCTCTATATCACTTTTATATGGCTATCAGCTTTAGATGTGCTACTGCGGTGAGGCGAGATATCTTGCTTCAAAAACCCACATTTTTTTCCCGACAGACTGATAAATTTGTCGCATCGAAAATAGCGTCGCCGACGAGAAAATGAAGTCGATGGGCGCAGCGATATTGTGTTCATTATTTTTCCGACAGACAAAGGAATTTACATATTCTTCAACCGTCTCGTATTTTAACATTTAGATTCGCGTAATTTTTCGCAATTAACCGTCAATAAAAATACATATCACATCACCTTTTCAGAGGATGGCCAAACATTCCAATCTACCTCGATTCCTCCGCAACTTCGCCTCGGAGGACAAGGAGAATGATATTCGATCTCGGAATTTCGCCAAAAAATTGGATGCCGCTGACGATTTGGCCTACTTACGAAACAATTTTTATGTGCCGAAAATGGGAACTCTGCCGAATGCAGACCCCAAATTGGTGAATCCCAATGAAGACTCGATTTATTTGTGTGGAAATTCGTTGGGATTGCTGCCCAAAGCGACAAAGGGATATATCGATAGGCAATTGGAGAAGTGGGCGCAAATGTAAGCCTAATACTAGTCGTTTCAGAAAGTGCGTAGACTTTTAGAGTGCAATCCGATTTTTGTTTGAATTTTGCACACATTTCGGGTTTAGGCCACTTTTCAATTTTTGAAAATTTTAGCTTATACTTTGCAGGGAGCGGCCGAGATGTTCAACAATCTTTTACGGCCGAGAGAGTACGCAAAATGCGGAGAAACGTCAGAGAAAAACTTTTTTGACCATATCGTTGTCAGTTTCAAAAGAATTGATTTTTTCTGGAAACATTACACTCTACAGTCGAAATACGTGCATATATGTGTACTTCTTTTCATGCCAAAATTCACAAAAAGTGTTCACATTTTCAAAAAACTTTTGACCTAAAAATCTCGGTCGTTCCTGCAAAGCGCAAGCTAGGAATCTCGCACATGCCTTTGAAAAAAAATTATTATAAATTTGCCCCAATTTCATCAAGATCTGAGCGTCGCACTTGCAGCACTTCCCTTGCAATTCTATATTATTTTTAAGGGGCGTGTTCGGCCATCATTCAGGCGAGCTACCCTGGATAGACTGCGATGAATACCTTCACAAGGGCCTCCAGAAAATTGTTGGCGCCGAGGAAGACGAAATCGCCGCTATGAATGCGCTAACAGTCAATTTGCATCTTCTACTGACCGCTTTTTACACTCCAACCCAAAAACGATTCAAGATCTTGCTGGAATCGCAAGCATTCCCCTCGGATCATTATGCAATTGAAAGCCAGATAAGGCTAAAAGGATTTGATCCAAAAACAGCAATGGTCTGCTTGAAACCTAGAGAGGCAAGTTTTAAAAAAGCTTTCTAAAAGAGTCAGTGCCAGTCTGTCGGGAAAATAATGAGCAAAAGTCGTTGCGCCGATCCTATCGCTGAAGTGAAAAGCAATTTGATTTTGCCGCGAAACTATTAATTTTCTCGGCGGCGATGCGATTTTCGATGCGACAGAATGCTCATTATTTTCCCGACAGACTGATAGTAAATAGTACATTTGTGCAATCTTCAAACCATTTTCAGGGAGAGCAGACCCTCCGAACCGAAGACATCCTCTCGTATCTCGACCAAGACGGTGATTCCATCTCCCTGGTCATGTTCAGCGGTGTGCAATATTACACGGGACAGCTGTTTGAAATCGAAAAAATCACAAGTTTCGCCCAATCCAAAGGCTGCGTGGTTGGATGGGACCTGGCCCATGCGTTCGCCAATGTCCCGTTGGAACTGCACAAATGGAATGTGGATTTTGCTTGCTGGTGCAGCTACAAATATGGCTGCGCGTCGGCGGGCGGGCTGGCCGGGATTTTCGTTCATAATCGCCATAAAAGCGATAAAAGAGAGCGAATGCTGGGATGGTGGTCTCATGACTCAAAAACACGATTCCGAATGACCAATCAGCTGGAGCTGGCGGACGGAGCGGCTGGATATCGGATCAGCAACCCGCCAATTATGCTGGTCTGCGCGGTCATGGGATTCTTGAAGGTGAGAGGAGTGTATAGTAGAGTTTTTTTGGGGGTTCATAAAAAGAACAAAATTTAGAGAGCTAATATCAGTCTGTCGAGAAAATAGTGGGCACTCTGTCGCATCAAAAATCGCATCACCGCCGAAAAAATGAATTGTGTCGCGGCAAAATCCACTTAATTTTCACTTCAGCAACAGAGTGCTCATTATTTTCCCGACAGAGTGAGTAGAGGAGTTTTTGGAGCGCCCGAAAAGAACAAAATTTACAAAAGAAGTACCCAAGTGCGACGCTCAGATTTTCTTTGAATTTTGCACACATTTCGGGCATGGGCCACATGGCAATTTCTGAATATTTTAGCTCGCCCTTTGCAAGGAGATCCGAGATTTTCAACGATTTTTGCGGCCGAGAGAGTATGCCAAATGCGGAGTAAAGTCAGAGAAAAACTCTGTTTGCCCTATCTTTGCCAGTTTTGTGCGGAAAAAATTGATTATTTGTGGAAAAATTGCCCTCTACAATATAAATAGGCAGAAAACTTTTATTCGACGATCTTTGCGACAGAGAGAGTTGGGGTCACCGCATACTCGGTCTCTCCCGCTCTTCGCGTTTCACGTGCTCTCTCGTTTGCAATGATCGTTGAGTTTCTTGGCTACTCCTGCAAGAAAGGTGCTAAGATTTTTCCGTAGCTGATATGTGACCTTAAAACGTTACGTGGGCAGAAATTGAGGTAAATCGACTGGTCGATTTTTGAAAAATTACACTAATTTTTGACCAAAACCCCATTAAAATTCAAGTTTTGGCTACAAAACAACCGTTAATTTGATTACAACATGATCATATAGCATATAACTCGACCATTTCCAGGCAATCGAATCCACAGACATGCGGCAACTCCGTGAAAAATCCCTCAAACTTACCGGATATCTTGAGTACCTCATCGACGAACATTTCTCATCAGCCGACGTAACCAACGCTGCCCGCAAAATCCAGATATCGCTGATAACGCCCAGAGACCCAGAGCAGCGGGGATGCCAACTGTCGCTGCAATTTAACTGCGATATCGCGCTGATTTTCGAAGAACTCGTGAAACGAGGCTGCGCCGTGGACAAAAGATACCCGAACGTCATCAGGGTGGCGCCAGTTCACATGTACAACTCGTTCGAGGACTGCTGGAGATTCGTTGAGGCGCTGAAGGAGTCGATACAGGCGCTAAGTGAAAAGAGGTTGCTGAATGTAAAATAAAATGTATTTTTTGAGGAATCAATATATCTTTGATTGTAATTAAATTGGAGTAAAATACGTTGTCTCATTCTCGTTTTATTAGCTAAACTTTTGAAAATGAGCCAAAAATTACGAATTTCAGAATTCCCACCAAAATTCTAAATATCTTGGCATTGTGTTTCAAGTCCCGAAGGAGTTTAAAAAAAATAAATAAAAACATAATTTAAGGTTTTATTTATTCTTACAGAACTGAAAAAACCCCAGAAATTTTTAATTTTTTAAACTTCCCGCCAAAACTTTAAAAATCTTGGCATTGTGTTTTGAGCTCCAAAAGAGTTTCAAAATGAATAAAAATAAAATTTGAAGTTTCATTTGTCCCCACAAAACTGAAAAAAACCATAAAGTTCGAATTTTTTCATTTCCCAACAAGCTTTTTGAAATCTTGGCATTGTGTTTCAAGCCTCAGAAAAGTGTAATAAATCAAACAATAGGAAAATCTCAAGTTCCAGGAATATGCGCAGAGCATAAACCAAGCAAAAAATTTCAATTTTTCAATTCCCGCAGAATTTTTTCTATCTTGGCATTCTGTTTCAAGCACGAAAAGACTTTTGAAATTATCAAAAAACCCTATATGTCTTCTTTCAAAAACACCTTCTCAAACTTTGCAATAAATCCAAAATGCATTTCCCACACAAATTTTCTCGAAAAATTCCCCACGTTTTTCATTCTCATCAATTTCATTTTGATGAAACGTGCCGCTCCCACGTGGTGTCCTTTATTTTGTTGGTGAAAAAACGTGCCAAAATTGGGATTCTGCCGTAGCCGTTCTTCAAGAATTTTACTGAATTGTTGAGGTAAGTTCTGAACAAATTTTTCTCTGAATTTTTTGATACTTTTTGATACTTTTCGATTTTTTCAAAATTTCAAAAAACATTTTTTTTTGTTTTTTAGCTGCCATGTTCAACCGAAACCACCGCTGTCCCCCATGGAACAAGCCGGAGAAGCCGTCGGGCAGCTGCACTCCATATTCGAAGCATTTTCCGCCGTTGGATGGGAACAAGTCGGAGGTCCCGGCGAATCCAGGCTGGATTCGCCGAAATTCGGAAGGCCAAGCCTACAGTGATACGTTGGAAAAGGAGTTCCAAGAATTGTCAGTGAAGGAGAAATCTGAAACTTCCCGAAAACAGGTGAGTTGAATTGGATTTTAGCGATTTTTTGAGCTATCTTGGGCAAAAAATAAAATAATTTTTTAAAAAAATCGACTGGTCGATTTTACCGGAAATTTTATGGACAAAGTTTTCAACGGCCCAATATGGATCCCTGCAAATTTTAGCTCAGTATTTGCAGAAACGGCTGAGATATTCAGCAATTTTTGTAGGCGAGAGAGTACGTAAAAAGCGGAAACGGCCAGAGAAAATTTTGTTTTTTTTTACGATTTTTTGACAAATTTGTTAAGAAAAAATTAATTTTTTGGTGTTGTTATTATGCCTTACATTTCAAAAAGACGCAGTGCCAAGTTTTATTCAAATCTGTAATAAAAAAAATTTTTTTAATTTCAAAATTTCAAAAATTAAAATTTTTTTTTTATTTTTTTAGCCCGATTCCATCCCCAATAACGAGCTCCAGCAAAAATGGCAAGATCTTGTCTCGCTTATCGCCGAGCGTTTGCCTCAGGGCAATGCCAAAGTCGTCCTGACTCGATTCGCCTTCCATGATAATGTCCCGCGAAAAAAGAAACAGTTTATCAACTTTCTTCGCTCCTCCTGCCATCTGCACGACAATGAGATTGGAGAGAGCGTCTGGCACACACTCCAAGAAGAGCTGGAGAAGTTGAAGGATGAAGGTATGAGTTTTATGTTTTTTTGGATCTTGTACTAGAAAAGGACGTGAAATTGTTCGAAATTTTGTGAAGAAAAGTTTCAATTTGGTCAATTTTTGTTTGAAAATGTCTTCCAGATGAATTTCTCGACGCCAGAATCGATTTTGCAGAGCTAATTTTCGATTTTTCTTGTTTTTTGGCACTTGCAGCACAATGCCAAGGTTTTCGAAAAATCACGGAAACAAGAAAATTTGAAAATTTTTGGCGTTGTTGAAGTTTACGGACTTTCCTTGTTATTCAAAAAAAAATTTTTTGTTGTTTTTGACCTCTTTTTGGAACCTATAACAGAATGCCAAGCCTTTCGAAAAATGGCGGGAAATTTGAAATCAATATTTTTTGGTTTTTTTGTCTCCGTAGAAAAGGCGAGGACTTACATTTCTTGCTTTTTTTCCTCTTGGCAACACTTTCTTAACCTTTGAAACACAATGCCAAAGGTTTTTTATACGGCGGAAATTAAAAAAATCAAAAAAAATTTTTTGTTGATTTTTCCTTCACAGGCCTCCTTCATCCTCTGCAGAGCTTACTTTGAATGTTGAGCCCATTTACTGTTGCTTTTCACCAATTGTTTTTAGGTACCGAAGTCCCTTCCGAGCTGTTCAACCGCAAAAAGAAGTGCTTCTATCGACGTGGAAGACGCAACCGTCGGAGCGCCAATGAAGAGCCTCAGGCTTCAAACGAAGCGCCGGAAACTCCGCCAGCGTCGACTTCGCCGTTGCCTCGTTTGGCGGTTGCGGGACCACGATCCAAACGACAACCCAAGGCCCAGAAGTTCGAAGAAATCGAGGAGAAGTTGAAGGAAAAGGAGAAGGAAAAGAAGGAGGAGAATTCCACTAAATCCGAAGGTAAGGATTTTGGGATTTAGCGTATAGAATTGTTATGGATCGCAAATTATTTACCAAAAAAAGTTGGCATTTGCTTTACAAAATCGGCTGAGATATTCAACGGGTTTTTTCAAGTCAGAGATTAGTGATCGGAAACGGGTTTTTTGGCCACATCTTTTTGTGGGTTGTCTACAATAGCTTCAAATTTGGTGCGGTTGGGACACATGGGCCAAAAATCATTTGCTTGAAGCCTTAGCTCATGCTTTGCAACGAGAGCCAAGATTTCCAACGACCTTTGCAATTAGTGGTCGGAAAAAGCATTTTTTTGCCATTTCTGTTTGTGGTTTCCTCACAATGGCTTCAAGTTTGGCACATATGGCCCCTATAAGCTAAGGTTCATTTGCATGAAGTTTTAGCTCATGCTTTGCAAGAACAGCCAAGATTTTCAACGATATTTACAAACTAGAGATTGATGAGATAAGGAGGGATAGACATCGAAAACTTTTGACTCATAAAAACTGTTATTTTCAGCGCCAAAGTGTGAGAAGAAGAGTTATGGTCAGATGTCGCCATTTGGTGACGAAGCGGCCAAAGATGCGGCGGAGCCGGGTTTCAAATGGAGAAGGACGATTGCCGAGGAAATGGCGAGAAATAAGGGAATTTGTGGCTACCATAACTTGAAAAATACGGTAAGCTGACATCTAAATTTCAATATCAATTATCTTGCCCCGATTCCCTGATGTTGTGGAGATTTTTAGGGCTTGAAACAGAATGCCAAGATTTTTTTATAGAAGGCGGGAATCTAAAAATTAAAAAAAAAATTGTTTTGGTTGGCTCTAACTAATACTAAGGGTCCCAATTACCGATAAAATTACATTTTTTTTTGTTTTTCGATACGTTTTTAAGGCTTGAAACACAATGCCAATATTTCTGAAAAATAGCGGGAAACTTGAAATTACATTTTTTTTTGGTCTTTTTTGCTGTTAAAACGTCCCTTAGGCTTCACTATTTGTTATCTTCTGATGTCAGGCATTTTTTCGGACTTGCAACACAATGCCAAAGATTTTCATTTTTGCCAAAGACTGGCAAAAGCTATTGGAAAAAACTTTTTTTTATAACGAAAAGTGTTGTTATGCTCTTTCTCAGGTGATCAACTGCTACCGCTCCACCGTCCTCGACTACACCACCTCCGAAGAGCGCTTGAGCCGGATCTTCAAGAAGAAGTTCGAACTCTTTGGATTAACAGTGGAGAATCGGATGGTTGTCATTCAAAAGGCCTTTGTTTGAAGATTCCATTATGTCGGATACACCTATTATATCATTATTTAGCCTGAATAAAGTAAAAACCGAGATTATTTTCAGAAATGTTTATTAATTTATATTACACTTGATATCAGATGAAAAAAATTGAAAATTCTGTACAATTTTGATGACTACTGAGAGAAAAAGTGAATAGAATTTAATTTCTAGTGTGTAAGGATATATAACTAACCAAAAAAGACTTTGTACATTAGTGTAAGAGTGTAGATTTTAGACCTTGTTTTAGGTGAAAGTGATGGTATTTGAAGACAAATTTTGGATATTCAGACCAATATAGACGGGGTTCGAAGCTTGTTTCGCGTTGAAGATGGCATTCTTCAGCTGTACAAAGAGTTTGAGATGTGTTAGACATTGATTTTTGTATAATTTTGATGACGTATTTTCTGGAAAACTTGTCATTGTGACAGATTTTAGGTGTCATTCTGACCCATTTTTTGACCGAGAATAATCTGTGTAGAGAGTGTAAAATAAAATAGAGAGATTTGACTGTTGGGATGACGGGTTTTTTGGAAAACATGTCATGATGACATATTTTTTGGAAATATCCGTTAGGATGACGGATTTTTAAGAGAAATAAAAATTCAGAGAGCTTGGGGATAATTCTGAGACAACATTTGTATGTAAGAATGACGGATTTTTAGAGCAAAATGTGTCACGATGACGGCTTAAATCTGTCATCGCGACGTGTTTTTGATGACAATGAAGTTACCAAAATGGTGAGTTGAGAGTGTCTGTAGCGGAATGGAATTACAATTTTGGCCGTTCATCGAGTTGCAAGTAGAATTGTTGAGAGAAATTGAGAATTGGGGTCCCATCTTCGGCCGCGACGCGGCCCAAAACCAAACCAGTGCTGGAAGCGGCTTCATAGTCGAGTTCGAGAATGAACCATCCGTTAGGCTGAAAAAATCATCATTATTACAAGTAAATACAAAAAAATTTTGAGACATTTTGAGGTTTTTCACATAAAAAAATCCTTTTCGCCCTACTGTAACTCCGAAAATAGCTGAACGAAAAGTTTCTATTCCCCCAATAACAATGTTTAAGACACTCCGGTTGATCTCAGCGCGTGGTGAGACCGAAAATCAGCCAGTCGCAGCGTCTCGTTGACAGAGCGCCGTGAAAACCCATAAATTTTGAGTTGGAAACCCCATTTTGGGAGAGTCGTAATTGATTGCTGGATCAGAGAAGTGCTCCAAATTACTTCAGAGAGCGAATAATGGCAAAATTCGGGGTTTTCAAGTTTTCGTGTTGGGACCCAAAATTTGAGATTTTTTCGGAATTACAGTAATTTTTGTGGGTAAATTGGAAAATTAGTGTAGAAAATAGTCTAAGAAATAAATTTCTGACAAATTTAGATGTTGCCTGAGGCAAAATTTGAACAAAATTGCGAAGAAAATGGAATTTTTTTGGAGGAAGATTGAGTCTCACAGCGAAAACCGGAAAATTTGAAAATTTTATAAACAGCATGTATTTTGGCGTATTTTACATTCTATTCTAATTACATAGTAACAGAACTAATTTTTTCTATATATTTAACATTTTTTTCGCCATTTTTTATATTGCACTTGTCCTCCAACTTACATCGCACTTTTCCGTGTGAATCATCACCTTATGATTCAGCGAAGCCACCGAATCGATCGGAATTAGCAGCTTCTCGGTCAGCACCGTGACCGGCAAGCACGCAAAGTAGTCGCTGATGAGGAGCGGCACCACCATTGGATCGTTAATTGGGACGTCGCGGAGCTCCTTTCGAAGTCTCATATAGTTTTTAATCGGGCCTCGAGCACTCTTCAAGTGAGTGGGATTGATGAAACGCACTTCGAAGAGATCACGGCTTTGTCGGCTGAACATAAAGTCGTAGCCGGGACCGGTGGTTTGGAGATTTTCATCGATCACTTCGGACCTTAGGGCATCTTCCATTAGAGGGCAGGAATTTGGTGCGGGAAGGTCGAGAAACTCCTTGATTGGAGGGTTTTGAGGAGCGGGTCGACGTGGTCTTGTGGATGGAATAGATTTAAACTGAAAAATTAGGGGTTAAACTTGAATAAAATAGATTTTTTGTATCAATTTTCTTCAAAAAACAGCCAAAATCGGTCAAAAAAACTTGAAAAATCACTATTTTTCTAACAAAAAATGGCAAAATTTAGGGGAAAAAACCCCATGCTCACCTTGACAATGCTCTTGTCGACCAATCTATTTTGTTGTGTAGCCTCGAACCAGATCAGATCACCCCTTTCGTTGACTTTTTCATAATTGATTGGGGTCTCGGTCGAAGCGGCGGCCAAAAAATTGACGTCAATCCGATGAATGGCCGCATCGTCGCGGAGTTGTTTGGCCGCCAAGTAGAATTGGGCTAGAATATGGCCTCCAAAGACTCGTTCTTCATCGAAACCACCAGCAAAGTGAGGAGCAAGAGCGCTGAAAAAATGATGATTATTGTGGGAAAAATGGGATTTTTTGGTGAAAATTTGGATATAAGATTGCTATACAATATTGTAAATGCTTTAGAATGATATTTACTATCTCTCCGTATTTCATTTTCGACGAAAATACGATTTTTTGATCAAAAATTATCTTATTTTAGGTCAGCTATACCTGCTGTCTAAAATAGGTGCCAAAATGTCTGATAACCAACCCAAATCAATTAAAGGCTATTTGAATATAAGAAACAATGCAATAAGCTTTCAAACTAACGCAAAATCTCACCGATAGCCGTTGTGGATCAGCTCCAATTGCCCAATATTCTCCATGACCATCTGGAGGTGTTGGACTTTTCGTCGGCGTTGTTGAAGGTCAACAGGGCCTTGCATTCTTTTTAAAGTAGTTGTATGTGGAATGTGACAAGTGTGAGGAATGTGCGACTAACTGTAAATTGCAATTTAGTACGAGTTATTTGCCTTTAAAAACGAAAAATTTGAAATTCGCGGGAAAATTGGACGAAAAAATTGATTTTTGATCGAATATACAAAAAAGAGCCGGTTTAATGGTAAAATACGGACTTCGAATCTATCAGTCTGTTCAGTTAAACATCTTATAGTATTAACAGCACATAATCACGTCGGCTAAGCGCCCCTTTTCAACCTTCCCTTCCCAGTTTTCACCCCAAAAATGACTGTGTTTTCCAGCCGCCTTCCACTGATAATCTGTTACGAAACCCCAGCGACGAAACGTCAACGGAACACCCCCTTGAGCGTTTCCGAAATCAGGGGGTACACTTGCAAGGGGGTGTTCCGTCGGGGAATACTGGAAAATCGAGTGTAATATTGGGGAAATAATGGGTGCAAGGAGAAGAAGATTGGAGAATAATGGGTCTAGAAAGTGGAGTAAGTAAAAATAGGTGATGGGAGAAGGTACTGTAGGAAGTTTGATGATGATTTTTTATGGGGAAAATTTGAAAAAAAGGCCTGGAAGTAGGGAAAAATTTGAATTTTTGAAAAAAAAACACAATTTTTCGTACAAAATGTCGCTTTAAAAAAATAAAAAAAAAATAAAATAGGCGATTGGAGAAGATACTATAGGAACATTTGGTGATAATTTTTTAAAGAAAAAAATGGAAAAAAACAGAGGAATCGGGAAAATTTTGCATTTTTGAAAAACATGATTTTTCGTATAAAATGTCGCCTAAAAAAACTAAGAAAATAAAAATCCAAGATACTAAAACCTTTCCAGCCATATTTGTTCCACAAAAACAAGCCTTCTTGGCTAATTCTGGACTGTTCTCTGCCTCGAAATAGCCCTCTCCCACCTGCTTTCCCAGACTTGTATACCATGTTTTTCCCATAAGAGTCCAACGAGTCTTTGCTATTTTTAGCCCACCCACCCGCCGGTAATTCAATGAAGAACATGGTCGTATTGACTCGGCTAAAGTGCACTGCACTTTACGGGATTTTTCCACGGGCCGTTATCTTACTTATCTTATTTCTCGTGGTCGCAAAGATCGTTGAATATCTCGACAGTGTGCGTAAAAGGGAAGTTGAAATTTTTGGAGGCTAATTTGCAGTGTATGTGCAATAAGTGTGCAAAATATTAAATCGATCTGACAGTTGAGCATTGAGAATTTTCATGATGAACTTTCAAGGCTTGATGAGTATTTTTCGACCAAAAAATCGGTTGTAATAGAAAAGACTTGCTATATGAGGACTCCAAAAACTATAGCCAACTCCATTCTACTCTAATTTGCCCTCTACCCGCATAAAAAACGGGCACTGTGGACCCGGTAATCAAAAAAAATTGCTCCAAAAAATCTCGCCGTTGATCAAATGACGTTCGTTTTTTGATTTCTGATTACTTTTTGACCAACATTTTTTATTCATTCAATATTTGTTCTCAAGGGTTATCACAGTCGGTCATATGGGAAAACAGCCCGATTAAACGGGGTATTAGACAGTAATGCGGAGTTTTGGTCGTTGTTATCAACAACAAAGATAAATTTCCGATTCAAATTTTGAACCTGTCGGACTTCACTCGAAACCAGCCGAAACTAGTTTGAGTTACGAGGGGAAATGACGTCATAATTAGATTATAAGTTGAGGAGATTAAAATCTGAGGGGTCCCGAGGAAATGAACTCGGTTTGGAAGCCAGTTTGAGCCTAGTTTTTGATTTTTTTAGTCTTCAAAATTTGGAAAATACAAAATTTTTTTGACATAACTGGGGATTACGGTAATTTGAGTACTTCTTTTGACTAAAATCGTTCATTTTTTTGACCCAAGGACTCTAAAAATACCCAAACTAATATTTGAAAACAATTGCCCGATCAAGAACGGGCGCAACTTTACACAAACCGCTACACAAGCAACAGTAAACCCCCGAGAAGCTTCGAAAAAGTTCTGAAGCCAAAAACTAAGACCCTCTTTTCGCTGCTGCCCCTTAGAACCCCACCTCTAAGCAGGAACCCCCACCTCAAAGCCGCAGGAACCCCGTTATTTGGCTGCCCTTAAGGGCAGCCACATAGTCTTATCAAGCGCCCCATTGCCTTCTGACCGGAGGCCGATCGTTCGCTTTATAAGGGAACGGAAAGAGGGGTCCACCCCGGCCGTTTCAACGACGTGCCCGGGCTTCCCCCACCCTGGAATCCACGCCCCATCTAGTCTCGTCATGGGTGTAATCTTACATGCAAAGCGAAAAATTCGATTGGCAAGTGGGCTGAGAATGATTTGGAATTCCGAGTTTTTTCGGGAGAAATCGGAAGGGCAAAAGGGTAAAAATAAAAGCTGTAGGTGGGAAATCGGATGATGTAGGAGCACAAGACTGATTAGGAACTGTAGCAGGGCTTACTAATAGTGGATTGAATTTTTGAGAATTTGGTACAGTTTTTAGGAAAAAATTAAGACTTGTAAGAATGAGGGACTAGGGCAGTTAAAAACAGGTCAAAAAAGAGATTAAGATGGCCGTAGATTTGATATCAAAAGGTATCATAGAGGCATAAAGACCACAATGGTTTCAATAGGACAAAAGTTTTCCCATTTTCATACCTGCTGAGGTGAACAAAACGTCTCAAGCTCCTTATGCTCAGCAGCAGAGCTTATTAGGATTGGAGTAAATTTTGGAGTAATTCGAAAAGTTTTTAGACAAAAAATGAAGACTTTTAGGAATGAGAGACTGGGCCAGTTCAATAAAAGATCCAAAACGAGGTGAAGATGACCGTAAATTTGGTATCAAAAAGTATCAGAGAGGCGTAAAGATAGACTCCGATAGCTTCAAGATGATAAAAGTTTGTCGGTTTTCTGGCCTGCCGAGGTGCGAAAAAGCTCTCAGAAAGTATCCCAAAAAACATTTCTTCCAATCCGTTTGTCGGGAAAATAATGAACACGATCTCGCTGCATCATTCGCGTCGCTGAAGTGAAAAGCAATTTGGTTTTGCCGCGGCACAATTCATTTTCTCGGTGGCGATGCGATTTTCGATGCAATAGAGCGCTCATTATTTTCCCGACAGACTGATACAACAGGGAATCATAGAGATGAGCCTTTTTGATAACATATTCAGCCTTGATACTTTTTCCACACCATATTCGACAACAACATCGTGGAAACGATTAGTTACCTGAACCCAAAAAGATATTGCAAAACAATGTGTTTTGCTCCCTGAAATTTCTCGATTCGTGTTCTTCACGGAAACCCCCATTAATGCAGAAGTAATCAGTGACTAATACAATTTTGGAAATGGTCTTTTTATTCTTATCAACGTTCTTTACAATTAATTTTAGTTGATCTCTTGTCTGCTGAGGCGCTGATTTTTGCAGATTCGGCAGTTTAGAGGCTTATCATTTTTGGCGATTTGTCAAGGAAATACAACGAAAAATTACATTAACAAAGGAAGTCTTTTCCAAACGAAGCGTTCAGATTTTCTTTGAATTTTTTTCATTTCGCACACGTAGATCTGCGGCCCAGAAAGCAAGCGGCATACGGGGATCGGGCATACATCACTTTTTGTCCATATCGTTGCAATTAGAGCGGAAGAAAATAATTTTAGACGGTAGAAAAAGCGCCAAATTTTATGCCACGCGAAACGGGGATAGACTTGGCTCTCGGGCCGGCCCGGGCCGAAAATCGCGGCCCGGCCCGCGGGCCGGAAGAGGTCGGCCCGGCCCGGCCCGTTTCAATTTTTCTTCGGGCCGGCAAAATTGAGAAGAAGTAAAAAAACCTTAATTCGCTATTAGATATGACATCTTTTTCTTTACTATAACAACTAACAGTACATTTTTAAAGCAAAAAATTACTTACCAACGCATTGCCTTTTTAAAATTAATCAAAAAATTCCCGAGATCCGTTTTTAGTTTTTAGACTATTAAAAATTGCCCCAAGACCAATTTTACAGATTCAGCAAGGGTGGAACCACATTTAACAAGGTTTTCAACTTCAAGATAATAGTGTTGCTTCACACGACTTCTTAATTGTGTTTTTAAGGATGTCGGTTACGTTTATTTTGAGTTTTTGTTCAAGAAATTACTACAAACACTAGTATACATTAGTACTTAATAGATTTTACAAGTAAAATTACTTATTATTAGCCATTTTTTCAGTACTTCCGTGCTTTATTTTTATAAAATTACGCTTACTGTGAGAAAAATATAAACCCCCTTCTTGGCTTTGCGTTTTAATTTTATTGGCAACCCAACTTTTCGCTTTGAAATTCAGAATTTTAATTTTGCCGGGCCGGCCCGGGCCGGCCCAGCCCGGCAGCCAAGTCTAAACGGGGAGAGCAGTAAACAGAAAAACACTTTTTTTTATATTCTTGCCACTTTCGAAAAAAGCGATTTTTTGTTGAAAAATCATTCTCTAACCTCGGCTGTTTCGCAAGGGCTGGAAGTCTAGCATTCATCTTCAAAGAATTTATTATTAATTTGCGCCAAGTTTCATGAAAATGTGACCTTTGCGTTTGGAGCGCTGCCCCCGCAAATGAAAGTCTAAAAAAAGATTGAGAGGTCGAGACGGTGGTTTTTTTACAGCTGAATCTAATATGGTTTACCCTGCATCACAACAGCAGTCTGCTTGGTTAATTGTCATTCTGTCGGGAAAATAATGAGAACAATTTCGCAGCGCCGATGGCGTCGCAGAAGTGAAAAGCAACTTGATTTTGCCGTAACACGATTCATTTTCTCTGCGGCAATGCGATTTTCAATGCGAAAAAGCTTATTATTTTCCCGACAGACTGATACAATCACAAGATTTAGAGCCTACTGCTGCTCAAAAATTTTCCATTTTCGTTTCTTTCGCCGTTCAGACGTTTCTCCCAACAACACGTGCAATCTCCCATATTACATATGTGTCAATTACTCGGAGTGTTCGCAGCGTGACGTCGGCGAATCGGGAAAGACCGCCGTCCCCACCGTATTTAGCGAGTGATCCATAACGTCGGACGGCGCAATGATTTATGAAGCCGGAGGGCGGATGGACATATAGTGTGTGCGGTTTTACGATACGATTATGTTTTGTGAACTTGTGGTGACCGAAAATCAGACCGTATTATTGTCGAGGCGACGGTGAGCTGTTTATGTCGACGCGGAAGAAGAGACCAGAAAAGCGCCGAATTCGGTCTCAAAGGTATTACAGAGACTTCAAAGAGAACTATGGACTTTCACAGTCGGTAAATTTCATTTTTGTCGAAGAAAAATGAATAAAAAATACGCTAACCTCTTTTCCTTTCAAAAAAAAAGAAGATTCGTTTTCCTCAGTGATACCTTTTGATACCAAACTTGGATCTCATTGGCATGGTATCAAAAGGTATCACATAGGCTTCAAGAAGAGGTACAGTGGGGGACCTGATCCAGTGGAAAAAAAACGTACCATTTTGCATCCGGGAAGTCACAAAAATGTGGCAAAATGCTTCCCTCTCCAAGTGAAAAAACTTCGTTTTGAAGGGCACGCCTTTTTTCCTCACAAAAAAAGCGGGCGCGCTTTTGAAATCTGAGTTTTTTCACTTTGAGAGGGAGGTATTTTGCCACATTCTTTTGTTGCATTCTTCCAAAACTGTATTTTTATTGAAGAAAACCCCTTAAAAAGGCCGCTGGCCCCTTTCTTCACGAAAAAAAGAAAATCCATTTTTCTCATGATACCTTTTGATACCAAAATGTGACCTCATTGATAACTTTTGATAACTTTTACCACCTTTGTTTCATCCCCCTGCAAAAATTTTCATCAAGTCTAAAACAACGAACAGACCGAATTAAGTGTTCCCTGGAACTCTTTAATATGTCTTGCTATACAATAACAACTCTACAGTAGAACGTAAAAAGCGATAAAACCATGCAGTTGACTTTTGTTCGGTTCCCCTTGGAGGGGTCAATAGGTGATGCAACTCTCCGTTCCATGATGAAATGACCGCAGAAATGATGGGATAACCGTACTTTGCTCCTTTCCGAATCTTTTTTTATATACTGTAGCTGCATTTCGCTGAGTTGAACAGTTGCTCTCAGGCTGTCGTGGCAAATAACCTTCCAAATACACAATTTTTTGCATCAGTCCTGCTAACAAAGCAGTGTTTCATAACAATGGAAGTACGCCAAATGCAACGGTCAGATCTTCTTTAAATTTTACACATACGTCGTATATAGGCCATGCATCATTTTATACATATAGTGTAAATTTTAGCTCGCGCTTTGCAGGCGCAGATGAGATACTCAAGCATTTTTGCGGCCGAGAGAGTAGGCGAAACGCGGAGAGCAAAGAAAAGGAAGGCAGAAAGAAAAACACTTCTTGGCCATATCGTTGGCAGTATCGCAGAGTTCAATTTTTTGCATTGAACCAGTGCCTTGCATGTCAATATAAAACAAAAAAAAAGTGATACGGAGTTTCGAAACGGTTTAGGAAACGCGCTGGATTGACGTGCTTTGCAATGCTTTTATAACAAACTGGTGTTTTTGGACAACTTTTAGGCCCATTTTTATTGATCTAATGGGGGAAAAGTTCCACTTTTTGGCGCTAATCTTGTTTCTTTTTATTTTACAAATCTTTATTTCTATAAAAACCACCTCAAAGACCTTAAAATTCTACTGAAACTCCAACTGTCCAACTCGAATTTTCACCAGCCATCTTCTCGATCTCTGCCGTTTCAACAAAACTGTCAACAAAAAACACTTCTGCTCGTTTGTTCGGGGGGGGTGTTCCCCCGAATTCCGTTCACATGTGTCGGTCAGGCAACCCCTCTCCATCATCGCCCCTTATCAGCGGGGTCATGCCGCTGCACTGAGGCGAAGAAAACACCAGATTGGTCGGCTTAATGAGAAAGAATTTCAACGCCACTGGAGGGAAGACCAAAGGTTTGTGCAGCGGTGTCGACGAGGCGCTGGAAAAGGGGCAGTAATCAGGGATTGTAATGATAACAGGAGACATACATATACGTGAGAATACAGAGTATTTTGTATGTTTTTGTATGTACTTGTGGTAGAGTTTACCCGCAGTAAAATTAAAGGCAAGTACGGTAAATTGAAAAACAACAAAACAACGTTGATAGAAGGCAAAAATTGGAGCCGTAGACTCGTTCGTGTCATTAAAAAGGAACAAAAAATGATTTGCAAAGAAAGTTAACTGAATTTGACGCACAAATCCACGTCAATCCAGCGTGCGTTGAGTACAAGTCGCCGCCTAAAGTCGGGCAATTTTTCGGCCGGATTTGAATTGGCTATAACTTTTTTAGTTTTTGGCCAACTGTCAAAATTCTTCTTTCCCCTGAATCCTCGGACGTCCCTGTTTTGTTTTATACCAAACATGTTACAATATACCAATTTTATAGCTCACAGAAAAAAATATATCAAGCCTTTTTAGTCCGTGCATACGTTCTACTGTATCGGGTGGGCAAATGATGCACTGGACGTGCCAAAGAGGCTTGGCCTATCAGTCCGTCGGTAAAATAATGTGGATTTGTCGCAGAAAAATGTCTTCTCTCGTCACAGTCGCGCATCAAATCTCCAGCCGTCGCTAAGCGATGATGGACGATTCAAAAGCGCTACCACATTATTTTCCCGACAGACTGATAATTACAGTGCAATTTTTTCACAAAAGCCTATTGCACGGTGCAAAAAGCAAGAACTTGCACGGTGCAAAGTAAGCTTTTGTTTTCGCACAGTGCATGTCGCTGAAATCACTCCAGCGACTTTGCAAACTGACTAGCGCCGCAAAATGGCTTTGCGCGACAAACAATCGGCATAGTACAGCCTCGTTCGCGCGACAAACCCTTCATTTGCCCTTTTCAAAAAACATTCATTTCACAATGTGCGTAGTCGGCGTGCACTGTGAATTCTATTATTTATGTGTTTTTCTCTATAAAATTTTATACAGTACCCCAAAAATACTGTGATAACCCGGTCTTTTTCGTTCGCACCGCGTCACCGGAATCACCCCCAAGTCATGAGTTGTGGAATTGTTTTCCGCCCATTGATAACCCTCGCAAACTGTAAGACAGTCTGCATCCCCAGCAACGTTCGGAATCGCCCGGCAAACTTTCGTTGACAGATGGGGAATTCCTGCACTTTCAAATTGATGGCAAGTGCAAATTGATGGGGAATCCCTGGACGAATGGGTTCAAAGAAGACGAGATTTATCGCTCTTGTTTATTTACGCTGTAATATAAAGCAAAGTTCGTCGGGGGTCATACGATAAGGTGGTCAGAGAGGCCAATTCGGATTCTGGGGCCGTCCCAAAAAGAAATTGTTTTTTTATGCATAAAATGTCTTAGCCGTTTATGGAATTCCAGCCGGGCCGAAAATTGCAGCCCTTCCCGCAATCCTGACGGGGTTGGCCCGGCCCATTTCAAACCATCCTCGGCCCGCCGGATGGTCGGCCCGGCCTGGCCCGCTTCAGGATTCCAAAGATAAAGAAATCGGCAGTAGCTAGCGAAAGCCACAAAAAAATTGAAATCGCACCGCTCAGGAAAATTTAGAATGCCAAGAAAAAAGTTTTTACTCTGAATGAATTAGAAGGAATGGGTGGAAAACGTTAGGTGAATGTAATACCAAATGATGACTAAAGAAAAAATCTTGTTAAATTAACAGCGGTTTTTTAAAACTCTTGTATTTTTTTGCCTTTTGCATAGCCCCTAGCGACTATTACTGCTCGAGAATATATGCACTAGTAACCGGGCCGAAGAAAATTTGAAACAGGCAGGAATCCCCACGGGCCGTTCTGCCGTATAGTAGCTCTTACCTTTCAGAAGCCGTCGAAATCGTGACCTTTTTTTGAGATAACGATAACGTTGTCCGATAGCATAAGAATCGAGACTTCACTTTTAATTGTCGGGCAGTATATATGAAAACCTCTTTCCAGGAAAAAAACCAGCAAAAATTACGTGAAAATAGTGTACATTTTTTTAGCTGTTCACCGGCAATCACAACCGAGATCGTCCAGTCGAATGTCGTTGAAAATTCAACACCATTTCGGAAGCTCTTTGTTTGTAATCATAGCCAGTCATATTTACAACTGATAAGAGCGAGGTCTTCACAAACTTTTGGCACGTAAATTTGTAGCCATCGAGGAGTCTCTGCGGTGGTTCTTTGGACTCAACATCAGCTGCCTTACTTACAATCTGGCATCATCTCCCCAATCGCTCGTAACACATGACTTGCCACCCATAAGATGTAAGAGTCATAAATTGCGGGGAGTTTCCCAGTTCTCTTCAAGTTTCTTAGAAAACCCTAGCCTTCCAACTTTTCAACGAAAGGTTTGGAAACTAGTCTGGAAATGTCTGCAAGCCAAACGAATGCGAAGTTATTGACCTTCACAAAGCTGCCGAAAACAGCAAAAGTATATGCAGTGTACGTGGGATTAACCTTCGATCTTACAAGGGAAGTATCAAAAAAAATTCTATTTGGAACAGAATGCCAAGGATTTCTCATAACAGTGGAAGTACTCCAAGTGTAACGCACAGAGCTTGATGAGACTCGGCACAAGTGGGGGACCTGATCCAGTGAGAAAAAACGTACCATTTTGCATCTGGAAAGTTTCAAAAACGTGGCAAAATGCTTCCCTCTCCAAGTGAAAAAACCCGATTTTAAAGGCGCACCCGCTCTTCTTGTGAGGGAAAGGGCGCGCTCTTCAAAACGAAGTTTTTTCTCTTGGAGAGGGAAGCATTTTGCCAAATTTTTGATGCTTCCCGGATGCAAAATGATACGTTTTTTGTCACTGGATCAGGTCCCTTACTGTAGATAAATTTTTTCCAAGGCATATGCAAGACTCCTTACTCGCACTTGGCAGAAACAATTGAGATTTTTAGATCGAATGTTGGAAAAAAATGCGACACTTTTTTTGCGAATTCTGACATGAAAAATTTTATGCTTATTCCTCCAGTACATATTATGATTTCCACAAAAAAAAACTATTTATTTCAGGCGAAACTTGCCGAGATACGCCCAAAAAGTATTTTTATCTCCAATCGCGCCTCCGTCTTCTGTCGGCACTTCTTTATTATATAAAAAAGGTCTTTTTGGTGCAAAGAAAGCTTATTTTTGAGGAAGAGCTGGTAGCTCTAGCAACTCGTATTATCATACGAAGCTATCAGCGGCATGTGGATCTCATATCTTCCCGGCTTCGTTGTACGGGGGCTCATTTTGCCCTCAAATTAACCGTTGATAGCTTTGAAATTGTTGGTTATAGACAGGTTTTGTTGTACGGAGGTTTGACATGTATAGTCAAACTCCCGTACAACAAAACCTGTCTATAACGAACAATTTCATAGCGCCCAACAGTCAATTTTAGAGCAAAATGAACCTCCCTACAACAAAACCTTCAATGACGAATCATTTTTTATATCCCTTGCAATTTACTAAACAGAATTTTCACTGGATTTTATTGAACAACCACACCCTAATGCAAACAAAATTCTTTATTGCTTTTATCTTCAAGAACTTTTCGCTGAGTTCATGGTAATCACAGTCTTATGATACGTAGTGTTCGCGCTGTATGTGGAAGTGCTTGGGACATACCGATGACTCGGATATCCGTCATATCTTGTCCTTGGGTTGTCCGTATTCGGGTGAAACGCAGACGAGTTCATGAACTGCTTATACGAGGAGTAGGGCAGAAAATAGACGGGTGTGGGAGTTGGCAATGACGGTGAGTCCTCCGGAGGCGGTTCCGAAGGTGGTGGGGGAGCCGTAGCTTCTCCATTTTCGTCAATTGCCTCCGGGGATTTGGCGGTTTTTGAGTGATTTTTAAAATAGAAAAAGTCGAAAATGACCAAGTATAAGATAACTAGTGTAATTAAAAAATGAAGGAAATAGAAAGCAAAGAAAATCCAGAAATTTGCGGAAGAGTCCGCGAAATATTTCGGAGTGCCTATGATGAATTCGTCATGAACAAAATCGAAATTTACAATCAGTTCGACCAAAGAAATCAGACCAAATATACAAATACCAAGGTGGACGCCAAGGTAGGGGAGATATAACGGATAAAAGTTCTTGAAAATACCGAAGAACAGGAGGGATATTGAGATTAATGAGAGAAGGTAGATGGAGAGAAGATGATAATATCGGATTAGAATCACACCGAGGAGGAGAATCAAGTCGATGATGATTTGGATGAAGAGGGCGATTTTTGAGGCTTTCTGAAAAAATTAGAAAACTGAAAATCGAGTTTTAAGCAGCCGAAAGTCCTTCTACAGTGAGGGACCTGATCCAGTGACAAAAAACGTACCATTTTGCATCCGGGAAGCATCAAAAATTTGGCAACATGCTTCCCTCTCCAAGTGAAAAAACTTCGGCTTGAAGGGCGCGCCCTTTCCCTCACAAAAAGAGCGGGCGCGCTTTTGAAATCGAAGTTTTTTCACTTGGAGAAGGAAGCATTTTGCCACATTTTTGATACTTCCCGGATGCAAAATGGTACGTTTTTTGCCACTGGATCAGGTCCCCCACTGTAGTCCATTCGCAAAGTCGGTGGAGTGATTTCTGCAAAACGCACTGTGCAATAAAAATCAGGGTGTGAGCGAAACCCAAAAAAAGCCGATTGCACGGTGCAAAAAGCAAGAAATTGCACAGTGCAAAGTGAAATTTTGTTTTCGCACAGTGCATGCAAAAAAAAAAAATCGCTCCAGCGATTTGGCGGACGGACTAGTATATTTTCAGGATATGGAAAACATTTACAACGAGACCTCCCTAAAGCGAAAAGAGCTTTCTTTAGGCCAAAACATATCTCGGTACAAAAAAACCCTTCTATAACGACAAACCTTTCGAAAAAAGCATTTTTTTTGGTCTATCAAAATAAGGACTTGGTATTCGGAATTTGTGAAGCCCTGGCCGATATATCAGTCTGTCGGGAAAATAATGAGTACAATTTGCTGCGACACAATTCATTTTCTCAGCGGCGACGCAATCTTCAATGCGACAGAGTGCTCATTATTTTCTCGACAGACTGATATGTGAAAAAATTACGTTTGTCTCCAACCTCTTTTTCTTCAAAACCCCCCTGTCATCCGCACAAAATTCGAAAAAAATCGCAGAATCGTATCCCAATTCATAAAAATTTGAAAACTCCCGGTTTAATCATCCCTTAAAACATTTTTTTCTAAATTCAAAACAAACAAAATTTAAGCGGACCTACATGAATATGAACCCTCGCAAACAGCAGATACGAATTGCTTTTTGTTGGCCAAAAATTGCTGCAAAAAGTTGCACATCCACTCTTTCGTCGGGCATTCTCTTCGCTCATCGTTACATAGCCAAGACAATAAAAAACTGGTGGAAAATATTCAAAATAGCCGAATTCAGGTCAGATTCCTCCGCAAAAAATACCAATTATTCAGTGCCTGAGGGTCTAATGTTATCAGTTTTTGTTTGGGCAATACAAAAAAAACCAGTGAAAGTGCAGAGGGGTTTCGCTTCAATGGAATGTTGATAAAAATTTGAATGCTTTACAGTCGTAAATTAGACGCTGGGCGGCATTTTTTGGAGGGAAACATTATGTTTGTAGTCATGCTTGTTGCACCAAACGCTAGCCCGAAAAAAATGGGCATGACCGAGGTCTGCTGGATGGACGATTGTTTTCGGAGGGCAGTTCTCAAAGCTTGATGTCCGAATTTTGATGAAAGTTGGCACAAATTAGGACCAAAATGTTCTGAGCTGCGGAGTTTTAGCTTATAGTTTGAAGTAACCTTTGAAATTTTTGGATTTTCGGGTTGGAGCATGCCGAAAATTTGAGATTTTTCAAGAGTTTGCCGGATGAAAAATATTTCGGTATGTAGAAACGTTGTCTGCTTCGATAAGCATTTCACATTCTACCTTGCAAACTCTTGAAAAATCTCAAATTCTCAGCATGTTCCAACCCAAAAATTTCAACGGTTTCTTCAAACTATAAGCTAAAACTCCAGAATACACCTCAGAACATTATAGTCCTAATTTGTGCCAACTTTCATCAAAATTCAAACATCAAACTTGGAGCAATGCCCTCCGAAAAAAAATCGTCCATCCAATAGACTTCTATCACAACAAACCCATTTTTCCTCCTCTCAAACACCGAAATGTAAAGGTTCCAATAAACCAATCGTTTCATCAGCGGCCAATATCAAAATCCATTCAAAAATATTAATATTTATTACTATATAAATTTGCTAACAGCTATTTCAAAAACAATATATATTTATATAAATTTCCGGCAAAAATTTTGGCAAACCTCAGACTCTTTCATTCAGCCATACCGACTGACGATTTCCAGAGTATGGGGACGGGCTCAGCGGTTGAAATGACGTCAAAGTGCATCGATTTCCGTTGCTGCCCTCAGGGAATAATTGGGTTCTTTTGATGGGATTGCTTCGTTGAAAGAATTTGGTGGTTGGGCTTGATTTTTGCATCAAGTGTGGCTCGTATGGGTTGTAGGAGAACCTGCTACTCGTATTTGGTTGGGGTGTGGGGCTGTTGGGGTAGTCGGAACCTTTTATTTCCGCCTTTTCGAAGCTGGCCGTCAATGTCTCGATTGATGCATTTTGGTCAAGATACTCAAAGGATTCCTGAAATTGGAGTGAAAATTAAATAAAATTTTCCCAAAAAGACTGTTTGACGTAATTTTATACCAATTCAGTCCATTTCCCATCAAGTACAACATAAATTTTTATATAACCCATGACGGATAATATCAAAAAAAAATTCCAAATCCGTTTACAAACGGCCCCTTTCACCTTTTGTACGGCCCTCACATCACAAGACATCAAAAAACATTAATCTCGACATCAAAAACACAATGCCAAAATTGGCGGGAATTCAAGTCTTCTTCAAAATTCTACCTAAAAATGGAACAAAAAACTCAGTAATGCTTACCGCAATGATTTTTTGAATATATTCATAGTCCAGGTCGTCTTCAAATCCTTTGGAATCCAAGTAATGAGCAATACATAGCAGATTTCTGGGTGTATATCTGAGAAAGTAAATAAAAAAGCAGAAGGAAAGTGCAAGTTACGCAAAATGAAGCAGCTAAGAGTATAATAAGTCCCCACCTCAAAAATCTGTCCATTCCGGAGCGTGGTTCACTCTTCATGGAGCACAATTCGGGCTCGGGTTCGTCTCCTCGCCATGGCAAATCTCCTTCGCAAAGCTCGATCATACTGTACAGTAACGAATACATGTCGTCACAAGGGCCCTGTTCGCATGCCTTGTGAACTCTTGCGCTGCAATATCTGGCAGTTCCTGGAAAAATTTAAACAAATATCTAAAGCAATGTCAACTTGATGGAAAGAGCTTTTTATAGAAAGATTTCGGAAAAATAAAAGACTTTAGGCGCAATAACAAGAAAGTTTATACAATAAAGAATCTATGTATATCAAATTCATCATAAAAACTCTAATTTTTATCACCTTTCGAAGTAAAATTATATTATTTTAGGTAATAGATCAAAAATAATATAATTTTTTTTTGAAAAACCAAAGCAAAATTAAAATTTCAGCTGAGCAAAAACCCAATCCTCCCCAAATCTCACCTCTGAACGGACAACGAAGTCTTTTTTTCTTTCTCTTCCCATCCCTTTGCAGGTATTGCCGAGCCATTCCAAAGTCGATCAAATAAACATGATTTCGATCGCCCGGCCGCTTTCCAAAGCAAAAGTTCGCGGGCTTGATATCTCGATGAATGAATCCCGCTCCGTGAAGGGTCTGCAATGCGGTAACCAAGCTTTCAAACACCTCCAACATCGTTTCCTGATCGAACCGGCGGTTTTCCTCCAAACGTCTCAAATCGAACAGATTGTCGCCCAAAACTGGCATCGTCAGGTATGAAAATGCTCCGTTCATGTTGTGTTCGTACTGAAAATGAAACATTATGGAAGAAAACCAAGAAATTCGTCGATTTTTTTCGATTTCCGACCTTATTTTTAGACGATTTTAGAAAAAAAGTGAGAGTTTAGGTGGCAAATCCATGAAATTGAGATTGAAACGCTTTGATTAAGCAAGTCTAAACTCCTTGCAAGCCTTTTCGAGCAACTCACCATCTGAGCAAAGTGAGCGCGTCGAAAAACGGCCCGCAAAACAATGGCTTCCATTGCAATTCGGTTCTGTCGATCTATTGGCTCAACCTTCAACGCCACAACCCGGTTTGTCATCTGAAAACATCGACATCACTTCATTTCATCAGTGAGAACTGAAATAAACCTAAAACAACAAAAAATTGTTCAAGAACTCACTGTATCTTTCGCCTGGAACACTTGCCCAAATCCTCCCTTTCCAAGCAGCTTTTCGATCCTATACCGACTATGGAAACTCTCTCCAACTCTCGCGTACACTTCGGCACTAGGCCCACGTTCGACTTTCAGCGTTGGCGAACGCTTCAGTGGACTCTGGAAAGATCTGAGATATCAGAGGTCAAGTGTAATATAAACGACCCAAAAATGGTAGAATTTGAGGGGATGTGACGCGGAAAATCTCGCGACAGGAAGCAAAAAGCAATATTGCAGCCGTTTAGCCCATCATTTTTGCATATTCTAACAGAAAATTATATTATACTAGACATCAGGTCCGAATCAACGAAAAAAGTTCAAACTAGGGTAAAACTTCAAGAAAATATTGCGTAAAACGTATAACACGCAATAATACGTAATTTATAGACAATATAGCCCAAAACTTTGACAAGTTTAGCGAGAAAAAATGACCTTACACTAGACACCAGATCCAAACCTTCGAGGACAACATTGGATGCAATTTCACAGGCGAAACCACTCAAAATTCTTATAGAAATACTCGCCGTCGTATACTCTATCTGACAACAGCAAAAAATCCACTCACCTTGCATGTTTCCACCATCATTGTGCGATATTCTTCAACCTTCCAACAAATTTTCTCCGGAAATTGGTCGTGTCGACCAAAAAATATGTAGAATAAAAAACTGAAGACCTGAAAACGTGAATTCGGCTTATATACGACGTCGACGAAGACGTGGAGAGCAGATGCAAATTTTTTTCGTCAACAAACCTTCTCGTTCATCGAGTTGAAGCAGAATGCCAAAAATAAGGAAACGGAAGGAAAAGTTGATTCAAGACGGAAAATTGACTTCGAATTCTTTCTTACGGTGGCCAAAGAAGGGTTAGGTCATTGATTTTTTTATAACAAGGTGTGTTTTACATTTATTTGCGGAATTTTTTCAAATTACCGTGTTTCAGTCATGTACAATATAAATTAAAATTATTTTTCGATAATTTTGTGAAACTTGTTTGATCCTGGTCCATTTCCAATACCATGAACAGTATTTTGCGTAAGGTAGCGTGCGTTTTGACGAGTAAATCAGTGAAAATTCGGATGAAAGTCGGATTTATGCCAGTTTATGAGAGGGTTTCCGGCTGAAAAAACGGTTTTAATACTTGAACAACGAATGATGCGTAATTTACCAAAAAACTTCGGGAGACAACCTACGTTTGCCATCGCTGAACGGCTCGGATCAGTTCCATTGGGATGGGCAAAACGATGGTTTGATTCTTTTCGGCGGATATGGAATTCAACGTTTGTAATAAAGCTAAATGAATAGCTGATGGGGACTGGGAAATGACTGATGCGGCTTCGCTTAGCGCTTTCGAGGCGAGTTGCTCTCCTTCCGCGGCGATTACCTGCAAATAGGGGTTGTATTAGGGATCCTGAGCTATTGTAACATAGCAAGGATCGAAACTTGCTCCAAAAAAAGGAGGTCATTTTGTTTTATGTGGGTATTATCGCTGTAATACATGTAAAATACCTCAAGATAGATAATAAACTATCCTAGGACATGGTCAATAATAGTTTCCAGCGTCCTACCTTAGCTCTAGCCTCTCGAGTTGCCTCAGCTTCCGCAGCCATTGCGCGTTGCAGCTGAACCGGCAGCCGGACATCCTTTATTTCCACTCGTTCCACCTTCACTCCCCAGGGATATGTGGCTTCGTCTAGGGTCTCCTGAATCTGCAGCGAGATGATCTCCCGGTCCGAAAGCATTTGCGCCAGCGTTTTTGTACCCAAAATATTTCGCATTGTGGTTTGCGCCAACAATTTGGTGGAGCGACTGGAATCCTCCACATTTGTAACCGAAATTGTCGCATTTGATATGCGGAAGTATACCACAACTTCTACAGCGACGGTTACCGAGTCTTTGGAGAGGATCTGAAAGGGGGTTTGGGATGGTTAGGTGAAAAATAATAGGTTGGTATAGTGCTCCCCTTGTTTACAAAATTTGAAGTTTTAAAAATTGGGGTCTTTTTTGTTAAAATTTTGCACCTATCGGAAAGGTAAAAAAAGATCAAGTAACCCTAAATTTGCTATCAAAAGATGTCGTAGAGAGATGAAAAATATTTCTTATTTTGAAGAGGCCCATCCGAGCATGCCTCTCTCTTCAAAATCCGCAATATTTTTTGTGTCTATCCTTCATTTTGACACCAAATTTGAGGTTCTCTGATCTTTATTATACCTTTCCTATCTATTGGTGCAATTCTGTAAAAAAAGCTTCAATTTTTAAAACTTTAAAATTTTGTAAAATACGGTATGGTGACCTACTTCTTGAGGTGGCACATCGAAAGAGAGCGTTCGAAGGTCCACTTTGCGATATGAGTCGATGCATGGATTGACGAGGAAAAGCCCTGAAAATCACCAAGGTGTATTTGGAAAGGAAGGTTCTTGATTTTGGGCATAGAAATTTTCATTACAAAAGATGTTTTTTTTGTCGCCTTACCTGGCCCTCTCGCCCCTCCGGGCAGTAGTCTTCCTAGTCGAAAAATCACCGCTCTCTCATATTCCTGAACAATTTTGATACAAAAGAAGGCACTGATCGGAAAAGTGAAGGCGATTATAACATACGACAACATGGTAAGCAACCATCCGCAAAAGTTGAGGTTACCAGTGACTGGCTCTGAAATTTTTGTGGGTAAAATACGAAATTTGGAACGTTGACTCATCGTTATGTCACTACACCTACGGTCGGCGAAGAAAGTGACGTCATGCACAGTTTTCCAGCCGTGCCGCGAGGCCTGGCTTTTCCAGCGCGGCCCGGTTTCCGTGGGCGGCCCTTGTTTCATGGAGTCGGAGCGCAGCATATGGAATGCATAAATTTGATGGGGAAGCGATGCTAATTAATCTACAGTGAATTTGGGTTAGGGTTTAGACCATGCAAGATGTAAAAAACTGATTTAAATTGAGTTTTCTTGTCGAAAAAGTAGTTTATCTGAAAGAAAGGCTAAATACAGTAAATATACTGCAAGAATCGCGCATATATCACCAAAATAAACGCGAAAAATGCTGAAAAATACACAAATTAAAAAAAATGGATAAAAGCGAAATTTTTTAAAATTAAAAACCTCAAAAATTCCCTCTAAAGTCGTCCTCAATGACGTTTTCTCTTCGCCGACGAAAGAACAAAAACCTTTCGAATCGAATCCACCGGATTTTTATCCAATTTCCGGTGCCTCGCGGCTGTGCCACTCCTTAAAGACTTCCTGTTTCCCCTTCGGGCAATCTTAATTTGTCAGAAGCGAATCCGGTTAGCTCGCTATTTAACGGGCTATTGTTGAAGGGAGTTCAAAGGTTGGGGAAACATTTTTAGATGGGTAAACGTAAAACAATGCCAGGAAACCGGTTCAGAAAAGTCGCAGTGACTCACAGGAAAATACCCCAAGTGCGACGCTCAGATTTTGATGAAACTTGGCACAAATTTAGAATAATTGTTTTTAAAATGCATGCGAGAATCCTAGCTCGCGCTTTGCAGAAACAACCGAGCTTTTTAGATCGAAAGTCGGCTTAAATTTTGCAATGTTTGCCGAATTTTGGCACGAAAAGTTTCATGCCTATTTCTACCATAAGGGGTTGTGCTTCCACAAAAAAATAAATTTTTTACGCGCGAAACTGGCGAAGTTATGGCCAAAAATGTTTTTCTCTCTGCCCGCTCTCCATATACTATAGCGTACTCTCTCTGCGACAAGGATTGTTCAATTTCTGGATGGAGCTTACAAACCGCGAACTAAAACTTTCAGGACTTGATATATAGCCCGTGCCCGACGAGTGCGCAAAATTTAAATGAAATCTGAACGTCGCACTTGGGGTACTTCCTTTGTCAGTTGAAAAGTGCAAAATGTCAACTGCACGGTGGAAAAAGTGTACGCACTTTTGGAAAGCGCAGTATGCCTAGCAGGGGAGCTAAACCCATATAAAATTAATGTTGCTCGTTTAGCATTGCTAAACAACGGATAAAATGCCGGGTTTAGAATCGAAATTTTGTTTGCAAAACCCGTTTAATTTGTTGACATAAGTCCAACAATTGATCCTATGGCCGAAATTTCCACGCTAAATTATTCCTTGCTTGATAGAAATATCACGAGCGTTGTGAGGTCACTATGGTTCATGTTCATTCGATCCCCGGAGGGAGCGGAAATTGAATTATGCGAAAATTGGGATAAAATATCACAAATATTGGGAGGAAAATAATCGAAATTCTCAAATTTCGGCGGGTTTTTGATTTCTAAAAAAGTGAGTTAAAAAATAATAGTACAACGAACAGCGAGGGACCAAAAAAGATGCCGAAATGAGGTTCTGGGCAGTAAAAACTCTCTATTAGTCTGTCGGGAAAATAATGAGCATCTTGTCGCATCGCAGCTGAAAAAATGAATTGTTCCGCTTCAAAATCAAATTGCTTTTTACTTCAGCGACGCGATTTTCGATGCGACATTGTGCTCATTATTTTCCCGACAGACTGATAGAGAGGTCTGTGTTGTAGAGAGGTTAATTTTGGCCCAGAATTCCCTTTTAGGGCTTCTGAAATTGTTTGTTATATACAGGTTTCGTGTACGGGAGCTCGTTATACAGAGGTTTTACTGTAAAAAATTGTTTTGATACCCCCGCAAAACAATAAAATTTGAATTTGTTGCCAAAAAATCATGTGAAAAAAATGTTCAAATTCGGAGCCGATAGAATGAAGCGCGACTTCTTCATCTTTTTATGGCGATTGAATTACTGATCACTCTTTTTCCGTAGGCAAACAGATAATTGGCCATTTGAGCGGCGGATAATTCAATTTTTGAGGGGTCAAATGGAGCACATTAAAGTAGAGTAAAATCTCTGTGCGCCCGTACAACGAAACTTGTCTAAAACAAACAATTTCAGCGGCTCAGAAGTCATTATTAGGACAAAACGAACCTTACAACGAAACCCCTTTATGATGAACGATTTCTTTGCGAACTTTTTATACAGCAAAACCTGTCCATAACAAAAAGTCAAGCCGAGGCCAAAATGAGCCTCTCCACAGCAGAAACTCTCTATAACGAATAACTTCTATGCCACATATTTGGTTACCACACAAATTGAGAGATTCCGAGGATTCAGGGGAAAAAAAGAATCTTCGAATTTGGCCGAACAATAAAGGAGTTATCGGGCCACAAAAATGACGCACCCGGTAAACAAATTTTCTTGGCCTTGGCGATTCTTTGTACTACGCTTTTTCAAAAGTGCGTAGACGTTTTGTCGCACGCTTTCCGCACAGTGCATTTTCCCTTTTGTCTGATATCAGTCTGTCGGAAAAATACTATGGTCGTCGCAGCAAAATATTTTCCCGACAGACTGATAAAAATTCTATGAATTAAAAAAAAAAACGGAAAAAAGTGATGACTAAAAAATTCATTTTCGCAAAACAATGCCGCCTTTTTAGATCGAATATAAATTAAAAAATTAAAATTGCAAAAAAAAATTCTGTGTTCAGTTATTACGAAAGGAATGTCACTTTTCTTGGAAGAGCGCGGAAATTTGACACGTCCCACAAAATTCCTTCGAATGTCAGAGAGACCGAGAAAAATGTTTATGAATCCGAAAAAAGTGTAAATATTGGGAAAAGCGTGTCCATTCTTAATTAAATATGCAGAGAGAGGTGTAACGTTGGTGGAGATGAGCAAATAAGTGTTTTTTGAGTGTAAAAGTACAGGTGAGTGGGTAATATTACTCTGTCGGAAAAATAATGAGCGCAATATCGCTACGTCGCTAAAGTGAACAGTAATTCGATTTTGCCGCGACACAATTCGTTTTCGCGGCGACGCGATTTTCGATGCGGCAGTGTGCTCATTATTTTCCCGACAGACTGATACTGCGCTTTTTCAAAAGTGCGCAGACTTTTTGCCTTGGCGCACAGTGCATTCAGCTTCTTTTTGCAAGCGGGCTTTTCGAAAATTTTTTTCAGTCATCGCTCAGGAAAGTCACGCCGGCTCAGTCGAAGATGGCTTTTGTCGCGCGACATTTTAGTTGCACAGTGCAAAATTGGTGCTAGATGGGAGTTTTTTTTTGAGTAAGGGGGGGAGGGAGGTAGGGGTGACCATATCAGCCTGTCGGGAAAATAATGACCACAAGGTCGCTGCGCCAATCGCATCGCTGAAGTGAAAAGCAATTTGATTTTGCCGCGCCACAATTCATTTTTTCGGCGGCGATACGATTTTCGATACGACAGAGTGCCTATTATTTTTCCGACAGGCTGACATAATGGTCAAAGGCCTGCTTTTCCTTCCATAATTTTGAAGTTTGCTCTCAAAAAAAAAACGGTTTCCGCCGACTGCGTCGCTACGGTTGTACCTTCGCGATAAAATGCCAAAAAAAAAAATATACGCACTTTTGAAAAGTCGTAGTATTCGTTGTACGCGGGTTGACCCTCAAACCATTCCTTCAGTGGCCATTTCCAAAAAGTCGTATTTTTCCAAGCTGAGTCTGAGCCCCGCGAATTTTTATTTCCCTACGGTTTTGACAATTTAACGAAGCCGGGAAATTCCGCTGGCCACTGACTGAAGAAAGGACAGAAGCAAGTGCGAAAACCATAAAATTTGTTTTGGTTTTGACGGGATAAACAAAATTTTTTTTGGCCAATTTTTTATCTTTCTTGTAAATTAAGAAAATTTTATTAATTTGCAAATTTTTTTCTATGAAAAAATCGAAAATCATAAAATAATTTACTAATAAATTTTGGTGATCTATTTACAGCAAATAAAAATAGTCATTATAAAAAACTTGGCCCAGAAACTTGATTTATTATTCTTTTCAAGTCTTCTTCATGATGAGGGTGGGATTTTTTATTCGAAAAATACGAAAAAGGAGGAAAAAACACTAGAATAATTAATTTCGGGGTTAAGTCAGGCATGGTCATGCTTTTTGAGGTCAGAAGTTGGATAAAAAATTTGAAAAGCTAAAAAAATATGTACAAGAATTACCGTTGATTACGATAAAAAAAAATTTTTTTGATGACTATCGGTATTTATAATGGTTTTCGGACCAGCTTTGTTGGAATTGCCCGAGATTTGAAGGCTTCGGCTTCTCGATTTTTTGTCCATCTTCGTCTATTCGATAGTAGGAGTCGGTGCTGCTCTGTCGTTGAGAGAAACAGCCTGAAAATAATGGGATATTACAAAAATAGAACCAAAGTTTTAGAGCCAAGTTCTGCAGCCATCTAACTCCTTGAACTTACAGTATTTCAGATCATTTCCAAGTGGCATCATGCAAAAATTCGGCTTGTAAATAGTTGTAGACTTGAGTTCACGGAATAACGAATCACCGTTTTTTAAAAAGCGTTTTGTATTTCGAATGTGTCCTAAACAAACATTGGTTATAAAGGGTAAACATGATCTCGAAATATCAAAATAAAAAAGCGCAGAATCACGTGAAGTTGTAGTTTTATGGTCGATGATTTAGGGATACAACAGATGAAAAAACTTAGCGGGTAAAATACGAGTCAATAAAAAATACATTGATGTGTGCTAAAAATGGTTCGGAAAAAACTTCGACGCATTTTAGCTTGCGTTTTGCAAATAAAGCCGAGATGATCAAAGATTTCCGCGGACGAGAGATTACGGGAAATGAGGAGTTCAATCCGGGAGAAAAAGCGTTTTCAGACAATTCGTATTTGAGCCAAGTCTTATCAAAGTCTTTATAAAAAGACTCGTGAATATGGAAATATCACTACTTGTAACCCTGCGATTTCAATAAAACTAGACGCAATTTTGATCAATTTTTTCAAGTCCATACACCACGTTTCCTGCTCGCGCTTTGTAGAAACGTCTCAGATTTTATAGCCGAA